GTGGTATGAGCCAAGAAGTTATAAAGAGGTGTTGGCATTACCAAAAGCTGAACAAGAAAAATGGAAGGAGGCCATGGATAAAGAGATGAAATCCATGGGAGACCATGAAGTATTTAAATCAGTGACTTTGCCACAGGGAACCAAAGCTGTGGGTTGTAAGTGGGTATATAAGAAAAAGTTATTGCCAAATAATGATATATAGTATAAGGCCAGGTTAGTGGCACAAGGTTTTTCACGATTGAAGAATGTATTAAGTTAATAGGTCTGATGTCTCTTCCTGTCATGAAGGGAGGAGTGTTGGAATATTCATGAACAGGAAGAGTCATGTGGTAACTCAGTCAGCCAATGAGAAGAAAGGGCTACTGAGTCTGTGCAAAAAGAGTATTGAGTTAGGAGCTGGATTTCCAGTCACAAGCTTTGTCTCTGGTCTGTCTCTATAAGAAGTCTTTGTTAAGCTATGTTGCTGTAAAGAAGAATGGTATTGTAAATATTTTTATATGAATATAAAGTTATTTGAATCAGCTAAATGCAGTCAACTGTGAAAGCTTCTGATTTATTTTTTCACCAATAGAGAAATTAAAATTCTCTAACACCTTTTATGATTAATTTGATCAGGAGCATTTTAGCCTAAAAATAGTCGATATGTTGGCTAAGGCGTTTGAGTTTTTTAATAAAGTGGTAGCAGACCAGCGAAATGCTGTGGACGTGGTAGACTTAGACTTCAGTAAGACCTTTGACAAGGTAGACCACAAAACCATTCCATTCCATGTTCTGTTCCGTTTCATTCCATTCCCTATTCTGTCTGTTCCGTTCCATTTCGGTCCGTTCCCTATAAACTGACCCCAGGGACTCTGGGCCTGCCTGTCAGTCCACAAGCCCAAATCTCTTCCGGCTTTGAACCCACAGCAGCTTCATCTCCACTCCTCTTCCTCTGAATCCCTTCCCTTCCCTGTAAAAGAATAAAATTTAAATTGTAGAAAACCCTGGCGTTCATCCTCTTTCCTGCCCCCCCCCCCATCAGAGAGTCCTCCTTTTTCCCCTCCCCCTCCCCGGATTGAGGCCTCCCCTGCCTCCATATTGACCAACCGGGCTAATTTAGATCCGAAGCCAGAAGCGGTTCGGGAGGAGGGTGGGCAGATCCCAGGGAGGGGAAGGGGCAGGACCCCCCCTCCTCCTCAATCTCTCCAAGCCCTGGCAGATGGAGGGGACCCCTGGGAGACCCCCTATTCCTGCTTCCCCCGGAGAGCTTCTTCCGTAGCTGGGAAGCTGCTGGAGCTGGAGGTTCTCCTGGCTTCATCCGGGCCTCTTTCTCCAGGATCGGAGCCCGTTTGAACCCCTCACAAGCCAGGGAGGCTCCTGCCCCATTCGCACCCATTGCCCCCTCCCTCCCTCTTCGGGGCCCTGATCCCCTCAGCTCCCCCCTTCCAATCTCCCCCCCCCTCATCTACTCCTCCCCCAAACAAAAGGTGCCAGGGCCGGGGAGGGAGGGCGGAGAGCAGGGCGTCCTCCCTGGGGATGGGGGGGGAGACGTCCCTCCCTGGATCGCCTTCGCTGTGTCTGCCGGTGGGTGAAGTCACAAAGGACTCTGCCTGGAGACCGATGACGCTGCAGGAGGGAGACTTCCCATTGGTTCCTCTCCGTCAGGGCATTTCCAGTTCTGAAGTCCGAGGAAAACGCCTCCCCCGTCCCCACTCCAGTTCCCCCCCCCTCCGATTCCACCTCTGGGGCTGGGGGCGTCCTTGGGCTCTGCTGGGGTCTCCCTGCCAGCCGTTGGGGAAGGGGCTCTGGCCCAGATCCTTGGAAGAGAAGGGGGGATACTCCGGTGAGGAGGGGTTGGGCGGGCGGAGGGGAAGGTCTGGGAGGGACCCTCAGTGCTTCTGGGGGAGGGGGGAAAGAAAGGGGCTTGGACCCCAGACGTGACTTTGGGAAAGGGGTCGAGGGCAAGAGAGCCTCCCTCCCGCCCCACATCCCCCCCAGGAGGACGGAGAGAGAGAGAGAGAGAGACCCCTCCCTTTGCAGGTTGGGGCCGAGGTGGGGAGGGGCCCACGGGAAGGCAGCCGAAGATCTAGTTTTACATAGTCTGAGTATCCTAAGGATTCTCTCTGGCAGCTGTGGGGTCCCAGGACCCCCTCCCTCCACTCTGGGCAGGGATCCCAATGGAAGCTCCCCTCTCCAAGACAGCTGCCTGGCCTCCAGTGACACCCCGCCCCCTGCAGGGGAGCCCACCAGCTCTTGGGCCGCCCTGAGGCTGCTCTCCCCCAGCACATCGTTCCAAAGTGGGGGGGTCGCCCTTTCTTGTCTCCCCCTAGCTGGGAAAATCGTTCCCCTGGGATACGGAGCGTTCCCCCCCTCCTCCTCCTTCACCCCAGAGCGAGGCTGCGAGAGGTTCCCCTCCCGGGGAGGGGCCATGAAAGCCCCCCTCCCTTGTGATCCACAACAGCCATTCTTGAACCAAAACTGACCTTCTCTTTGCGGTGGGTGAGAAAACCCCACAGTGCTTGGACAGAGGGAGGCAGAGGGCGGAAGAAAGGGAGGGAGGGAGAGAGGGAGGGAGGAAGAAGGAAGGAAGGAAAGAGAAGGAAGGATGAAAGGACAAGGAAGAACGAAAAGGAAAGAAGGAAGGAAGGAAGGAGGAAGGAAGGAAGGAAGGAAGGAAGGAAGGAAGGAAGGAAGGAAGGAAGGAAAGACAAGGAAGGATGGAAAGACAAGAAAGAAAGGAACGAAAAGAAAGGAAGGAAGACAAAAGGAAGGAGAAGAAAGGAAGGAAGACAAAAGGAAGAAGGAAGGAAGGAAGGAGATGGAAGGAAGGAAGGAAAAGGAAGGAAGGAGAAGGAAGGAAGGAAAGAAAAGGAAGGAAGGAAGGAAAGAAAGAAAAGGAAGGAAGGAAAGAAAAGGAAGGAAGGAAAGAAAAGGAAGGAAGGCAGGAAGGAAGGAAGGAAAAGGAAGGAAAACAAAAGGAAGGAAGGAAGGAAGACAAAAGGAAGGAGAAGGAAGGAAGGAAGGAAGGAAAGAAAGAAAAGGAAGGAAGGAAAGAAAAGGAAGGAAGGAAGGAAGGAAAAGGAAGGAAAACAAAAGGAAGGAAGGAAGGAAGACAAAAGGAAGGAAGACAAAAGGAAGAAGAAGAAAGGAAGGAAGGAAAGGAAGGAAGGAAAGAAAAAGAAGGAAGGAAGACAAAAGGAAGAAGGAAGGAAGGAGATGGAAGGAAGGAAGGAAAAGGAAGACAAAAGGAAGGAAGGAAGGAAGGAAGTCAAAAGGAAGGAAGACAAAAGGAAGGAAAGGAAGGAAGGAAGGAAAGGAAGGAAGGAAGGAAAAGGAAGGAAGGAAGGAAGGAAGGAAGGAAGGAAGGAAGGAAGGAAGGAAGGAAGGAAGGAAGGAGCGATTCTTGAACCAAAACCGACCTTCTATTTGCGGTGGGTCAGAAAACCCCACAGCGCTGGGGGCAAACCTCCCCCCCCCCGCAGCCCCTTTGCCAAGGGTCCAAGCAGAGGCTTTTTGGAGGGACGGGGGGGGGCACTGACCCCACCCAGGACGGAGACCTGGCCTCTTCTTAAATGCGGGGCCAGAGAACGCGTGTCTGTGTGTCTGAAGGCGCCCCAGGACTCCCCAGTCAGCCCGCTCAGAGACCCCCCCCAAAAAAAGTCCTCGCTGGCTGCTGGGCTGCGCCCCCCCTTCTGCCTTCCTCTGCGCCCCCCCTCCCCGCCAGGTCAAGGGGGAGGGCCAAAGGAAGTCCGGACTCCCCTGCGGGGCTGGCCTGAACCCCCCCTTGAGCTGCAACCCCCCCAAGACTGAAGGGATTGTTCCCCCCTCCCAACTTTCTCCGCTTCTCCCTCTGCGCCGAACGATCTCCTCCATCGGGTGAAGTCAAGGGAGGCTCTGCCCGGAGACTAATGACGCTGCAGAAAGGAGAATTCCGATTGGTCCATCCGCTTTTCTGCACCATCCCAATTGTAAAGTTGGAGGAAAACGACCCCTCCCCCCAATCCAGATTCCCCCTCCCCGATTCCGCCTCTGGGGCTGGGAGCCTCCGCATCTCCCTCCTCCCTCTTTGGGGGCGCTTGTGGGGCGGCACCCATGGCCTCCCCTTAATGCTGCTGCTGCTGCTGGTGGGGGCGCTGGCCCGGATCCCCGGAAGCGAAGAGGGTGAAGGAGACCCCCGGTAAGGAGGGGGGGGGCTCACCCTGCAGGGGAGTTTCTCTTCTTCCCTGAAGCCCCCCCTCCAAAATAGCACCAGCGGTTAGATTTATATACCACTTATATATATATGGTGCTAAGAGTTTTAGTCAGCATCTTCACACCCACACACACACACCCAAAAAAGTGACAGGTGGGATTTAATTCTCCAATTCTTCCATTAAAAAAGAAAAAAAGTCTCTTAAAGAAATCGATCCAGCCTTGAAATTCTTTGCTGTGGAGAAGCCAAAACTCTAGTGCAGCCGAGCACAAAACACACATACACACAACGCTACAATCTCACCCAGGGCGTTTCCAAGTTGTGGGAAATTGCAGAGGGGAAAGGAAGGGAATCTGGGGAGGGGGGCACTGCAGGCCTGCAAGTCGCCTTTTCTCCCCCCCTCCCCGACTTTTCACACAGTATCTGGCCAAGTGACCCCCCCCGCTCCCCCTTTTCTGCCCCCCCATCGTAGCCTCTTTATTAATATGAAACATCTGCAGGGAGGGAAGGCTTCCCTCTTAACCCCACTAATTAAGTTAATTAGGGGGAATTTCATCTTTTCAAAGTCACTCTGGAGCCCCCCCCCTTTTGCAGCCCCTCGGCTGAACTTTGACCCCCTTTCGGTCCCAGGAGAGAGATGGGGAGGGATCCCAGGTCCCTCCCAGCCTTTTCCTCCCTGAAAGGGGCAGAGCCTCCCTCCCTCCCTCTGCCCCCCCACCCATCAACCACCCCCCTGCAGTGTCGGCCTGCCTGGGGGTGGGGGGCTGCAAAGAAAAGGGTGGGGAAGTGTGTGTGTGTTTCCCCCCTGTGTAGACTCTCCACAAGTAGCTTATTTACATCAAAAGTTTTATTACGTATTCTAATTTTCGTATTTTTTTTCCAGACTTAATCCTGCCGATGCAAAAAGATATATATTTTTGTTTTCAACAGGTGATGAATTTCTTTTTCCGCCAAGATGGAGGCTGAAGGTGGCAGATTGGGGAGAAGAATGACAGCCGGACCTTCTCCTGCTGAGACTCACCAGCTTCCGCTCAGGGGAGGTAGAGGCCATCTAGTCTGGTCCAGGCTTGCTTGCCATCACACACACACACACACACACACACACACACACACAAACACACACGGTTCTCTCCTACTCAGCGGAGACCCCCCCCCACTCACAGCAAGCGCTGCAACCATCCAGTCACTTATCTGGAATAGTATCGGTTCTGCTCAAGCAGCGGGGCTGGACTAGATGACCTCCAAGGTCCCTTCCATCTCTACTCCATTCTTAAAAAAAAATCTGCTTAACTCCAAATCCAAGGCCACCAGATCCAGGAAGATCCCCAGATGCCCCAGATCTAGCAGCCCCCTCCCCCCCATCCATATTTGGATCTCAGCTCAGGCTCTGCTGAACAGGCATGCAGGTATACACACACACACTCTTCTTAAAGAAGCAGCAATGAAGGCACAGGAGGGCCCCTTCAGTCACCTGAGGCCTTTTTCCAGGAAGGCCTACTCAGCCCCACGGCCGCCCCACAGTCTGAAGACCCCTCCCACTGGGGACAGTGGACACTCCCAGACTCTTGCACAGCCCGGGATGCTGCTGAGGGACCCCCCCCCCCGACTTTGTGTTCAGGGTCCTGGCCTGTCAAAGCAGCCCCACCCCACCGGAGCTGCCCCCCCGCTCAGAAAAGGGCTCGGGCGATCCTGCGGCCGGTGGCTTTGATCTTGGGGAAGGTGGCGCAGATGTCCATCTCTCTGGCCCGGGGACTCCTGGGTGGGGGGGTCGGGGGGGGCGTCTTCCTGGGCGCCCCCTTGGGCCGCAGCAGGAAGTCCACGCTGAAGCCGTTCCTGGCATAGAAGACGTTGGCCATGGGGGGGAAGACCAGCTCTGCGGGAGAGAGCGGGGGAGGGGATCAATGGGGGGGGAGCCCCACGAGAAAGGCCCCGCCCTCCTCCCCAGCGCCCCTAGACCCCCCCCTCCAGTCAAGCCTCCCCCCAACCCCCCACCCCACAACAGACCAGCTTCATAGCACCCAAGCGGTCAGGAGGTAGGCAGTTCCCATTCTCAGACCTGAATTTGAATACAGGACCTCGTATGGTCTCAAGGGTGCAGAGATAATGGCTTTACGGAATCAGGTTTACAGGGACCCCAGCATGCCAGGCACTTTCTTTTTTCACACACACACAACCCATTATTTAATTTAATTACTTAATTTTGTTGTGAGTTACACAATGACAATAAAGATTCTATTCTATTCTATTTTATTCTGTATTCTGTTCTGTCCTATAGTGCGCTATCCTATATTCTATTCTGTTCTGTTCTGTCCTGTCCTGTCCTATCTTTTATTCCATTCTATTCCATGCCATTCTATATTCTATTCCATTTTCTATTCTATTCTATATTTCTATTCTGTAATTCCTATTCTATTCTATATTCTGCATTCTATTGTACTATTCTATTCTGCTCTTATTCTATTCTATATTTCTATTCTGTTCTATTCTATTCTATTCTATTATTCTATTCTATTATTATTCTATTCTATTATTATTCTATTCTATTCTGTATTCTGTTCTGTCCTATAATGCCCTATCCTATATTCTGTTCTGTTCTGTCCTGTCCTATCCTATCTTTTATTCCATTCCATTCCATGCCATTCTGTATTCTATTCCATTTTCTATTCTATTCTATATTTCTATTCTGTAATTCCTATTTTATTCTATTCTATTCTATATTCTGCATTCTATTGTACTATTCTATACTACTCTTATTCTATATTTCTATTCTATATTTCTGTTCTATTTCTATTCTATATTTCTATTTCTGTTCTGTTCTATTCTATTCTACTCTATTATTATTCTATTCTACTCTACTATTATTCTATTCTATTCTATATTCTATATATTCTATATTCTATATTCCATTCCATTCCACTCTATTCTATTTCATTCTATTCTATTCTATTTTCTATTCCATTCCATTCCATCTCTATTATAAAGAGCCTCTGGAACAAACCAACCGAGGCCCTCCTCGGGGCATCCAGGCCAGTCCCAACAAGAGGATCCCCCCGTCTCCAATACTCACCTCGGCCGTCCGGCAACACCTGCACCAGCTCGTAGTCCTGTGCCAGATCCTGGTCCTGGTTGTGTTTCTCCAACACCTTGGCCACCACGGTGGGCGCCTTATCCTGGCTGGTCACCTGGGGAGGGGCACGTAAAAAAGGGCTCAGCCCACCCACCCCGTTGGTGCCCCCCCCTCTACAGGCAGAATTCCCACCCAGCACTTGCCAAGCGGGATCGGCACCCATCCCACGCTTGGGTCTACCCTGTCAGCAGCCTTTCCAGGGACCTCCAAGTGGAATGGAGGCCCGGCTGGTCAGAGAAAAAGCTCAGCCCCACTTGCCAAAAACCTAGAACTCAGCCAGGATGGACAGAAATCCAGAGAGCTGAACAGACGGTGGTTTGCTCAGTTTTAAAAATTTTAGTTGCTTTTTATTTATCTTTTTACGGTCTGTAAGCTGTCCACCCTATCGGGGAGATAGACGGCATATAAATTGAATAATTTATATGCTGCCGGGGGGGGGCTTGATTGAAGAGTTTAATTAAAAAGAAATAGAGGGTGCTGTGCATGTGTTCTCTCTCTTTCTCTCTCCTTCTCTCTCTGCCTCTTTTTCTCTCCCTTTCTCTTTCCGCTCCGTCTCTTTCTCTCTCTTTCTCTCCCTCTCTCTCTCTCTCTCTTCCCCACTCTCCAATCTTTTGCTCGCCTGGAAAGCTGGCTTCACATTCTCCGACAAGTTGACACACATTCTTATTGGGCTGACTGTCTCCTGCCCTTGGTCTGCCAGTCCTCTTCCCCCACTCAAGAGTGTGTGTGTCTGTGTGTGTGTGTGTGTGTGTGAGAGAGAGAGAGAGAGAGAGAGAGAGAGAGAGAGAGAGAGCTGCTGCTTTCTGCTGTTTCCTGCTGAGATAAAGCAAAGGCAGGAGCCCCTCCCAATAAGCTTGTCAGCTTGTCAGAGAACAGCGTGAGGCCACTCTTTTTTACACAGAGAGAAAGAGAGAGGGAGGGAGATGGAGAGGGAGAGGGAGAGAGAAGGGAAATGCAAGTGCCTCTGTCTCTGTCTCTCTCTGCAAATGGCAGACTGGGAGCCGCAGGAGAAGGCCTAAAGAGCCACATGCGGCTCCAGAGCTGCGGGTTTCTGACCTGTGGTATAGGTCCTCCTGTTTGAGCAGGGGGCTGGACTAGAAGACCTCCAAGGTCCCTTGCATCTCTATTTCTATTTCTATTATTTCTATTTCTATTATTTCTATTTCTATTCAATTCCTGCAACTGTTCTTTATATCTTATAGCCTCCAGTCTCCTAAATTTCTAGAGCCTCAACCTCTTTTTTTATGTTGTCGTAAGTCGATGCATTTAATTAGCTGAATCTGCGCGCGCACACACACACTCACAGCACTCTAAAAAGACGCATCGTCTCCCAGGCTCAGCTCCAGCTCTTCTCCCTCTTTCACCCCAGTCCAGGTGTGAGGAGAGGTTCTCTTGACCAAATCTCCCCTCACACACACACACACACACACACACACACACACACACACTCACACTCACCAGGATGCTCTTGTAGAGGGTGCCGTTCTGCAGCGCCATGCTGACCCGGATAATGCAGCAGTCGGAGGGACAGGCGCCCCCCGTGTCGGGGGTCTTGGGGTAGACAGATCCGCAGGAGGCCGAGCGCCGGTGGCCCTTGAGGAAGATGTCCCCCGTGGCAGGGAGGGGGGCCAGGCCATCCCCGGGGGAGGAGCAGGAGGGGGCCGAGGTGTCCAGGGCCGAGACAGAGGGCCACTTGCCCTGCAGGAGAGCGGGAGGGAAGTGAGGCCGGGAAGGCAGCAGGGGCCGGTCCTGGGTTCAAGGAAAGGGCCCTTCGGGGAAGCCATCTCCGGCCCTCCTGCTTAGAAAAAGGGGCCGGCATCCCAGGCAAGAAAGGGGCCCCGGGGAACCAGGAGGGCCCCTTCCCCCTGTGTTATATGCGTGTTCACTGGTCCATCCGTGTTGGGGACCTCATTCCTCCTTTAGCATCCTCCTCTTCCTCCTCCCCTGGGTCAGGAAGGTACCCCAAGCCTCCCCCACCCCAAGCTTCGCTGCAGGGGCAGAGCACGGAGCGTCCCAGACGCTGCAGCCAAAGGGGCTGGAGGTTGGGTCCGGATTCGAATTCGGCCATCGGTGGCTGTTGAGGGACAGGAGATTTTGGCATTTCCGGCAACTCCTGCCCTCCTCCCTTTCGGCCCTCCCGTTTTAGGATCTGGGCATGTTCCTAAAGGGGGGAACCGAGGGAACGTTGTCTGAAATAGCATCTCCTGCTTGATCCGGGGGGGGGGGGGCTGGACTAGATGACCTCCGAGGTCCCTTCCGACTCTGTTATTCTGCGAGGCGGCTTCCTTAAATGTGGGTCCCGGTTGGAAGGAGAGAAGCGGCCCTGAAAGGGGGGGTGGGGCAGACTCCCTTCCACGCCGGGAGGGGGGGTGTCCAAAGGAGAGGGGGCTCTTTGAAGTCCGTCGGATCTTGGAGAATTTGGGGGGCCCAGAGCAGACCCCACAAGAGGAACAACCCCGCCCTCTTTGTGAACTGTGCTTTGAAATCATACTGAGGACTAGAAACTTGGGGGAGGGAGGGAGCAAGTTGGATCAGCCACACCTGATTCTGAGGTCTTTGGGGGGGGTCACCCCTCGGCCTCCCCCCCCAGAAGGAGTAGAGTGGAAGAGTCCAGAGGAAGGAGGGGGGCAGTCCTGAGTCACCTGGATGGGTTGGGGGGCCCCCAGGGCGGTGGGGGAGGTGGCCGATGGGCCCAGCAGGCTGGGCGAGACGTGGGGGGACCCCGCTCTGTCCCAGGGCAGGGGGGCGCTCACGCCCAGCGAGGTGATCAAGCTGGAAAAGGAAACAACGGGGGTCAGCGGGAAATGGAGTGGGAGGGGCAGAGACCCCCCCAGAGACCCTCCCCCCTCCCGGTCCGTACTCTGTGCAGCGTGTGATCACCAAGGTGGGCTTGCTGGACTTGGCGGGGGCCCCTCCCTCAGTGGGGGCCTCAATGGTGCAGGAGAGCCGGTAACTGAAGGGCGAGAGACGATGGTGAATCAGAAAGGGGAGACAACGGAGGGGGGGGTCTCTAGGCCAAGCTCCTCCTCTCTTCCAGAGCCCCCCCCCGCACCCACCTCTGGGCCTCGCTGAGGGGGGGCAGGCACTGCAGCCATCCCTGGAGGGTCCAGTCGGGGGCCAGGGCGTAGTTGCGGCATTTGGCCTGCAGGAGGCGCAGGCGGGTGAGGATCTCAAACTCCTGCAGGGAAGGAGGAGAAGAGAGGGGATTGGGGGGTCCTTCTAGTGGGTGGGGGGCAAACTGGGACCCCCTACTACTCCACACACACACACAGACACACACACGGCACCTACCTTGCGGTGCTTCTCAAAGTTGATGTAGCCGCTGTTCTGCAGAGGGAAGCGAGAGGTGCCCGGTCAGCCTCCAGGCCCAGCCTGACCCCCCCCACACACACACACACACTCTCTCTCCCCCCACCAAGGCTGCACCCCATTCGGAGAAGGATTGCAAGGCCCAGAGGCTCCCCCCCAGGGAGCTGAACCAGTCAGCCGGGGCCCACCGCCTGCACACCACCACCCCATCCAGACCAGTTGGTCAACTACAATTGTGTCAGAAAGACGACACAATTTGAGGACCCCTGAGATGTCTGACTGGCCAATGCCCCCCCACACACACACACATCTTCCTCTGGGCTGCCCCCCCCCAATACAAACTCTGCCTATGGCTTTTGGCTGAAAGTTACTCTTCCCCGGTTGAATTCCCGCCTGCGCAGAGCTGTTCGAAAAACAGGGGCAAGCTCTTTGAAGCGGGGAGAGGCACCAAAGCCCAAAGGGGGGGGGTCCCCAAGACCTTCCAACCGGCCATCCTCTTCTCCCATAATCCACAGCCCCATCCAAGGTTGGGGAGGTGTGGCAGGCTGATGCAACGCTGCAAGGACATGCACACACACACACGCACCCACACACCCTCAGCCTGATCAGCCAACGCTTCAGGCACCCAACAGAGACACCAGCTGTGCTGCTGATGTTCTCTCCCCCCCTCCAGCCTGCAAACCCCTCCCTCAACCCCCCAAGTCCCCCCTTGCTGGGGGGGAACAGCAGCAAAGGCCCTTGCTGGCTCTCACCTGCAGCCGGGTGGGAGTGGCTGCATCCAGCATCACCAGGTCCTTCAGGAAGGTGCCCAGGTAGGGGATCACGCCCTGCAGGGACACTCCCAGGTTAAGGACAGCGGAGCCCCCTCGCCTCCTCCCCAACACCAGCCCCCCACCCTCCTCCAAACCAGCCCCCCCTTACCAAAGGGCGCTGCTCCTGCAGCCTCCGCTGATGCTTCCGCTGGGGCAGCTCGGCCCCTCCCACCGCTGCTCCAGGGCCGCCTTCCTGGGGGGCGACAAAAGGGAAAGAGCTGGGGGGAGGGAGGGAGAAACCCCCGGCAGCTCCCCCAAAACCCACAGGAGCCCCCATAACACAGCACTGGAAGGGGGGAGGCGCGGCAAAACATCCGGCTTAAATCCGTCATCCAGCCAAGCCTCAAGTCCCCTTCGAGGGCCTGGGACCCATCATCCCCTGGGGAAGATGGGAGTTGGAATCCAAGGACGGTGGGAGGCACCCGTGTTGGGGAGGGCTGGGAGGGGGCGCAATCAATCCATCAAGCGAGGAGGGTACCGCCGTTGTGTTTTCCTCTCTTCCAGAAAACGGGCATCAAGGTGGAGAGCGATTCATATTTATATATTATTAGTACGTAAGGGTGTAGGTATGTGCATAGCATACATGTTATATGTGGCATGTTTGTGTGTGTGTTATGTATGCGTACGCTTTTGAGAGCCGGCAACAGAGTTTCATTGTCAACGTGTGCGGGTGTGCCCACAGTAAAAAATGACAATATATTTATATTTATATTATATATTAAATTACATTATTAAATTATTATATTACAGTATAGTATAGCATAGTACATTTATTACATTATATTATATAGTATAATATAGTATAGTATAGTATATATCATGTCATATTATATCATATAAATCATATCAATTATATTATAATATTATATTGCATTACTATGTTATATCATATTATATATTATATCATATTAATTATATAGTATATTAATATCATATTTATTATATTATATATTATATTACATTACATTACATTATATATTAATATCCTATCTATTATATTATACGATATTATATATTATATGATATTATATATTATATTATTGTATTATATAAATTATATTATATTATATTAATTATATTATAGTATATTATATTATATTAATTATATTATGTTATTTATTTATGAGACTTATATACCGCTTTAAATGCAAGCACTCTCTAAGCCAGTGGTTCTCCACCTGTGGGTCGGGACCCCATTTGGGGTCGAACGGCCATTGCACGGGGGTCGCCAAACAAGGCTGTCCACCATTTTTTTCCCCTTTTCTTTGGCCACGCCCCTGGCACCCGGTGATGTATAAGTGGTTGGGGGTCACCACAACATGGGGAACTGTATTATGGGGTTTTATTATAATATAATATTATATTATTTTAAATATACTAATAGTATATATTATATACTATATATTATATTATATATTATATTATATATTATATTATATATTATCTATCACACAAATGCAGGCTGCAAAGCCCCGTTTAGCCAAAAGTGCACAAACACAGCAGCCCCCAAAGCTGCTTTCTCTACCCGCCTCGCCCCCCCCCCTCCACCCCACTCCTCACCCCAAAAGAATGGAGATTTGGGGCGTTGAGCTCCGTCATTTCCTTATGCAACAGGAACGGCAAGAAGGATGGGCTTTGTTGCCCGTTACACACAGCAGAGGTCCCCAACCCCTGCGCAATAAGATTTGTCTGGCATGATCTGTTTTTGACTTCGTAAGAACATGATTCAGACAAGCACAAACACACGGCGGCAACCAAGAACACACACAAAAAGGAAATGGACCACCGTTTTCCAGCAAAAGGGATACGCACGCACCTTTATCAAAAGGTGCCTGACCACTCAACACCCCTACAACACAACCGCAGCATGAGCTGTGAAAAGAGTAACGTTGCCATACGTCAAAAATGTCCAAGAACAAAAAGGACCGTTGTAACCGCACGGCATCATCGTAACGCATAAACCAAATAAAACCCATTAAATAAATCAAAACATCCAGCAGCCCTGGGGGAAAAAATGGGAACCATTTACAACATACAGTGCAAGGATGGTAATAGCCACTTGTAGAACAGGGGTGTCCAACTTGCAATGTCATGTGACGTGTCACGACTTTTTTCCCCATTGCCGGCAATGGGGCGGGCACCATTTCAGCATGATGCGCCTGGCCCGTGGGCTGGCTGTTTGACACCCCTGGTGTAGGACAAACAGGCAGAGGACTAGCAGGTGTGTATCCACAAACACCACGTGGCAATCAAAAGACACAATTAAAACTCCTCAGTCTCTTAGCCTGCGGACAGGCCTGACTGTATAGAGTAAGAATAATAACTTTATAGTCACTTTGTATATACACTAGTCGGCATCCGTTAAAATGAAATTTCGTTGTATGCAGCTCTCAAAAGGTTGCCGCCCCCAATATATGCTGCATAAATATGACAAAAATAAATAAATACAGAATTTATTTATTTATTTATTTATCTCTCCCATATTTGGGCAACAGGGTGTAACATACAGCATTCTAGATAACTCCTCCCCTGTTTCTTCCCTCCCTAACACAGCTGGCAAAAGTGAGACAGAGCCTGTGGCCTAGAGGTTAATACAGCTGCCTAACATGCAGACAGCCCAGGTTTGAATCTCAGAAGGGTATGTCTGGTTGAAAAGAGCTAAAGAGTTCGAAATAGCTATTCCAGTTCTCCCTTAATTCTTTGCTAGCAATCCAAATTTTAGAAATATACAGAATTATGCATGTACCCACATATATAAGTTTTTCAGACAGACCGGTCTGATTGATTGCACCTTGGCATTTTGACTGCTATACTGCAGTTCTACCTTTTTATAACCTCTTTATAATCTCTCATAAAGGATGTGGCTAGCTGATGAGGACAAATGAGTCCGAAATGGCTATACTAGTCTCCCACTTAAATCTTTAACTCTTGTCAGCAAAAAGAAATCTGAATATATACAGTGGGGCAAAAAAGTATTTAGTCAGCCACCAATTGTGCAAGTTCTCCCACTTAAAAATATGAGAGAGACTTGTAATTGTCATCATAGGTAGACCTCAACTATGAGAGACAAAATGAGAAAACAAATCCAGACAATCACATTATCTGATTTGGAAAGAATTTATTTGCAAACAATGGTGGAAAATAAGTATTTGGTCACCGACAAACAAGCAAGATTTCTGGCTCTCACAGACCTGTAACTTCTTCTTTAAGAGGCTCCTCTGTCCTCCACTCATTACCTGTATTAATAGCACCTGTTTGAACTTGTTATCTGTATAAAAGACACCTGTCCACAACCTCAAACAGTCACACTCCAAACTCCACTATGGTGAAGACCAAAGAGCTGTCAAAGGACACCAGAAACAAAATTGTAGACCTGCACTAGGCTGGGAAGATTGAATCTGCAACAGGCAAGCAGCTTGGTGTGAAGAAATCAACTGTGGGAGCAATAATCAGAAAATGGGAGACATACAAGACCACTGATAATATCCCTCGATCTGGGGCTCCACGCAAAATCTCACCCCGTGGGGTCAACATGATCACAAGAATGATGAGCAAAAATCCCAGAACCACACGGGGGGACCTAGTGAATGACCTGCAGAGAGCTGGGACCAACATAACAAAGGCAACCATCAGTAACACACTACGCTGCCAGGGACTCAGATCCTGCAGTGCCAGACGTGTCCCCCTGCTTAAGCCAGTACATGTCCGGGCCTGTCTGAAGTTTGCTAGAGAGCATTTGGATGATCCAGAAGAGGATTGGGAGAATGTCCTATGGTCAGATGAAACCAAAGTAGAACTGTTTGGTAGAAACACAACTCCTCGTGTTTGGAGGAGAGCGAATGCTGAGTTGCATCCAAAGAACACCATGCCTACTGTGAAGCATGGGGGTGGCAACATCATGTTTTGGGGCTGTTTCTCTGCAAAGGGACCAGGACGACTGATCCGTGTACAGGAAAGAATGAATGGGACCATGTATCGTGAGATTTTGAGTGCAAACCTCCTTCCATCAGCAAGGGCATTGAAGATGAAACGTGGCTGGGTCTTTCAGTATGGCAATGATCCCAAACACACCGCCCGGGCAACGAATGAGTGGCTTCGTAAGAAGCATTTCAAGGTCCTGGAGTGGCCCAGCCAGTCTCCAGATCTCAACCCCATAGAAAACCTTTGGAGGGAGTTGAAAGTCTGTGTTGCCCAGCGACAGCCCCAAAACATCACTGCTCTAGAGGAGATCTGCATGGAGGAATGAGCCAACATACCAGCAACAGTGTGTGCCAACCTTGTGAAGACTTACAGAAAACGTTTGACCTCTGTCATTTGCCAACAAAGGATATATAACAAATTATTGAGATGAACTTTTGATATGGACCAAATATTTATTTTCCACCATAATTTGCAAATAAATTCTTTCCAAATCAGACAATGTGATTTTGTCTGGATTTGTTTTCTCATTTTGTCTCTCATAGTTGAGGTCTACCTATGATGACAATTACAGGCCTCTCTCATCTTTTTAAGTGGGAGAACTTGCACAATTGGTGGCTGACTAAATACTTTTTTACCCCACTGTATATATATGCACCCTGTCGGCCCAAATATGGGAGGAAGAAATCTTTCGAATCTCAGAAGGGTATGTCTGGCTGATGAGAGCTAATCAGCTCGAAATAACTATCCCAGTCCCCCTTAATTCTTTGTTAGCAATCCAAAAATTTAGGAAACACAAATGATGTTGCAGTAGTGACTGCTGTCTCTGGGTGGCTCTAGATTGAGCTGATACAAGCAAAAGGTTTCTTCCTCCCATATTTGGGCCGATAGGATGCATAAAAAAAACACTCAAAGTAAATCTCCTCCTCTGGTCTCTTCCCTCCCTGATACAACTGACAAAGTGAGAAAGAGCCTATGGCCTAGAGGTGAACACAGCTGCCTAATGTGCAAGCAGCCCAGGTTCGAATCTCAGAAGGGTATGTCTGGCTGATGAAAGCTAATCAGCTGGAAATAGCTATCCCAGTCCCCCTTAATTCTTCATTAGCAATCCAAAAATTTAGGAAACACACACACACACACACACACACACACACACATCCCACAACAAGCTAAATCTAAAGAAAACCCCCAGGGAATTTCTACAAAGTTGGCATTCCAACAAATCAACCACCAAGGGTCACACAGAGGTAAAACGTGTTCGCTCGCCATTCGGAAAAGACGGCAAGAAAGCTAATGAGGAAATGAAAATACCAAAAAAACAGATCCTTTCCAACAGCCAACACCCAGATAAGCAGGGATTAACACCAGACAAACGACCAAGCAGGAAACAAAGGCCCTAACCAAGAAAGTTAGGTTAGTCGCTCCGGTGAGATGAGTGGTATAGAAGTTTTATATTTTTTTCCATTCCTTTTTCTATTCTATTCTATTCCTTTTTCTATTCTATTTTATTCCTTTTTCTATTCTATTCTATTCCTTTTTCTATTCTATTCCTTTTTCTATTCTTTTTCTATTCTATTCTATTCCTTTTTCTATTCTATTCTATTCCTTTTTCTATTCTTTTTCTATTCTATTCTATTCCTTTTTCTATTCTATTCTATTCCTTTTTCTATTCTATTCTATTCTTTTTCTATTCTATTCTATTCCTTTTTCTATTCTATTCCTTTTTCTATTCTTTTTCTATTCTATTCTATTCCTTTTTCTATTCTATTCTATTCCTTTTTCTATTCTTTTTCTATTCTATTCTATTCCTTTTTCTATTCTATTCTATTCCTTTTTCTATTCTATTCTATTCTTTTTCTATTCTATTCTATTCCTTTTTCTATTCCATTCTATTCTATTCTATTCTATTCTATTCTATTCTATTCTATTCTATTCTATTCCTTTTTCTATTCTATTCTATTCTATTCTATTCTATTCTATTCTATTCTATTCTATTCTATTCTATTCTCTCCTATTGTACTCTACTCTACTCTCTTCTTTACAATGCAGCAAGCCCAATGCAAATCTCTGCATTGGGGAAACAAAACAACCACTTGGCACACCACAGGAGGTCCAACCCACCAGGAGAAGATTCAGCCGTCCATCTGCCTTTTAAGAGACAGAGGCTGCTCTTTGGAAGACAGCAAAGTCCAGATTTTGGACAGAGAGGACCGCTGGCTTGTTAGAGGCATCAAAGAGGCCACCTAGGCCAAAACTGAACACCCCTCTCTCAACAGAGGGGGATAGAACACCGTCCATCTCAAGTTTACACCACGGTCCTTTCAGCAGCTCCAAGATGGCTCCACACCCATTTGCACCGCTCAGGTGACCCTGAGGACACAGGTAAACCCTCAAAGGCTCTCTAAAACAGGGGTCTTCAAACGTGGCCCTTTGATGACTTGTGGACTTCAACTCCCAGAATTCCTCAGCCAGCGTGTACACGCTGGCTGAGGAATTCTGGGAGTTGAAGTCCACAAGTCTTCAAAGGGCCACGTTTGAAGACCCCTGCTCTAAAAGAAGGCAAATGATCAGCTGTCTGCAAGGAGTATTAAATCAGAGCTGAGGAAGCAAAATGTCTTCAGAGAGAGACAAAGACGTCCAGCGGGCGTTTGGTAACAAGCGCCTTTCGGGAAAACCGTGAGCTGGGTGACGGGTGAAGCTGCGCAGACCTTCCCTTGCTGAGATTCCTGGGGTGGGGAGGGGGGAATACCTGCATCTCCAGCCCCTCCCCCGGCGGCAATTGCACCTCCAACTCGCAGGCCGGGGAGGGAGCAGGGAAGGGAGCGCCCCCCCCCGGGGGGGGCTTACCTGGAAGAGGAGCTGCCGGCTTTGGCTGTAGTTATCCTGCTCGGAGCAAATGGCGCTGAGCTCCTCGTAGCAACGGGAGGAATCCCTGTCAAGCAGAGAAGAAGGCTTCTTTGAGGGGGGGAGGAGGACCACCCCACCCTCAAACTCCCCCCTCCCAAAATGAGGTAACAAGAATAATAATAATAAAGTTGGAAGGGACCTTGGAGGTCATCTAGTCCAACCCCCTGCTCAGGCAGGAAACCCTACACCATTTCAGACAAATGGCTGTCCAGTCTCTTCTTAAAAGCTCCCAGTATAATAATAATAATAATAATAATAATAATAATAATAATAATAATAATAATATAGAGTGGGAAAGGACCTTGGAGATCTTCTACTCCAACTCCTTGCTCAAGCAGGAGAACCTATGCCATATAATAATACTAATACTAATACTAATAGAGTTGGAAGGGACCTTGACGGTCATCTAGTCCAACCCCCTGTGCAAGCCAGAAACCCTAGACCATTTCAGACAAATGGCTGTCCAGCCTCTTCTTAAAAATCTCCAGTGTTGGAGCATTCACAGCTTCTGGAGGCAGGTTGTTCCACTGGTTAATTGTTCTAACTATCAGGAAGTTTCTCCTTAGTTCCAGGTTGCTTCTCTCCTTGATTAGTTTCTACCCATTGCTTCCTGTCCTGTCTTCAGGCCCTTTGGAGAATAGCTTGACCACTGAGATATTGGAGCACGGCTACCATGTCACCCCTAGTCCTTCTCTTCATTAGTTGGAAGGGACCTTGGAGGTCATCTAGTCCAACCCCCTGCTCAGGCAGGAAACCCTAGACCATTTCCGACAAGTGGCTGTCCAGCCTCTTCTTAAAAACTTCCAGTGTTGGAAGCATTCACAACTTCTGGAGGCAGGTAGTTCCACTGGTTAATTGTTGCAAGGGGGCAGAGCCTCTTTGTCCCCCCGCTCCACAGGTCTGGGGGCAGGGCAGCGAGGGGCAGCCCCTCCCTGACCCCCTTCTCACCCACCTGGAGGTCTCCTCCCAGGTCCGCTTCAGCCGGTGCAGAGACGTGGACTGGAGGGCGGAGACCACGGCGTAGAGCGAGGAGAAGTTGCGCAGAAGGAGACACTCCTAGGGGGTGAGACAGACAGAGAGAGGTGGGATGAGTTCGGGGTCCTGATCCCCCAACCGTCCCGGGGAGGGCAGGATTGGGACCCACCTCGGCCACGCAGATCCACTTCTCCAGCAGCCGCGCTCGCTGGGCGGCCCGCAGGCCCGTGTCCCACAGGCAGGAGAAGATGACGGCGTTGGCCACGAGGTTAAACTGGGCCACGGTGGCCCGGACGGTGGGGCAGGCCCCCTGGTGGCCCTTCTTGTCCCGCTGAGACCAGGCCGAGCCCAGGCACTCGTGGGGCACCAGGCGCAGGAAGAGGTCCTGCCGGGGAAACGGCCAGAGACGGGGGTCACCGGAGGGCTGTGGTGTCTCTCCCCATCCCCAAAACTGACCACAGAACCACACAGCAGGCTCCATGAAGGATCATAACCTTCGCTTTCATTTAACCAAGATTCAGTCCACATGGAGGAAAGAAATACACCTGAAAAATACACGGCCAGTGCTAACAGAAGAGTTAGTAAGGGTCAGTAGAGGTGGACCCAGGGACCCTCCTCTCCTGAAACAGTGAAGCTCGTCCATCACACCGTGGTGGCCGCCATCTTGACTTTTTTATATATATAACAAGCTTTATTAGTTTTCCAGTTTAACATCCAAGTATTTAGAAAGCATCGTGGTAACTAGGTAATCAATAGTTCAGTAACAAAATTTTTAGTACATATTTCAGGTTACATTATCAAGAATTCCTTCTCTATTTCCCTTAACATTTCATATAACATACTTAAAGTAGTAAATTTCTAACCATAAGAAGCTCAGTTAAAGCATTTATTAATCTATTTTTACTTATATATATCCATATCTGTTTTTAAATTTTAGCTAATTCTTAGTTTTTAATTACAGTATTCCAGTTTAACCTTTTACATCCATAATCTTCAAATGTTGGTAACCCAAGTTTCCTTTATTTCGCTACAGAAAACTTATGATATCTAAAATACACATATTATTTAAATATATTCTTATTTTATTTCATAAACATTTTCTATTTCTCATCCTCGTACATCACACCTTACTAATAGATTAACCTTTATTGTCTCAAATCCATCATCTATATTTTCTGGGCTAAGCAATAGTTCAAGGCTGATTCCTAGTATTTAATTTCCATTTCCCTTATAAATCTAAATCCTAATTATTAAGCCAGTTAATCCCTTTTTTTTATCGTTTTCCAACAACATTTGAGTCTAATAGTCCTATTTCCAATCTTGACTTTTTTGACCAGCACCCCCCAAAGACTCCGTTGGGGCAACAGGTATATTGTCAGCACACACACACACACACACACACACACCAAGTTGCCTTGTAGCGAGACGGGCAGCAAGCAAATTTAATAAGTAAAAATGAGCCACAGGTAGGAGAACAGCACGAAAACGGCAAGCCTGCAATGGAGGCACGCACCCACCAGGTGGCGCTACTATGCAGGAAAAAAATTCTGCTATTCCGCAGAGAAAAATAAAGGGGGGGCAGCTCAGCCAGATGAGGGGCTTGAACCCCCATAATAAGCAGGCCGTTGCCCGCTGGCAGCGCGCCCCCAAAATCACCCACCTCCCAACTCTGCCAGGTGAGCCAGTCAGGCTTCTGGGGAGCCTGCAATGGAGGCACACAGCCATCAGGGGGCGCTACTCTCTGCAGGGAAAAAAATTCTGCTATTCCACAGAGAAAAATAAGGGGGGGGGGTCAGCTCAGCCACATGAGAAGCCTGAACCCCCATAATAAGCCATATTCCGCTGGCAGGGCACACCCCAAAATCACCCACCTCCCAACTCTATGCCAGGTGAGCCGGCCAGCATGGGGAGGTGCCACAGCTGGAATTGGGGGGGGGGGTGTTGCAGGCAGACTCCCCTCCCAGCCCGCCCCCCCCCACACTCACCGCGTCCTGCGCAGTGAGGTGTGCAGCCACGTCTTCCGCCTGCAGTCCCAAGATGTAGTGGGGGTCAGGGTCCCCTCCGTGCGGGGCGGTGGGGGGCTCTCTCCTGCTTGGGGGGTCCGGCAAGGTCTTCTCGGGCCCCTGGCTGTTCCCGCAGGCCCAGTGCAGCCAGCTGACCAGCTGTTCCCGCAGGTGGGGCTCCAGCCCCACGAAGTCCTGGGGGTAGCCGTCCAGCCAGGAGCAGAGCAGCGCGGCCAGGGCTCTGTGGGGGGGGGGAGGGGGAGACGGAGGAACGATCAGGGCTGGACCCCCCACCCCAGCTGCGAGCCATGGGGCAAACTCCCCTCGGGAAGGATGATCTTGCTGATCAATCCTGATATTCTGGGATTGACTGCTCCCGACGCTGGAGGTTCTGCACAGCCTTCAGACAAACTCTGTGCCCCAGAGGAGGGGCGCAAAGACCACCCAACCCTGCTGAGCAGCTGCCAAGGGGGGTGGGGATGCAGTGGGACAGCCTGTCTTCCCCCCCCCCCGTCGGCTGTGTGCTCCACCCTCGGTGGAGACTGGTGAGCCCTGGAATGACCCCTGCAAGGGAGGGGGCCTCACGGAGGATAAAATAGCCCAATCCAGAACAAGGGTGCCTCTGAGCATGGCAGTGGTGGCCCAACCTCCACCACGGAAGGAGAAACCCCCAATTTTGCCAGCAGTGTGTGTGGGGGGGGGGGTTGGGGAGGGACCAGGGCCAGAAGGGGGGGGGACTCACTGCCGCAGCTCCTCCGTCTTTTGGGGGCCGCAAGCATTGGATCGGGTCACCACCTGGAGCCTTCCAGCGGGGAAAAAACACGGAGCAGCTTCAGAAGCCAGAAAGACAGGTCGAGAAGTGTTTAAATAATAATAATAAACAAGTTGGAAGGGACCTTGGAGGTCATCTAGTCCACCCCCCTGCTCAGGCAGGAAACCCTATACCAAACGGCTGTCCAGTCTCTTCTTAAAAACTTCCAGTGTTGGAGCGTTCACCGCTTCTGGAGGCAGGTGGTTCCACTGGTTAACTGTTCCCGTGTTATCTTCCCTACAGCCCTGTGAGGCGGGCCAGGCTGAGAAAGAGGGTGCCCACGGCAGGCGCAGGGAGCCGCCGCCTGGATCTCTAAGGGAATCCACCACCCCCCTCGCGACCCCCAAGGCCTCCCCCGGAGACTCCCGACGCCCACCTCTCCAGCAGAAGCTCCAGGACGGTGGAGGGCTGGGTGAAGCTGCGGTAGGTGGCCAGGAAGGCCGGCCGGTAGCCCGCGTCCCCGAGGGCCGGAGCCTCCAGCAGGTGCCGCACCAGGCGGGGCAGCGAGCCGGCCTTCAGCGCCCGGGACGGTGCGGGGGCGGCGGGGAACTCCGCTACGCCGGACGCCCCCTCGACCTGCCGGGGGGGGGGGGAAAGAAGGAGACGGAGGGAGGTTGGGAGGGGAGGAAGCGGCGCCCCGAATCCCCCCGTCAAGTCCCCCCTCCCTGCCCCCCCACTTACCCCGCTCCCGGCGCCGCCACGGGGCCCCTCCGGAGCCCGCGCGCTCACGGTGTAGACGGCGCCCTCCTCCGCCTCCTCCCACGAGGTCAACGGGGCCTGCGGAGGGGGAACGAGGAGGAGGAAGAAGAGGATAGAACATTGCTGGAAGGGACCCTCGAGGTCTTCTAGTCCACCCCCGTGCTGCAGACGGGCGGGAGATCCCCCGGCCCCGCTCGACCCCTCTCCCCAAGCCCCCCTATACCTTGGCGGGCAGGCAGTACCAGCGGGTGCGCGTCAGCGGGGGAGCCTGGCCCGCCGCCCCCGCTTCCAGGCAGCCCCCCAGGCGGAGGAGGCCCTTCATGGGCGGGTGGGGGGCGGCCAGGGAGCGGGCGCCGTCGGGCCTCGCCTTCCCCGCCAACCTGCTGCTGCGCCTTCCGCTTCCCCGCCGCCCGCCCGCCCGCGCCACTTCCCCAAACAGGCCGGGCCGCATTCCAGCTGCCGGGCCACGGCTGTAGAGCGCCGCCGCCCTTGCGGTCCGCGGCTGCAGGAAGGGGCCTCGGCTCGCCGGAGCCCCGAGGGCGCGCGTTAGGGGGCCGCGGGGCGCAGCGGAGGGACAGCCCGTGGCCGCCCCCCAGCCCAGCCCGGGACCCTCCGGGGCTCACCGGCTGCGCGTCCGGCGGGCGCCGCTCCTGGGCGTCGGGGCTGCGGCTGCGGACGGCTCGGAGCGTCGCCGCCGCTTCGCCCTCGCCCGGCAGCAGGAGGCGCAGGGAGCGGCTCAGCATCCGGACCCGCCGCGCCTGCGGGAAGGGGGACCCGGGCGGGCGGCGGAGGCGCTTCCCCCGCAGGAGCCTCCGAGCCCGGCGCGCCCTGCCCGCCTCTGGCCCTCCTGGAGCGAGTCCCGCGGAGATCGGAGCCTTGGCGGGAAGCGGCGACGCCGGATGGGCGGCCGGACAGCGCGCGGCCCCCGGCGGGGCTCCTGGGCGTCTCTCCGTAACGGGAAGCCGGCGCCGAGGAGGTCAGAGGCCGGATGAGGCCGGGCCGCGCCAAAGGCCGGAACTGGATCCGGCTGAGAGCGGAGACGCGGCCGCCGAAGGGCCGGACCGGCTGCTCGCAGGTCGTTCTGCCCGGCCGGCGAAGGCGCCGCGGGGCGAAAGGACCAAACAAGGCGGGGGAGGCAGCCGGCAGTTCCTCGGGCTTGTCCCGTCCGCGGTTGGAGGGGATGATGGGTGCTGCAGTCCCAACGCTGGGGGGGAAGGGGGGTGTCCGATCCTGCCCCCCCCAATCGGGAAAGGGCTCAAGGAACGCGCGGGGGGGGCACAGGCAGAGAGCCCCCCCCCACCTTCCAGCAGCTGCAAACAAGCATTTTAAGGATGATCTCATTTGAATCCTGGTTAGTTGTGCCAACCCAGCCAGTTCCGGGGGCTGCGGGAATCATGGGCAGGAGTCCCACTGGTGCCGTCTGCCCTCCCCCTTGTAACCGCCACAAGGAGCCACTGAGCCCATCAGGAAGCGGAGAACAGCAGGCCACGTCACCCAGTATATCCCCATCCGGTTGGACTACAGCGGCCCTCATCCCCAGCCAGGACCACCTGGACCAGACCTGGGTGTTTAACACACACACCCCCTTGGACCATGTCCAGGTCTTTGGCTGTTCCTGTCCGGCCCCGTCAGGTCAATCGGGAATTAGAAATCAAATGTAAATAAATATAAATATACACTGTGCACAAAACACAGCCAAGTTGCTTTCAGATTGAAAGTGGCCCTTTTTGTGTGTGTGTGTGCATCTATGCACCTTCACAACCATCATGGTTTGGCCTTCCACAGCAGCTGCAGACACACGGCCCCTTGGGGAGAACGAATGGCCCAGCCCCAACTACTACACAGCCCTGCGCTCTCCACCCTGGATGGGAGACCACCCGGAAAGCCCAGGACCCACCCCCTTCCGCCCTGTGTCGGGAGGGGGATTGACATGGGCACAGCCACGGGACTCCCACGGCACACACACACATACCCCCCCGCCCCAAGGAGAACACGGAGAGAGACGTGGGTGGGAAACATTTTATTCGCACGGAGCTTTCACTTCTTCTTGGAGACGCCCACGGTCCGGCCCCGCCGGCCGGTGGTCTTGGTGTGCTGGCCGCGGACACGGAGGCTGGGGGGGGGAAGGATAGGGGAGCGATGAGGAGGGGGGCCGATAAAGGAAGGGGTCCCCCCCCCCGAGGCCATCCACTCCACTTTGGCTCTTTTATGCCTCCTGGACTTCAACTCCCAGAATTCCTGAGCCAGCTGTGGGGGGGGCTCTCCTCACCCCCCACACACACCCCCACCCGCTCACTTACCCCCAGAAGTGGCGCAGGCCCCGGTGGGCCCGGATCTTCTTCAGGCGCTCCAAATCCTCACGCAGCTTGTTGTCCAGACCGTTGGCCAAGACCTACGGGGGGGGGGAGGGAAGGAGGGGTCAGCAAAGCCCCCCCAAAGAGACCCCAACTCCAGACGCCCCCCCCAGCCTGGGAACTCCAACGGGGGGGCCTAAACAACCTACTCCCCCCTCCCCCAGGCTGCACCCAGGACTCTTGGCCAGCAGTCTCCCCCCCCCCCAGAAAGCCCCCCGCCAGTAGTCATCCCCCTCCCACGGGGAAAGCCCCCCCCTGGGGTCTCACCTGGCTGTACTTGCCGTCCTTGACGTCCTTCTGCCGGTTCAGGAACCAATCAGGGATCTTGTACTGCCGGGGGTTCTGCATGATGGTGATGACCCGCTCGACCTGGGGGGAAAGTTCGGGGGGGGGAGGGGGTCAAGAGGTCAGAGGCCCACCGGTCAGGGCCCCCAATGGCTAAAGGCCGGGCAGGGAGGGAGGGGCTGAGGGCCAAATGAGACCGGCTGGATAGCTGCCCTTTGGATCCACTGACCGACACCCCCCCCCAGCTGGCAATGGGGGCCTGGGGAGCCCCCTCCCCAAGGATACTCTCTGTGTGCCGGACAGACACTGGGCAGAGGGGCCTGGGCTGAGACGTTGTGTGTGTGTGTGTGTGTGTGTGGTTAGAATCGTAAAGGGACCTAAAAGATCATCCAAACCCCGAACACACACACCGCCGCTATTCAGGACCGCTAGCTATTTGGCCTCCTGCTATGGTCACTCCTGGGTTTCCCGGGGACCCCCCCCCATTCCCATCGGCCGCTTCTTCGTCACCCCTCCCCAAAATCCAGACAAGCCCCCCCCCCAGCTCTTTCTCACCTCGTCCTCCGTGAGCTCGCCGGCCCGCTTGGTCAGGTCGATGTCCGCCTTCCGCAAGACCACGTGGGCGTAGCGCCGGCCCACCCCCTGCGGAGGAAGGGACGAGCCGCTCAGAGGGGGCCCCCCAGGGAGGGCGGCCAGATCCCCCCCCTTCCCCGGGCAGCCTGGTTCAGTTGCTCCCGAGTCCAAAACTTCACTTTGCAAATGTTTCACTTAGTGCAACCGCTCAACAGCGGTCGCGAGCCGAGGACCGCCTGCCTGGGCTCTTAGGGGGGCTCCACGCAGACCTTCAGGTGGGACAAAATGCCAGATGTGGATCGGGACCCCTCCCCTCCCCAGCACCAGCCAAGGCCGCCCACCTGTCCTCTCAGCGACAGGGGCCACACATGTGCCCCCAACCAAGCCCCAGATGCCTGTAACAGCCCTCCCACCCCACAGCCCCCCACCCCCCACCTTGATGGCGGTGATGGCGAAGGCAATCTTCCTCCGCCCATCGATGTTGGTGTTCAGGACTCGCAGGATGTGCTGGAACTTCTCTGGGATCACGAGAGACTGGAGGGGGGGGGAGAAGACGGGGAGGGGGCTGTGTGAGAAATTGGGGGGTAGGAGGGGAAGCCCCCCCCACTGCTGCAGCCCCCCCGCTTGTGTGACCTCCCCCCAGAGGACCAAGTCGGCCCCACTAAGCTCCATGGAGGCTGGATTACGACTTGTGGACTTCAACTCCCAGAATTCCTGAGCCAGCCATGCTGGCTCGGGAATTCTGGGAGTTGGAGTCCACCAGTCATAAAGGGGGACTGTGGCTGTCCCCCCCCCATGCTGGCTCAGGAATTCTGGGAGTTGGAGTCCACCAGTCATAAAGGGGGACTGTGGTTGTCCCCCCCCATGCTGGCTCAGGAATTCTGGGAGTTGGAGTCCACCAGTCATAAAAGGAGACCATGGCTGCCCCCCCATGCTGGCTCAGGAATTCTGGGAGTTGGGGAGTCCACCAGTCACAAAGGGGGGCATAGTTCCCCAGCCCTATGGGATCCATGGTTGTGATGGTCGTATGGTGTCAAGGGGCGGGGGGCATATGATTCACTTTGTGAACTTCTGGCCAGCAAAGTCAGCCTGATTCTGTAATGTGTCTGATATTCGATATTAGCAGCGTTGACAGATTCACTGAATAACCGGGTTTGCCCACTTAGCAACTGCAGCGACTCGCTTAACAACCGTGGTCGTAAAATGGGGCAAAATTCACTGAACCCCAGAAACCTGGGCCTCCCTTGTAGTCGTAAACCGAGGACTAGCTGCACACGTCCAAAACAACGATTATGGGCTTAAATAACGCACGCGCACTACATGCATCCCCTGTACATACAATAGACAAGTATTAAACCAGGATCAAACCAGGATCAAGCCGCCCTGCTGCAGTAGAGCCGTAGAATCGCAGCAGGGCAGGGGGGTCAAAGATCCCGGACGAAAAAGGTGGGCAGAGGCCGCCCCCCCTCCCCTCCCGCCCAGGCACAAATCCAACCGGTGCGCCGGGATTCAAGCTGCGGAGGTTGAAGAGCGACCCAGCCCCCCCAAAAGCAAAGTCCCGGCGTCCCCCGACCCGCCCAGCCCGCTCCTGACCTCCCGAGCGCGACCCCCGTGGCGGATGGCAGTGGATTATTGGTGTCCCGGTAACTCACCATGGCTGCGCGCCGGCTCCTCTCGCTCTCGGCTCAGCCGGAAAAAGAAATGATACAGCGTGAGAGGCCCGACGTCGGACCCACCCCCCGAAGTGAAACTGCCGACGCTTCCGGTGTGGCCACCATAGAGTTAGACTAGTACGGTTCGGCTCCCCCTGGGCGTAAACCATAGAGAGACAAAATGTAGAGAGGAGACTTGAGGGCGTATCATAGAGTAGTATATTCTACGGCGATGTGTGCCTTGCCCTGTTGTGTCCGGAGGGGAAACGAGGAACGAGAAAAAAGAGTTCCGGCTCGCTTAGCCTCTTCCGGCTCGGGCCTAGAAGGAACCGGAAGTTCCCTTCCGCCACCCGGAAGCGGCCCTCTCCTGGTGCGGCGATGGCGTCCGTGGTGGGCTCCGGGCCGGAGGAGACGCCGCGGCGCCCGCAGGGACAGCTCGGCCCGGGGGAGGCGGAGGAGGAAGAGGAGGAGGAGGTGGGCTGCAGCGGCGGCGCTCCTTCCTCCCCCCTCTTTGTCTCGCTGGGCTGCCCATCCTCATGGCCGTCTGTGGTCACGCCCCCTTTCACCTTTGACCCCCTCTGGCCAGGACCCTCGGGCTGCACCTGGCGGGTGGCCGCCTGCGGCCTTCGGGGTTGAGTTCCGGCCTTTTTGGGGGGGAGGGGCGGGCAGAGCCAGGCCCCCCCACAACGCCCCCCCTGTCTCTGCAGGGAGGCCGGTCTGCGCATGTCAGCTGCACCTGTGCCCCAGCGGCCTGCCAGCGATGTCCGCCCTGGGCTGGAGGGGCTGCAGGGGTCGGGTGGCCCCTTTCCCGCCTATCCATTCCTGCAGGGGGCGGGGCTGGGTCTGACCCCGCCCCTCCCTCTCCCCCTCCCTTTACGTAACCCCCCCTCTGGGCTAAAAGGGGTAAAACCACTAAAGGAGAGAATATCCCAGGGGTCTTCCAACTGGGCCCTTTGATGACTCGTGGACTTCAACTCCCAGAATTCCTCAGCCAGCAAAGCTGGCTGAGGAATTCTGGGAGTTGAAGTCCACGAGTCATCAAAGGGCCCAGTTGGAAGACCCCTGGGTGTTTTCTTTGCAGACGTTTCGCGACCTGACTAGGTGACGTCACCAGGGCTAGAAGGGGAGGGGGGAAGGAACAAAAGCCCCCCTCTCCTTCTGGCCCTCCGCACTACACGGCCCATCCTCCCCCGCGGAACGGAAACCTGACCCAAAGGTGCCTTTTTTTCCCCCCCAGGACTTTTCTTTGAAGACGTTTCGCTTCTCAATCCGAGGAGCTTCTTCAGCTCGGACTGGACGGCGGAACTGAAGAAGCCTCTCGGACGAGGAGCGCAACCTCTTCGAGGGAAAAAGGCCGGAAATTCCAGCTGCCTCCTGAAAAAAGCACCTTTGGGGACAGCCGTGACCTGGATGACGGAGAATGGGCGTGGCTGACCTTCTGGGCCGGCCCTCTTCTGGACCGGAGCCTGCCCGTCCATGCACAGAGGGCCCCAAGCCCCCAGTGTTGGGTCTGCCCTGAATCCCGCTGGGTTGCTGGGGATGGGGGGTGGCAACGAGGCCCTTCCCATCAGGGTAGGGCTGCCCTGCTTCAGACTCTCTCTCTCTCTCACACACACACACACACACACACTGAGGGCGTGACAAGGTCCTTTGTTATGTGTCTCCCCCCCCCCCAGGGCCAGAGCGATGAGCCGCTGCCCCTCAACCTGGGAGAGCTGGACCTGACCTCCGAGGAGTTCATCCTGGACGAAGTGGACAGTAAGCTGGGCAAGGGGGGGATGAAGCAAGAGAGGCCGCCGGGGTGGGGGTGGGGGTCTCTCTGCAGCCTCTCCAGAGCTGGGACTGGAGGGGGGGCTTTCAGCCGGGGGGCAGGAGGGTGGACTGATGCTTTTAATGAGGAAAACTCTGCCCCCCCCCAAGGAGATTGACATAGTCTCTGTCCGAGAAGGTGGAAATTGAGGTGCCCAGGAGAATCTTTGGCCAAGTTTCCTCCTCTTGTTCTCTCTCTCTTGTTTGCTCTCTCTTTTCATTTTCTCTCTTGTTTTCTCTTGTCCTCTCTCTCTTCTCATTGTCTCCTCTCTCTCGTTTTCTCTCTGTCATTTTCCCTCTCGTCTCGTTCCCCTCTCGTTCTCTCTTGTTCGCCCTTGTTCTCCTGTCCTCTCTCTTCCCTCGTGTTCTCTCGTTCACTCTCCTCGTTCTCTCTTCTCTCTCGTTCTCTCTCCTCTCTTTGCTGTTCTTCTTTCCTCTCTCTCTCTCTCTCTCTCTCTTGTTCACTCCCTCTCTTGTTTTCCATCTCATCTCGTTCTCTCATTCTCTCCTCTCTCTTCCTTCTTGTTCTCTCTCTCTCTTGTTCTCTCTCCTCTCTTCTTTGCTCTCTCTGGTTCTCCTTTCCTCTCTCTTCCCTCTTGTTCTCTCTCTTCTCGTTCACTCTCTCTTGTTCTCCTCTTTTCTTTGCTCTCTCTCATTCTCCTTTCCTCTCTCTTCCCTCTTGTTCTCTCTCTCGTTCACTCTCTCGTTCTCCCTCTTCTCGTTCTCTCGTTCACTCTCTCTTGTTCTCTCCTCTTTTCTTTGCTCTCTCTCATTCTCCTTTCCTCTCTCTTCCCTCTTGTTCTCTCTCTCGTTCACTCTCTCTTGTTCTCCCTCTTTTCGTTCTCTCTCTTGTTCACTCTTGTTCTCTTTTCTTTGCTCTCTCTCATTCTCCTTTCCTCTCTCTTCCCTCTTGTTCTCTCTCTCTCGTTCTCTCTCTTGTTCTCTCTCCTCTCTTTGCTCTCTCTCGTTCTCCTTTCCTCTCTCTTCCCTCTTGTTCTCTCTCTCTCATTCACTCTCTCTCATTCGCTCTTCTCTCTCGTTCTCCTTTTCTCTCTCTCATTCTCATTTGTTCACTCTTTCTTGTTCTCCCTCTCTTCTTCTCTCTCTAATTCTCTTTCCTCTCTCGTTGGCTCGCTCCCTCTCTTGTTTTCTCTCTCATTTATTCGCTCTCTCTCGTTCTCTCTTTCATTCTCTCTTTTCTATCATTCACTGTTTCTCTCTCTCTCTCTTTCACACACACACACACACACACACACTGGGGGAAACGTGTACAGAAAGTATCTTTATTTCCAGTTCACCCAGAAAGACGCTGTTGGGAAGAGCCATTTCCCCTTCTCCCAGTAAAAGTTGCTGGGGTTCAACTGGCCCTTCCCCTCCCACCACCCCCCAGCTTGGCAAGGCAATTCTCTTAACTGGTGCGGCTGAGGAAGAGGGAGGGGCTCCAGTCCCAGGACAGCACCTGGGGGGGGGCTTAGTTGGGGGGGGGGTAGGACAAAATCTTTCTTGCTCCAGGCAGCGTTATTGTCTTTCTCTCTTTCAGTTCACATCCAAGCCAACTTGGAGGACGCCCTCGTCCAAGAGGCCCTGAAGACGGTGGGAGAGACCGGAAGTCCGGGGGGGGGGGTTGTCCGTGGGATCGAGGGGGGGGATCCTCTCACTCACTGCTTTGTCTGCCTTGGCAGGGGGTGGATCTCCGGCAGTACTCCAAGCAGGTGGAGCAGGAGCTGCAGCAGATCGAAAACGCCTCCATCAAGGACTGTATCCTCTGCCTGGCTGGGGGGGGGCTGATCCCAGGGGGTTTCGTGTCAGGAGAACCCCTCACCCCTTCATCCCACTGTTGTCCTTAGCAGCCCCCTCCCCAGATATTAAGGAGAGCAAGAACATCGCCTCCCTGCACACCCAGATCACGGCCTGCGATGCCGTCCTTGAGGTGAATCTCTCTGCGTTTCTCCCCCCCTCCTGCACTTTTCCTGCTGGGAGGGAGGGACGGGGCTTCCTTGGGCGGGGGTTACTGCTCCCCGAACTCACTGGCCCCCATCGCATAAGTTGACCCTCGGATGGCTGGACTCCGGCTCCTTCCACTTAGCACACCAACCGTATTTAACTGTGGGCGGTCCATCAGTGGTGGTTTTTAAGAAGAGACTAGACAGTCACTGGGACATAGCTTCTCCTGCTTGAGCAGGGGGCTGGACTAGAAGACCTCCAAAGTCCCTTCCAGCTCTATTTCTATTATGTCAAGATAATGATTTAGAACAGGGGCGGGCAACCTTGGCTCTTTTATGACTCATGGACTTCAATTCCCAGAATTCCTGAGCCAGCATAGCATAGCATAGCTGGCTCATGAATTCTGGGAGTTGAAGTCCACGAGTCATAAAAGAGCCAAGGTTGCCCACCCGTGATTTAGAAGCTAACCAGCTTGTATCATGTGAGATGAATGATGCAAGGTTAGGAACGACTCAGCAGGAGTCTGTATCCCTTTAAGAGCTTGAGTATAAATGGGAAGGCTTTTTGCTAGATAGTCTTTCTCTCTCTCGTCCTTTTCCTGCCGTAACTGCTGTGTATTGGAGTTTGCCGAATGACCACGTGTGTACATCTTGTTTCTTGCGTATGTTTGTAGATATGTAATATAAATCACCATGTAATGCAAACCACCGTTTATTGTATTTACTTCTGGGTTACCTCCACGCAATAAGACTGTGCATGCTCTGACATATTATTTCTATATTTCTCTTTCTATGTTTCCATTTCCATTTCTCTTTCTATATTTCTATTTCTGCCATGTGAATGAAGGCTCCGAGTAGCGTGGCAGGACTGGGAGACTCCAAGGCCAGCAAAGGGGCGGGGGAAGCCCTTTGTCCCCCTCCTCACCCAGGGCCCCTTGTGGGGCTTCTCCTTAGATAGCAAGGGGTGGGGGCTTCTGGGTGGGTTCTTCCCCCTCTTTGCAGAACTGGGGTTGGCTGATCCCCACCTCAGATCCAGACCTGTTTCCCGCACTCCAGAATGCTTTTCCCTTGGCCTAGCTGACTCAGGTTTGTGTGTGTGTGTGTGTGTGTGTGTGTGTGTGTGTGCAAGATGGATAAATCCTGCCTATCCTTTCCCCCCCTTCCTCTCCCCAGCGCATGGAGGCCATGCTGAGCTCCTTCCAGTCCGACCTGAGCAGCATCAGCTGTGAGATCCAGACACTGCAGGAGCAGTCGGTCGCCATGAACGTCCGCTTGCGCAACCGCCAGGCCGTCCGCGGGCGCCTCTCCCAGCTAGTGGACGAGCTGGTGGTGCCCAACATCATGATCAGGTCCGGCAGGGCAGAGGGCCCATCATTCTGACAGAGAAGGGAGAGCGTGGGGCAGTCCCACGTGGGGGGAAGAGGACGCCCGGTTGATGCTCCTCCCTCTCCCGTCCCGCAGCACTATCCTGGAGACACCAGTGACCGACCAGGCCTTCCTGGAGCAGCTGCATGAACTTAATAACAAGATCAACGTCGTGAAGGAGCAGGCCTTCCGTGAGACCATGGCCTGCACAGATGTGGCAGACATCCTGGACAAGCTGAAGGCCAAGGTGAGAAGCCGGGTGCCTTCCCCTCCTTCTCCGGCAGGGCCCCCGTTTCTTCCTGCTCTGCAGACGTCGTTCCTGCAAGGTAGACCGAATTTGTAAACCAAAGATGCACCAGCTAGAAACATTTTTATTGTAAGAAGTAACGGGAAGAATCGTTCCTCTTTCCTTTCTCCGTGTCCGACCTGCCCCAACTTGATCCCTTAGGAAAGAAACACGCTCGACTCCATTTCTTACTTTTTTACTAAAACAAAGTGATTGTTATGTAGCAAAGCCAGCTCTAAGACTTTGTGCACAAAGATTCCCTAGTTAATTTTCCCTTGTCTGTTCCAACCCCTTGGTTATCTCCCCGTTGTCTGGTCATATTCGAAGAAGCTGTTTTAGTAACTCATCCTGCAACGGTTGGTGGAGAGATGTTCGCAGCCTTGGAATGTCTCGGGTCGGCAGCGAGATTGCTTTTGATTCCCCTCCCCCCATCTTCCACAGTTCCCCCCCCCCATGGCTTACGGCATCTACTGGGTTTCCCTGAAAATAAGACCCCACGAGAAAATAAGCCCTAGCACACGGGTGTCAAATATGCCGCATCACGTGAAGTGTCGCAATGTATTGTGACTTTTTTTTTTTTGCATTGCCGGACCCGGGGTGGGCACAGCCTACGCACGATGCAACTGACCTGCAGGCCGGCAGTTTAACATCCCTGCTTTAGCGTGATTTTTCAGGATGCGCGTAATATAAGCCCGTTAAGATCATCAGCCAGACAGAGACATTTAGTACCGTATTTCCCCAAATATAAGGCCTAACCAGAAAATAAGCCCTAATGGACCTTTTGGAGCCAAAATCAATATAACATCTGGTCTTATATTTGGGGAAACACAGGAGCGAAGCATAGGTGCACGTGAAGGATGGCAGCTCTCACATTCTATCTTTGTGAGGACGAGTGGCTTTCTCAGGTTACCATTCTGGCCCGGACTCTGGTTTCTTTTATCTGTTGTCACAGTTTTGGCTGATGTTCTTCAAGGTTGTTCCGTCTGCCCATCGCATCAGATGGTCCCACTTTCCTGCAAGGCTCTGGCTGTAGAATTGTCAGGGAAGTGGGTGGGTGGGAAGAGGTCAGACTTGGGGGGTGGGGGCTGGTGCCCCAGCCTTTGGCTAGAGGTGCCCCATGGCTGGTTCTCCTTCCTCCACCAGGCGGTGGCCAAGATCCGGGAATTCATCCTGCAGAAAGTCTACTCCTTCCGCAAACCCATGACCAACTACCAGATCCCCCAGAATGCCCTGCTCAAGTACAGGTAGGACATTGGGCCAGGTGGCTGCACGCTTCCTCCCAGCATGCCATGGGCTTCTGGGGAGCGGTCGGCCTCCCAGAATGCACGATCGTTCTCACCTTGGGAGATTCGGGAGGAGCTCAAGGTATTTCTCCGCAGACGTTGGCGCTGGGTTTGGGGAGAGCAAATTGGGACTCCCACTCCCTCTTCTATGGGGTGGGGGACGAGCGAAGTCCCTCCTCTTTGGTGGCAGGTTTTTCTACCAGTTCCTGCTGGGCCACGAGCGGGTCATCGCCAAGGAGGTCCGGGACGAGTACGTGGACACCATGAGCAAGATCTACCTCAGCTACTTCAAGTCCTACACCAACCGCCTGATGAAGCTCCAGGTGAGCTCCCTGGGCAGGGGTCCTGGTCTCCATTCCCCCCCATCCCGGATGCAGGGCCCCCTCCGTCTCCATCGTTCCATCGTAGCAAGTTCGACCCCATTTTCTGTCTCCCGAACCTGCAGTACGAGGAGGTGGCTGAGAAGGACGACCTGATGGGGGTGGAAGACACCGGCAAGAAGGATATCCTTTCCTGGGGGGACCCCAGGGGAGGGGGCGACCGGACCAGCAGCCAAGGGGGGCTTGCAGGCAGTCCTCCCCCCCCCAATCTGCACCCCTCCTGGCTCGTGTTTGGGGCTGCCCCGCATGGCCAGAGGGAGGGGAAGGAAGGAAGGATCCTGGCCCGGGGACGGACAGGGTATCCGCTTTCGCCACGGAGTGGTCCTTGACGGCAGCTGGCCACGCTTCTTCTCCAAGCCTCCCCTCCGCAGCCGGAACACCATCTTCACGCTGGGGAACCGGGGGAACGTGATCAGCAGCACCGAGCTGGAGGGCTCCATCATCGTCCCCCACTCAGCGCAGAAGAGCGACGTCCGAGTAAGTCCGGCCTTTCAAACGGCAGGGACCGCAGTGGCTGCAGGTTGTGTGTGTGGCTTCCTTACACTGATTAAGATGGGAGTCTCCCAGGAGAACCCAGAGGATTTGCTAAACATGGCCCCTTCCCCCCAGTCAGCAAGACAAATTAGGGTAGGGGGCTTTCTTGAGGCACGGGGGATCCCTCAGCGGTTGCCTTCCCTAATCTTTCTTTTTTTGTGCAATAGCAGCTGCTGCCTTTCGATGTCATTTGGGGGTCCCTTTGGTTTACGTAGAAGAGCTTTATGCCACCCAGAGCCCAGACTGGCAGGTCTTCAGCCTCACAAGCAGAGCCTGGTTGGGAATGAGGGTAGTTGTAGTCCAGAGACCCGCAGGTCCCTCCATTTTTGGGTTTGCTTGCTTTCTCCGTCCGACGGGAAATCTCTGGAAAAAAATGGAGTTCTGTGGAGGAGGGAGGTATGGGAGCTGGGGAGTGCTGGGGATCCCGAGGCTCTACCCCGGGGGTCCTGCCAGTGTCGCCTCCCTCCTCTGCGCAGTATCCCTTCGAGTCGCTCTTCCGGAGCCAACACTACGCCCTGCTGGACAACAGCTGCCGCGAGTACCTGTTCCTCTGCGACTTCTTCCTGGTGGCCGGGACCCCCGCCCTGGACCTTTTCAACGCCGTCATGGGCAAGACCCTCGCCATGTTCCTTGTGAGCATCTGCACCCAGGTCTGGGGGTGGGAGGCGTGGGGGCTAGACCACACTTTGCGGGCATCAAATGAAACTTGATGAAAAGGAGGACTAGGTGCGACATGACAGCGGTGCTCCGATATTTGAGGGGGCTGCCGCAAAGAAGACGGGGGGGTCAAACCTACAAAGCATCTAAAGGCAGGACAAGAAGCGGTGGGTGGGCGCTAATCAAGGCACCAACCTAGCCCTAAGGAGAAATTTCCTGACAGCGGGAATAATTAACCGATAGAACGGCTTGCCTCCAGATGTTATGAGTACTCCAACACTGGAGACTTTTACGAAGAGACTGGACAGCCATTTGTCAGGAGTGCTCTAGGGCAGGGGTAGGCAACCTTGGTTCTTTTATGACTCGTGGACTTCAACTCCCAGAATTCCTGAGCCATAAAAGAGCCAAGGTTGCCTACCCCTGCTCTAGGGTCAGCAGGGGGCTGAAGACCTGCATGGTCCCTTCCAGCTCTGTTATTCTGTTCTTTCTGCTTTTTGTTGACAAGGGACTCAGAATAATTGAAATTTAAGCATAACCTGGAGACACCCCTTATCCACCTCTTTCTGGATCCTTCCGGCTACGGGATCTTCACGCCTGGCTCCCGAGGGGCCCTGCAGTCCGAGGACCTAGAATCCTTTGGGAGGGATGGGGTCCGAGAAGCGGGGGGCCCCACCATGCATCTCATCTCTCTCTATCTGCTCCCCTCCCCACAGAAGCACATGGACGCCTACGTGAGCGACTGCTACGACAGCATCGCCGTCTTCCTCTGCATCCACATTGTTCTTCGGTTCAAGGCCCTGGTGGCTAAGCGCAATGTCCCGGCTATTGACAAGTGAGCTCCCTTGCCCCCCCTCCCCTCCAACGCTCTCCCTCCCTTGGCCAGTGGGGGCTGATGGGTTCAGACAGGGTGTCTTCTGGGCTGTTGAGCTCCAAGCTTGGCACTTTTGTTGCCGATGTTTCGTCACCCTTCGAGGAGACGACGTCAATATGTTTTGAATTGTGCTCGTCTGTCGGAGCGCTGACCTTTAAATACCTTTTTATGTGATGCAAATTGGCATGAATATTCATTGCATAAATTTGCATCACATAAAACGGTATAAAGGTCAGCGCTCTGATAGACGAGCACAGTTCAAAGTGCATTGACGGTATCTCCTTAAAGGGTGACGAAACGTTGGCAACCAAATTGTCAAGCTCTGAGCTCAAACCAACAGCCCAACTACCAACCTGAGCTACTAATATTCAAACACATTTTGGGGTATCTTCTGTCTGGCTGACACTCCCTCCTCCCTCCCCCCCCCAGGTATTGGGACACACTACTGGAACTGCTCTGGCCGCGATTTCAGTACATTCTGGAGCTGAACATTCACAGCATCCAGAGCACGGACCCCCAGAAGCTGGGCTTCCTCGACACGCGTCCCCACTACGTATGTACAGGCGGGAGCGGCCCTCAGGAAGGGAGGGATGAATGCCCCCCTGCTTAGTGGGGAGGGGGCTGAGTTTCTCCTGCAGGGCAGAATGCGAGGACTGAAACGGGGGGTGGGCTTATGGCCAAACAGCTCCCAAGTTGCTGGAGATGGGCAGGGGGGCCCTGGCACTGGATTGGAGCAGAGCCGGGGAAGCGTCTGGCAGGGATGCTTGGGTGCCCACCTCCTGGTGGGCCAGCCAGGAAGGAGGGGGCTTCTGTAGCTAAGTCTGGAGAACCCAGAGGCCCCTCACCCCGCTTCTCTGCTCTCTCCCCACCCACAGATCACCCGGCGGTACGCAGAGTTCTCCTCGGCCATCGTCAGCATCAACCAGACCTTCCCCCACGAGCGGACTTTGGCCCTGCTGGGGCAGCTCCAGGTGAGCCCTTCCACCCTCTGGCTGTTTGCGTGGGGCACCATCCATGGTGTAACAAACATTTCTGAATTGTCCGGTTTCCTGGTTCTCTGCATGCTGGGTCCAGCCAGGGGCTGAAGTGTGAGGGTCTCCTTGGGGGGCTTGTGGCGCTGGGCAGATGCAGCCTCTGATCCCCCCCCCCCCCGGTATCCTGCTTTTCCTTGGCTTTTCTTATTAACTGGCCCCAGTCTGGCTGTTGGGTATAGGGTGGTGTCTTGCACCTCCTAGTATTGGGGGAGCTAGTCTGGAGAGGGGCATGAGCCTTTTTCTGATGCTGCCTGCTTCCTTCCTCTCCCCCCCACCCCAGACCGAAGTGGAGAACTTCGTCCTACGTGTGGCAGCTGAATTCTCCTCCCGCACCGAGCAACTCATCTTTCTCATTAACAACTACGACATGATGCTGGGTGTCCTGATGGTACGCAGGCGACTGAGGGGGAGTGTCCAGCAAGAGGAGGGAGGGGTAGAAGGACAAAGCCTCACCCCTCCACACACGGTGTCCCTCCCCCTTTGTCCTCCCCAGGAGCGAGCGGTGGAGGAGAGCAAAGAGGTGGAGGGGTTCCAGCAGCTGCTGAATGCCCGCACTCAGGTGGGCCGGGATGGGTGGTTGGTTGTTGCAGCTTCCTTTCTCAGGGGTCCCTGTCTTCAAGAAGCCCAAGGGGTCTCCAACTGGGCCTCTGGGGGGAGGGTCCTGCCTTTCCCTCTCCTGGGGCAATGGAGGCATGTGAGATACACCCCAGGTGCTGACGCAGAGCTGGTTCAGTTGTAGGACTGATGTGTTCTCGTTGTGTAGAGTCGTGCTGGGCAGTGCTTGAATCGATGCACTCGGTAGAATGGGGGGCACCCCATGCCCTCAGAGGGGCTTTGTGGGGAAGGGGTCCCTCTGTCTCAGCTGAGCCCTCCTCCTCCTTCCCTGGCAGGAGTTCATCGAGGAGCTCCTGGCCCCGGGGTTCGGGGGCATGATAGCCTTTGTGAAGGAGGTAGAGGGGCTGTCCGAGCGGGGACAGCTGGAGCGCCTGCGAGGGGAGGAAGGTGAGTGGGGCATGGATGTGGGGGGGAGGAGGAAGGAGGGGGTCCTTGCGCGACTCACTCCACCTTCCCCGCCCTGCAGCCCGGGTCACACAGCTGGTACGTGGCTTTGCCGCCACGTGGAAGGCCTCGGTGGAGACCCTTAGCCAGGACGTGATGCGCTCCTTCACCAACTTCAAGAACGGGACCACCATCATCCAGGTTGGGAGGGGCACCTGGTGGGGGGGAGGCAAGGGACCAGAAGGGGCGGGACCGAGCTCTTCCTCACTGCCCACTGCCGCCCGCAGGGGGCACTGACGCAGCTGATCCAGTACTACCACCGCTTCCACAAGGTCCTGGCGCTGCCCCCGCTGAAGGCCCTCCCCGTCCGCTCGGAGCTCATCAACATCCACCACTTGATGGTCGAGGTGAAGAAGCACCGGCCCAACTTCTGAGGGCGGAAACCCCCCACCCCCACCCCCTTGTACAGTCCTGTTAATAAACTCTCTTGTGACCCAGAAGGCCTCCTTGGGACCGAGGGGGAAGTAGGGGGGGAGGCTGGAATTGAGGGCCAGGCTCACCCACACTTATCCCCGTCCCCGTGCCATCACCCCGGGCAGAGCTTGCTGGTGAGTGTGCGTCACACAAACTGGAGCTTTCCCTAAAGAAGGAAAGAGGTGTCTGTGTGTGAATGCAGTGACAGCACTGACCCAGCTTAGCATTTGTGACATTTTGGGTGCCAGATAACAGGCAGTCCTCAATGTACGATCAGAATCGGGGACTGGAAAATTCATTGCCGAGCAACGTGGTCGTTAAATGAGGCATCACCTCACCCAGTTCTACCATCTTTTTTGCCGTGATTTAAGCCAAACGTCAGTGGCCACCTTTTGCCCGTCTTTCCCGCTGGCTTCCCCAATGACTTTGTGGGAAGCCGTCTGAGAAGGTTGCAAATGGCGATCACGAGAGAGAATTGTCGTCAACGCAAACCAAGCACCTGGATGGCGATTGCACGACTGCGACAAGGATGCTGCAGCGGTCCTAAGTACGAGGGCGGATTGTTAAGTCACTACTGTCAGACGGCCCCTAAGCAAGTGGACATAAGTTGGGGACCCCCCTCTATTCCATTCCTGCCCAGAGGTCATGAGAGGACCCTCAATGCAACATGTAGTCAACTTACGAAACTCCCAGCCACAAGATGTGATGATAGTGGCCTCCTTTGGTTGACCTTGGCGCCTCCTCCCCCTCTTCCACATCAGCTGTGGTTCAACAGTCAGACAATACACAAACAGAAAAAACTTCTAAAACTTGGAATGGAGCCCATGTGCCACAAAGAACCCACACCTTTTTTTCCCAAACGGCTGGCAGGGAGGAAGGCTCCATATTGGCTCAGGAAAGTAGTTTGCGCACTCACAAATGTTTGTAGTGCGTTCCAACCCAGGGGTGTCCAACCGTGGCCACTTAAAGACTTGTAGACTTCAACTCCCAGCACACCCTATGTTTGTGGTACATTCCAAGCCAGGGAAGAACATCCTGTGTCAATGGTACGTTCCAAGCCAGGGGTGTTCAACTGGGGCCGCTTTAAGACCTGTGGACTTCAACTCCCAGCACACCCTACATTTGTGGTACGTTCCAAGCCAGGGAAGAAGATCCTTTGTGGTACGTTCCAAGCCAGGGGTGGCCACTTAAAGACTTGTGGACTTCAACTCCCAGCACACCCTATGTTTATGGTACATTCCAAGCCAGGGAAGAACATCCTGTGTTTGTGGTACGTTCCAAGCCAGGGGTGTCCAACCGTGGCCACTTTAAGACTTGTGGACTTCAATTCCCAGAATTCTCCAGCCAGCTATACTGGCTGGGGAATTCTGGGAGTTGAAGTCCACAAGTCTTAAAGTGGTCACGGTTGGACACCCCTGATAATAGAAAGCATGAGCCAGTCCGTAAGAAAAATTCAATATATTTCTTAAATTTCCCCTTAGCCCACAAGTGAGATCTCAGACTCACATTCCTCCCCCTCCAAGACACACACACACACACACACACACCATTTTCAAGATTACAAATTTGCAGCAGGGGAAAAAAAGTGTTCTTTTTAATATTGATTCCATTAAATAATATAATTAATTTATTTCTTTTCTCTTTTTTTATAAAAAAACAATAAAATATATACGGTTTCCTCTTTCTTCTTTGGACTTTTTTTTTTTTTAACTTTTCTTTCGTACCCAGGGCTTTTGTGCGGGATAAAGGAAGGGGAGGCTGGGTGGGGAGTGAGAGGAAGAAGATAAAAATGGGAGGGGGCGACCACGGACCCCATTTTTCCAAGCCTGCCACCGACTGCAAGGAGTTGCCATCAATAGGGCTGAAGTGGGCGGGGCTAAGCAGGGGTTTACTGGGAGGGGGCATTCAACAATGGCCGGGGTCTCTGCTGTTTGCAGGGAGGGGTCTCTATCAGGACGCAATGAACCAGGAAGGGGGTCCATCTGAGGAAGGGGGGGTCAGAGCCCCGAGGGGGGTTCAGCAGGGGGAGGGGGCACAGAGAGAATTTGGGAGGGAGAAAGCTTCCATGGGGGGGTGGGTTTCTGCACCCCTTCAACAGAGGGGTCTTCTTCCAGTTGCTGGACCCCCCTCACACACACACCCCACCATGGTCTCAACTGTTTGCTGGGCACTGGGAAGCTGGTTCCCCCCCCCACTTCTCGGACGAGGCCGGCCAGCTGCGCTGGGGGGCTCTGCTCTAGCCCAGAAAGCAGGCAGCCCCCACCTCAAAGCCGAAGCCCTGCCCAGGCTCCCCAAAGTCCGTCAGGTGCACGTCCAGCAAGGGCAGGTGCTCCACCTGGGGAGTGTTGACCTCCAGGACCGTCTTGCCGGATGCTTTCCGTGCCTGGGGGGGTGAAGAAGAGAAGGGTCACCACAGAGTGAGGGTCACTGCCCCCCCCAAGGGAAGCTGAGAGTCCATCTTTCAGTTAGGAAGTTGGGAATGGGGGACATCGGGACCCCCTTTTTGGGGGGGGGGAATCTGCTTTGTCCTGGCAGCCCCTGCGTCCGTTCATTTACCTATCCACCTGCCCCCACCTGTGCCAGGGTGGGCCCTTGACCCCCCCCCCATGGGAGGGAAGCATCAGATCGTAGGAGAAATGATCTGAAGACCCTCCACCCAGAATCCATCCAGGTGAGCATGCAAGGTGCCAGGCCTGGATCCCCTCCCAGGCACTCACCGCACAGCCGTCCACCACCGCCTTGACGTAGGGGCTGTTGTCGTAGCTCAACTCGTCCTCGTTGGCCCCCCGGAAGCGCAGCGCCCGCTGGTAGCCCCCCAAGGCGGGGGACCCCGGGCTGTGCCAGGCAGCCGAGTGCCGGCAGTGGTACGTGAAGTTCTGGCGGGCGGAGATGCTCAGCAAACGGAGGAAGGAGAGCTGCACCACGCCCAGCGGCTGGCCAGCTGCGTCTACGTAGGAGAACTGGGGAGGGGGCAGGGATTGAGGGGGGGAGTAAGTCAACCACTCCACCTGCCCTTGTTGGGAAAGCCCAGCGGAGCAGAATGGGGAGCTAAGGAATTGGAGGGGGTGGATGCCCTCAAGCAGAGGACGCTGGGCCCTGAGTGGGGAGGTGGGCTGGATGGCCTCAAGGGTCCCGTTTTGGAGATTCTATCCCTCCTCCCCCCCCTCCCTGCAAACGGACGGCCTTCGCACGGCGCCCTGCAGTGGGGAACCAGACCAATCCATTTGCTGGGTTCCTGTCCCCGTCCCAGATCAAGGCTAACCAAACACGTTGCGTTCACACAACCCTGCAAGTTCCGAGGGAAGCCAGAAGGAAGTCAATTCTCTCCTCCCCCACCCCCTTTTCTCCACACCCTCCCCCCATTTCTGGGCTTGGCAAGTTTCACGGAAGATTGCTCCAGCAGGTCCTTCGGGGTGACGTTTTGGGTGTTGTGTGAATGCACCATTCTATTCGGCAATCCGGAAGGAGGGCTTCATGGCGGAGAGCCCTGTTCCCCACTTTCCCCCCTGGAGCCCCCCAACTAAGAGGTCTCCCCCACCATCCCTCCTGCCCAGCAAATCCTGACTGCCTTCTGGGATTGGCGTCTCCTGCTTGAGCAGGGGGTTGGACTGGATGACCGATAAGGTCCCTTCCAACTCTGTGATTCCATTCTAATATTCCTGCGTGTCCCCCAACACCTTCCAGGAGAGGAGATTCAGGTGCAGGAGAGGCCGGGGGGGGATCCACTGCCAGCAAATCCCCCCCCCCAGCGAGAGGACTCACCCGATGGCCCTTCTGGAACTGGCTGAACCACCTCAGGGGGGTCTCCTTCTCCTCCTCCCATGCTGCCAGGGGCACCTGTAGAGGGAAATGCTCAAAGGACCGGCCTTCCCATGGAAAGACGCTAAGGAGGGATATTTGGGGGGGCAAGGAAATACGGGGTCATTCTTGAGCCTGGTGGGGGGCAAAATAAGCCGTGCCCTCACTGCCATGGTTTTCTGACTCACAGGGAGAGACAGAGAGAGGGGGGGCACCTGGAGCAGCGGGGTCTTCTTGTGACTGGCCCCAAAGACAAAGTCTCCCCCTTCTTGGCTTTCTGAAGGGGTCCTCCCCCCTACACACACACTCAGGGCTTGATCCATGTGGCTGGGACCCACAGCCACCCTGCCCCATTCAAAGCCTCCTGGCCTTCACTTGGAAGCTAAGCAGGGCCAGGCCTGGATGGGAGACCAAGAGGCAATCACAGAACTGCAGCCGTGACAGCGAGGCAAAACCACATCCCGGAAGGGGATCGTGGCAAAGCACTTCACCCTGAAACGCAGCCTCCCTCTGCCCCCTGCCCGGACAGACTGTGCCCACCACATAGGGAGCTCAGACTGGTTGACCCCCCCCCCCCACACACACACAGAAGGGCTAGCCTAGCATCACCAGGGGTGCCACCTGGACTATTTCGGGACCCCAACTTTCACTTTCATAAATTGCAGAAACAGGGCCATTGGCTTTTAGTGTTTTCATTTGAGGGGGGGCAGCAGGCTCCCCACGAACCCCCAGCCACACCAGCCCCCCTCCCTGGGCCCAGGCCCCCCTCCTCACCTCTCGGGTCTCCCAGCTAGGGAAGACGCAGGTCTCCCCTCCCGCCGTGAAGTTGCAGTAGACCCGGAAGGAATCCCTGGAACAGCCCTGGTTGGGGTCGATCCAATATTCGCCTGGGGTGGGGGAGGGGAAAGGAAGGACCAACATTGCCCACCGAGCCTCCAGTTTGGGGAGGGGTGTCCCACAACTCCAGGGGGCCCCTTGCAAACTCAACCCCCACCCAACCCAAAAAACAAAGGACTGTTTGGTGGCGAAGGTGATCCGGGGTGCAAATATACCCCCGGGATTTTGTGTTTGCCCCCAAAGGGCTTGCAGGGAGAACCGTGGGTGGAGTCCAGGCATGGGGGAGGCAGATCTCAGGAGTTGGGGCTGCCCCCTCCCCTCTTCTGCTGGCAGGGGCTGCTGGGCGCTGTAGTTAATCCAGCAGCTCCTGGGTTTGACAAAGGAACTGCCGTCTCTACCATGAAAGGAGTCCACGGAATTTCGCCCCCGCCCCCTTGGCAAGCACCTTGCAGCCCCCCCCGGACAGAAGCCACGTGGCTCTCGGGCGGGAGGGGCAGAGCAGGACCCCCAGGGGTGGGGGGAGGCAAGCAGGCCTCTTGTCAAAAAGAGACCAGACAGAAATGGAATGAGTCTCTGGCGTGTCCAGCAGGTAGGACTAGAAGACCTCCAAGGTGCCTCCCAACTGTCGTTGTCCCATTACACCCACCGTCGGGCAGTTCTGGCTGGCCCAGCCGTAGGTCCTGGCAGGTGCGGGCAGGGCTGTCCCGGGTGCCCAGCGGCTTCCGCATCCCCTCGATTTCCTGCCGGAGGGTCTCCAGGGTGCCGTAGATCCCCTCCACCAGCCCGGAGGCCAGCTGACCCGCTGGCCCGTCGGCCGCCTCCATCTCCTCCTCGGGCACCAGCTGGCTGCCGTCCACCGAGCGCCGGCTCTTCTTGGCACGCTGGATGGGCAGCGGCTGGATGGCCTCACCCGGCGGACCCTGCCCGAGAGATTAGCCCCGTTCAGACATGATGCAAGCCCCTCTTCGGGCACCACAAGCAGGTTGGCCAATGCAGGGAGTCCTCGCTTTACCCTCACAACTCAGCTCAAAATTTCTGTCACTAGTTGACGATTATTGAGTTTCGCCTCATTATACGACCTTTCCTGCCGCAGTTAAGTGAATCACTGCCATTGTTAAGTGAGTAATGTGGTTATTATGCGAATCCAACTTCCCCCTCTTGACTTTGCTGGTCAGAATTTATTTATTTATTTATGAGACTTATATATGTCGCAAAACGGGATCGCGTGACCCCCACCCCGGGACGCTGCGACTGCCATAAATACGAATCAGTAGTCGAGCGTCCAAATTTTGATCACGTGATCCCAAGGGATGCTGCAAGTAGTTGTGTGAAAAATGTGGTGGTGTCTTTGAACGGTCACTAAAAACAAATTGTTGTAAGTAAAGGAACGCTTGTGTATCGCTCGAAGCCCGGGAAACAGCCAAGTTGGGAACATGGTGCAAACGAAGTCAAAAGTCACTGTAGATACGAGATGGGTGATACAGATAGTCCTCGACTTACAATGATTCGTTTAGTGACCTTTTTTTAAAATGACAATTTTTCAGACTTACGCCCATGTTACAGCACTCCCAGGTTCGCATGATTTACATTTGGATGCGTGACAACTGACTCACACGACAGTCGCCGCATCCCGGGGAAGGGGTCATGTGATCCCCTTTTTGTGACCTTCTCACTGGCAAAGTCAATAGGGGGAAGCCGGATTTACTTAACAACCAGCGATTCACTTAAGAACCAGGGCGAGAAAGGTCGTAAAAATGGGGCAAAAACTCAACGTCTATCCCGATTAGCGACGGACCTTTGAGGCCCTGTTGTGATCGTAAGTTGAGTACGACCGATGTATACACTTAAAAAATAAAATAATCAGATAATCAAATTAAATATTTGGCTGCAATAAACTCTCAGCCTTTAAAGGGGTCTTCCTCCCCTCCTTCCCGCACTCTTTGCCCCACGTGTCTTGGCGTTTCTGACCCATTTTGTCCGTTTCAAAGCATGGCCAGCCCCTTCGCTTTGGGCCTCCAGGCCACTGGGGCAGGGGAGGGGGGTCTCTAAGGGGTGTTTTAAGATGGTTGCTGCCCTTCCAACAGCTGGTATTATTATTGTTTTATTGTTATTACGACTGTTATTTTTATATTTTTAGATATTTTACGAAACTTCATTTTTAAGGCAGGTTTGGAAAAACTGGGAGGGAAGCCAAAGAAACGCGCCTCCCAGGCCACTCCTGGATCCCCTCTGCCGAGGGGGAAACTGAGGCAGGGCGAGGAGAGGCTGAGGGGTCTTACCGGATTCCCAGGCGGGCCGGGGACGCCTCGCTGTCCTTTGGGTCCGGCTTCACCCTGGAATCAAATTGCCAAGAGGTTAGTCCTCAAGGGGAGACTTTCCTCCCTTTCCTCCCCCCCGTTCCTCCCACCCCCCTCCCACCCCACCCCCAAGCGCTTTGGGGCAGGGCTGAATCGCTCACCGAGGCTCCTTTGGCGCCCTGCACACCGGGAGGACCCTGAAAGAGAAGGAGAGAGTTGGGGGATCCCATCCAGGAGGCGTAAGAGGGCCCAGGGGGGTGTCAGGCGCTACTCACGGGAAGTCCCGGGGGTCCCGCGGGGCCAAGAGGGCCGGTCGGTCCAGGGAAGCCCTGTAGGGGGGAGAGCAAGGCAGGAAAGTGGAGGGGGGGGTTAAGCTCATCCCTGTCCCTCAAGCCCCCCCAATCCCCCCTAACCCAGCACTTACAGTCTCTCCCTTAAGACCCCCACTGCCTGAGGGGCCCGGGGGGCCCGGGTCCCCTTTGTCTCCTTGCTCTCCGGCTGGTCCAATCAAGCCAATGAGTCCCAGGTGACCCTGTGGAGAGACGGGGGGTGGGTGTCAGCAGATGGGGGGGCTCCTTCCTCTGCCCCAGAAGTCCGCTCGCCCCGAACCCCACTCCCTTCGCCACTCCGACCTTCTCTCCTTTGGGGCCCGTCTCGCCCTTCAGGCCGGGCAATCCGGGGGGGCCCTGTGGGAAGAAACACCCCAAGGCAGCTTTTAAGCAGCTCCTGTGGCTGTCAGCCCCCTCCCCCAAATTCGGTCAGCTCAACCCCCCCCCTACAACGGGTGGCCACTCACCGCAGGTCCTGGTGGCCCAGCCTGGCCCGTGGCCCCCGTTTTTCCTTGGGCCCCCTGGAAGAGACCAAGATGTAAATGTAAGCCCCCCCTGCAGGTAAGGGTACCCCACATCTCCCTTTCCAGCGAGTCAGAAATGCGGCCGCCTGCTGCCCCGTAAAAACTCTGATCCCCCCCCATATGGGATCCCACCCTGACCCTGCCAGCCTCCCACCCCAGCATGAGCCAGACAGCCCCCCCAAGTAACGAGGCAGCTGCTCCCCCTCTTACCACAGATCCGGGGACACCTCTTAAGCCCTCCGTGCCGGGTTTCCCGGGAGTTCCCTGGGGTCCCACAGCCCCGGTTTTTCCAGGGGGGCCCAGGGCCCCCGATTCTCCCTGGAGAGAGGCGGAGAGTTAGGGTGGGACAAGGCTCAGAACGAGGGAGGAAAGAGCCCACAGGAGAGGGCTTAGCTTAGCTCCCTCCTGCTTCGAGGGGGCTGGATTGGATGACCTCTAAGGTCCCCTCCCCACTCTCGTAGGCTGCAAGGCCTTCAGCCTCTGGTCCAGGATGGAAGCACCAGCAGAGCAACCGCTGAGCGGGTCAACACAGCCTGGGCAGACCCCCCCCCTCCCAAAAAATTCCACTCTGCTTGGGGGCCCCCAGAGGAAGACCCCTTTGCTGCAGTTGGGACCCCATCCTTCCTGACTTCCCCCCACCCTTTTTTCTCTGAAAAAAGACCCTTCAGTGGGGATCGAAGGCCCTTTTGGGGGTGGGGGTGAAAGAGTCCGGAGCTTCATCTGCCATATGGGGGGCCCAGCCCATCCCCCATGCCTTCTAGGGGGCACAGTGACCTCCCCACCCAGGGGTAGCCCCACTCACCTTCTTGCCCTTTACTCCCTCCCGTCCCTCGGGGCCGGGGGCTCCAGCGGGGCCCTGCGGAGAGGAGAAAGGAGGGGCCGGGTTGAGCTGAGTCGGGGGTCTTTGTCCCTCCGGACTGGGGGGTGGGCTGGGGCAGAAACGGGGGCCAGTGCAGTCTGAAGACCGTGTTGTCCTGCTCTCCCTCAAGAAGGGGGGGCATTTTGTGGCCCCCTGCGGCCGAAGGAGCGGGGGACGAACACCGGGCTTAGACCCTGGAGTGTAAGTGGTCCCCGAGTCCTGATTTTGGGGGGGTGGTCTTTTGCTGGGGGCCTGGGCTGGCTCTGGATGCCGTTTCTTTTCCCCTTGTCCCGTGGGTCCCAATCCCAGGGCCCTGTGGGTGCAAGGAGGGGGGGAAACAGCTCCTGCCCCCCCAATAAAGTGGACCCCACATCCGGGGTCCCCAACTTACCCTCTTTCCAAGTGGCCCAGGGGGACCAGCCTCACCGGATGGTCCCGGAGACCCCTGAATAGGAAGGAGAGAGGTGAGGGACAAGCACACTGGCACTCTGGGGCACAAGCACGAGGCCACGGGGGGTGGGGGTGTAGTGGAAGGCCATGGGGCAGACACCGCCTGCTTCCTGCTGGACAGTGGGTGGGGGGTTTCGACCCAGCAATATCCCAGGTAGGGTCCCACTGCCCCCTCCCCATCCAAAGGCTCACCGCCTCTCCGGGTTCGCCGTTTTCTCCTTGCTCGCCTTTAGCTCCATCTTGGCCCTGTGGGAGAGGCACATGGGTCTGGTGGTCTTACCGGAGGGCGGGCTCAGAGGGAGGGCCCAGCCAAGAGGGGAGGGTCATACTCACTCGGGGCCCGATTCCTCCAGGAGGTCCGGGGTCTCCAGGGAAGCCGACCGGGCCCTGCAGCCAGAGAGAATTCCGCACTTTTTCACCTCATCTAACCCTTAGACATGTCCCCCCCCCCCCAAAAACCAAGATCTTTCCAACAGTTGGACAAAACAGCCCATTACATTTATTTATGAGACTTGTATACCGCTTTAAGTACAAGCACTCTCTAAGCGATGTACACCAGTAAGCAATGTATATATATATTTACATTGCCCCCAACAATCTGGGTCCTCATTTTACCTACCCCGGAAGGATGGAAGGCTGAGTCAACCTTGAGCCGGTGAGATTTGAACCACTGACCTGCTGAACACAGTCCCTGGCCCTAAACTACAAAGCCCATCTCTTATCTGGTTCTGGGATTACTGGGGGCTTGTAGTCTACAGGAGTTCAGCGTGGGGGAGGCTGCCCCCTCCCAGTCCCAGACTCCCCACCCACAAATCTCATGTCTGCAGTTTCTCTTACCGGGTTCCCCTTGGGCCCATCGTCCCCAACGGGCCCTCTTCCTCCAGGGGGTCCAGGCACACCGGCGCTTCCGGCTTCCCCTTTCTCTCCTTGTTCACCCCGCGGGCCCTGAGGACAGAGGAGGGGCTATTAGAATCGAAGGCCGTTGTGGAGCCTCCCGATGCAGGAGGGGTATACCTGTCAACATTCAGTAAGTGGAAAAAAGTGCAGCAAAGCTCTGAAGCCTTCGACTGGGGGGAGGCAGCCAAGCCATGATGGGGAGGGGTCCCTGGCAGCTGGGGTGAGGGACACCCTCCCACCAGGATGTGCAGGAGGGTGTGCGAAGCCTACTCCACGTGGCACCCAAGGCCACCAACAGGCGGGAGGAGGGAGAAAGAGGGTCCGGGGGGCGGAACAGATATGGCGACACAATCACGGGGAAGAAGAAAGAGATGCACCTTCGGCCCAGGCTCTCCGTGGACTCCGGGTCCGCCTTGCTCTCCTGATTCGCCCTGGGATGGGAGAAGGGAGGTTAGTGGATCGGGCCCTGAAGGAGTGCTGCAAGGCCCTTCTCTGTGGGGTTCCTCTACTACGTTTTGCCTCCTGACTCTCCAAAGTCCGGGGGGGCAACCATTCGGTTCCTGGGACAGGGCAGTCCCAACAAAGCGCTTGACACAACTAAGGAAAGCAGTCTCTGGCCCTGAAATGTCCTTCTCAGAGGGTGGAGTTGTCCCTGCTCTGGTTGAGGCTGATGGGAAGGACGGTCCAGCCCAGTTTGACGAACAACAGTTGCAGGAGCTGATCCGTCTAAGACCGTAGTCTGCAACTTTTGCGGTTTTGCAAACCGGCAGGGAGGGGGGAGAGGGGATGGTTTCAACGTGAGCGTCGGGTAAGTGCGCGCATGTGCGTGGCTCCATTTCTATCAGCAACAAGCACGTGTGCCCGCTACTTGCACAAATGGAGCTGCGTGCGTGTACTCGTTTCCCGCCTGTTGCGCACGCAAATAAAACTGTGCGTGTGCACTCACCCACCACTTCTGTGGCCCAGCCCGGGGGTTGGTCTAAGAGGCCTCAACGTCCTCCAGGGGAGAGGAAAGAGTCTGTGCAGAGATCTATAGGGACCATGGCCAGGATTCACCTTTCATTTGGGATCCGCCGCCCCACATCTCTTTCCCAAAGAGCCTGGAAAACTCGCACCTCTCGGCTTCCTGCCAAAATATCACAGACTGCCCTCCACCAAGCGTTCCCTGGAACCCACTTACCTTTTGTCCCGGTGGGCCCTCATTTCCGATCTCTCCTGTGGGACCTTGTGGACCCTGCGGGAAAAGAGACCCAACCAGGCTCAGCTTTGGGAATCTATTAAGAGGAGGAATCATGTGGAGAAGAGGGTAGGAGAGAGACTCACGCTAGCTCCGGAGGCTCCAGCTGGTCCTCGTGGTCCTGGCGGTCCCGGGGGTCCCTGTAAGAAAATACCGATGAACGTCCACATCTCGACAACAGAGCTGAGCAGGAACCCCATGGAGAGGGTGTCTGGGGGGATTCCCCTCGAGAAAGGGAGTGGCACTTACCAGGGGTCCCCCGTCGCCGGTCTCCCCTTTCTCCCCAGCTGGTCCGGGCAGCCCCTGTCGAGAAAGAACGAGTGAGCGGCGTCTGGATCATCAATGGGCAGAAGGGTGGAACTCGACGCGGTGGTTCGTTACCTGCAAGCCGATTGGTCCTGGTGCCCCGTTGAATCCTCGGATGCCGTCATCTCCCTTTGTTCCAAAATGGCCCTGCGAGCCCCTCGCTCCTGGCTCACCATCCGCACCCTAATGGCAGTGCGGAAAGAGGCAATCGGAGAGCTGATACCCAAAGGAAAGACAAACCCGGATCTCCTCGCTCCTCCCTCCTGCCCGTTTCAAGGAGGGTCTCCCCAAAAGCCAAAGGGACCCTTGCCTTACTCCAGAGTCAACCAAGGGATGGTGCCCCGGAGGATCAGAGGTACCAATCGTGAGACCCACTGGAAACAAGGTGCGCCAGCGGTCGCCTGTGGAACCCCGCAGATACTTACCGCAGCGCCCGGCTGCCCGACAGGACCGAGCGGGCCTGAGGGGCCGGGGGGACCCTGCAGGGGGAAGAGGAGCTTATCAGCTGGGCAACGAGCAGAGTCACGGCCTCAGACTCCTCCCCCAGCTTCCCCTGCCCCACTGCGGTTCCTGCCCAGGGCTTCAGCTTACCTGCTCGCCTTTGCCCCCCTTGGGCCCTTTGCGACCCGGGTCCCCCAACTCTCCCTGCAGAGACAAGGAAAAGACATAAGGGAAGGAAGGCTCGGTCCAGAGAGGAGGGGAGATCCCCCCTCCAGCCACTCACCTTGTCGCCATCCTCACCGGGGCCCCCAGGGGGTCCTGCAGGACCAGGTAGCCCAATGGGGCCCTGGGCGCCGTCACGACCAGCAGGGCCAAGAGGCCCTTTTTCACCCTGCGGGGAGAAGTGGGAAACTGAGGCTGAGGGACCGCCCCCTCCGCCAGCCCAGTGTTTCTCCCTCCCCAACCCCGACTCCTTGTTGCCCCCTCCCTGTCTCCCCACCCCCTACTCACAGGCACGCCCTTCTCTCCAGCTGGTCCGTGTGGTCCCTGGGGGCCGGGTCTGCCAGGGGGCCCACTGGGGCCTCCCGGTCCCGAGGGCCCCTTCTCTCCGGGAGATCCCTGGGACGAGAAGGAAAGGGGTGGTCAGCCGCAGGCAGGAATGGGGAAGGGGAGGCAGGAGAGTCCCACTGCGACCCTCCCTCTCACTCTACAGCAGTGGTTCTCAACCTGCGGGTCGGGAGCCCATTTGGGGTGGAACGACCATTTCACGGGGGTCGCCAAACAACACAGTCCGCCATTTTCTTTTCCCGCTTTTCCTTAGCTGTGCTACTCCCTTTTATTCTATTGGCTTTTGAAAGCCAATAGAAGAGACTCTCTTGAATAGAGTCTAATTCTATTGGCTTTCAAAAGCCAATAGGAATTGTCCAGGCTGTCTCTGCCCTGCTGAGCCCGCCAAAAGCCCCTTCTGCAAACATTGCTGCACCAATTGAGTAGTCCTCGACTGACGACCGGTTGAGTAGTCCTCGACTTACGACCGGTTGGGGGTCGTGGCATTAAAAGGTTGAGAACCACTGCTCTAAAGCCCATCACTCCCAGCCAGAAAAGGAGACTGGGGCCAGGCAAAGAGAGACAGTGGGGACCAAAGGCCTGGAAGTCCCGTCTCTTGCTGGGAGGGTTCAAGACAGGGAGGGGGGTCTCCCTCTCTCCCTTTTTCCTCCCCATTGCAGCCCCCCGGCCTTGGTGAGGAAGGGGGCTGGTGAGGGGCCTCTGGCAAGGAAGCAGCCCAGCGCAGGCCCGGAAGGAGAACTCAATTTCCGATGGTATCCAATCACAGATCGCGATCCCGTTAAGAGGGACCGGCTGCCTGGGAAGGGATTGGTCGAAATACTCACCGCTGGTCCTGGGGGGCCGGCAGGTCCCTCATTGCCTTTCAGTCCACCACTACCCTGTTCAGGAAGAGAAGAAGCTTAGCCAGCCCACCTCCCTTCAACAGGTTCCTCCAGAATGGGGGGAGGGGACCAAAATCCCCCCCCCGAGCACCAGGGACCCCCTCCTTCCTTCCTCCCCTCCTTCCCGCCCTCTTTGCCCCACGTGTCTTCCCGTTTCTGACCCATTTTGCCCCTTTCAAAGCACGGCCAGCCCCGTTGCTTCGGGCCCCCGGGCCACTGGGGCAGGGGAGGGGGGGTCTCTAAGAGCCGAGGCTGGTAGGCCCCCTACTCAGTAGATGGTGGGTCCTTCTCAGCACCCCCAGAGGGATGGGGCAGCCGCGGACCCCAACCGAAGCTGGCCGTGTGGATCTGGATTTTGGCTCTGTGGGAAGGGGGGGGAAGCAGGACGCACCCCCCCAGGCGCCCCCCGCTCACCACAGGCCAAGGCCCAGCCTTGTTTGAAAAGGGGTCCAGTTTCCCTCAACTCAGCCTGCATGCCCCACTGCCTGGGGGGGGGAGGAGGGGGCTCCCTGCAGGCCTCGGAGCCCAGCCAGGTTAAGGGGGACAGCCACGTGTCTGAAATGGAATAGGGTTTCCTGCCTGAGCAGGGGCAGAATAATAATAATGATGATGATGATGATGATGATGAAGAAGAAGAAGAAGAGGAGGAGGAGGAGGAGAAGAAGGAGAAGAAGAAGAAGAAGAAGAAGAAGAAGAAGGAGAAGAAGAAGAAGAAGAAGAAGAAGAAGAAGAAGAAGAAGAAGAAGAAGAAGAAGAAGAAGAAGAAGAAGAAGAAGAAGAAGAAGTTGGAAGGGACCTTGGAGGTCATCTAGTCCAACCCCCTGCTCAGGCAGGAAACCCAATGCCCTTTCAGACAAATGGCTGTCCATTGAATTGCTCCGGATTGCAGGGGGGACAGGAAGGAATGGGTGGGGCTTCCTAAATGGCAACTGGAGCAGTAATTACTGTCTGCTAATTGGGGGGAAGGAAATGCCTTTTCCAGTATAGCCGGAACTGGGACCAGTGGTGTTGCCATACTGGGAAAAAATGGCCTGTCTGCATTTCCAGGGTAAATCAGCTTCGTGGTTAGAAAGATCAAGGTGTTAAGGATGGGCAGGCCACATCCTGGCAGGAAATGATGTCATCAACTCTTCTTTAAAAGGGTTGGACTAGATGACCTCCAAGGTGCCCTGCATTATTATTATTATTATTACTATTATTATTATGACAAAGTGAGGGGAAGGAGGGGGCCTTCCGTGCAAGACTAGCCACCCTGGGGAGCAGGGGGGGCTTTGTAAGGGTCAGACCTGAGTAAGGGGGGGGCAGAGAGAGAGCCCTTCACCCCACATGTCCTTCTAATCCAACGAGGACCACCCAAAAGGTCCAAGAGACTTCGGGCAGAGGGTGGCTGCCAATGAAGCCTCCAGCTCAGGAGCAGTCTACCACTGAGTGAACAGTTGCCAGCGGGCAGCCCCTGAGCCACTCAGGTGCCCCTTTGGGGTCTGCCGGGGGCAGGTGGCTCTCTCTTTCCGTTTGGGCCAGGGGCTCAACTAGATGGCCTCTGAGGGGCCTCTGGCTCTGACTCGTGGCCGCCTCTGGGAGGGTCTTTTCTCTGCCCTGCCTCATCTCCTCCCTCCCCCGTCCACCCAGCCAGACCCCCTTCTAGCCCTCGTCTGGCTCTCCCCAGGTGTCTCTCTCTTGGCCACAGCAACACGCAAAGGGGACACGCAAAGGGAAAGGGACACGCTAGCTGCCCTCCTGGTCAGAGCAAAGAGGAAAACTTTGCTATCTCTTCAGGGAGAGAGAGAGAGAGAGAGAGAGAGAGAGAGAGAGAGAGAGAGAGAGAGAGAGAGAGAGAAAGAGGGAGTCTGGACAAAAGTAGACAGGAAGAAGAGAGAGAGATAGAGGGAGGAAGAAAGAGAGACAGATAGAGAGAAAGAGAGAGAAACTCGGATAAGGAAGGAGAGACAGAAAGAGAGGCAGTGTGGACAAAAATAGAGGAGGGAGAGAGAGAGTGTGAGAGAGAGAGAGAATGAAAAAAGAGAAAGAAAAAGAATGAAGAGAGAGAGAAAGAAAGAAAAAGAGAAAGAAATAAGACAGAAAGAGAGTGTGGACAAAATAGAGAGGGTGAAAAGCTAGAGAGAAAGAATGAAAAGAGAGAAAGAGAAAAAGAATGAAGAGAGAGAGAGAAAGAGAAAGAAAGACAGAAAGAGACAGAAACAGAGAGAAAGAGAGAGTGTGGACAAAATAGAGAGGATGAAAAGCGAGCGAGAGAGAGATAGAATGAAGAGAGAGAGAGAGTCTGGACAAAAATAGAGAAGAGGAAGAGAGAGAGAGAGAGAGGAAGGGAGGGAGAGAGAGAGAGAAAGAGAAAGAGAGAGAAACTGGGACGAAGACAGAGGAAAGAGAGAGAAAGAGACAGAAAGAGAGAGAAAGAGAGTGTGGACCAAAATAGAGGAAGGGAGAGAGAGTGAGAGAGTGAGAGAAAGAATGAAAGAGAGAAAAAGAAAAAGAATGAAGAGAGAGAGAGAGAGAGAGAGAGAGAGATAAAGAGACAGAAACAGAGAGAAAGAGAGTGTGGACAAAACAGAGAGGGCGAAAAGCGAGTGAAAGAGAGAAAGAATGAAGAGAGAGAGAGAGAGAGAGAGAGAGAAAGAGAGAGAGAGACAAAGAAAATATAAAGGGGGGGAACTTCCTATCCCTGCTCCCTCCCCAGACAGAGCCCTCTTGCAGGAAGGGGCCGTGCTCCTCCCCGCTGTCCCCTCAGAGAGGGAGGTGGGGGGGGTACCTACAGCCGTGCCGGGAAGGCCGCGTTCTCCGGGGAAGCCCCGCAGCCCTGGGGGGCCCTCCTTCCCGGGTCCTCCGACGGTTCCTGGGTCGCCCTGACAGACACACACACACACACACAGAGCCCCTCAGTGTCCCCCCAGGAGCCCCCCAGCCGAGGAACAGCCCCGTCCCCCCCTCCGATTCTTTGCACAGCCAAGCCACCCCCTCACGGGGAGGGCCCGGTGCACGCGGGACAGCCGGGGGGGTCCCCCTCCATCGGGGCCACTGCAAGGGAGGGGAGGGGGCAGAGGGGGTCAGCCCCCCGGCCTACCTTGGTCCCTTCTTTCCCGGAGGGCCCCGGCAGCCCTTGTTCTCCTGGTGGTCCGGGGGGGCCGGAATGGCCCCTCTCCCCCATCTGGCCAGTCTCCCCTGCGGGGCCCTGTGGGAAAAAAAGCAGCCGGGGGGGGGAAAACATGTTTGAAGGGCCACCGCTGCAGTCCCTCCCCTCCTTGGTGCCACCTCCCCTCCCAAGCCCCCCCTCCCCTCCCACCCCTGCCCCCTTTCTGGGGGGGCGGCCGTTACCTGTGGCCCCACGATGCCCGGCCCGCCTGGGGAGCCCGCCTTGCCTTGCAGCCCCTGGAAGGCAGAAGAGAGGGTGGCGGGGGGGTTACTGGGGGGGGCAGCGTGCAGCCCCTGGAAGGCAGAAGAGAGGGTGGCGGGGGGGTTACTGGGGGGGGCAGCGTCAAACACTCCCCCCCCTCAGATAAACCGGGGTTGAGTCTGCCTAGCCCGGGAAAGGGTGGAATTCGCACCCGGAACCTTCCCGAAGTGAAACCCGAGTCTTCTCTGCTAAGGGGCGCAGGGGGCCCGTGGGGGAAGAAGAGGTCCCTTGAGCACATGCAGAGTGCCTCCCTTTCTTTTCCCCTCCCGGTTAAAAATTCCCCACCCCCACCCGTTAGAAATTTGATTTTGATTTTAATAATAATAATAGTAGTAGTAATAATAATAGTAGTAGTAGTAGTAATAATAATAACACTAATAACACTAATACTAATACTAATACATACTAATACTAATACTAATACTAATACTACTACTACTACTACTACTAATAATAATAATAATAATAATAATAATAATAATAATAATAAAAAGTTGGAAAGGACCTTGGAGGTCATCTAGTCCAATTTTTTCCATTTCTATCTGACTTTCATTCGGTGCGGCCGAAATGCTTATTCTCCTTCCTAGTTTCCACACACACACACACACACACACAAAACCAACCCTTCGAGGTGGGTGGGTTTGAGTTCAAAAGGAGTTCTGGAAAAAAAAAATCTCCAGGAAATTTGTTTTTTTTTTTTAAATTAAAAAAAAAAGCACAATTAGGACGTTAAGTCTCCAAGGCTGGATTCAGACATAAATCTAAAAATTGGACCTCGGTGTTTCCAAATTTAAAATGCTGTTTTTTTGTTTTGTTTTGTTTTAAAAAAAGGTGAAGAGTAAAAATGCAAATTCCGAAATGTTGAGCCCCCCCACTTTCTCAGGGCCGAGGTTTGGGGGAGACCCTCCCCGAGGCTAATCCGAGCCCCACATCGTCTCACGGGGGGGGGAAGCAGCTGGCTGGGGGGGGCAGAGCTGTCACTCACCACTTCTCCACGCTGCCCCGGGTGGCCGGGCATCCCATCCTTCCCAGGGGGGCCCTGTGGACAAAGAAAGGGGGCAGAGTTAGCCATTGGGGGGAGGAGACAGTGGGGGGGGAAACAGAGGAGGTGGGGGGGGGTTGTGACTCACCGGGGGGCCCTTCGGTCCGGGGAATCCGTTCGGGCCTTGCGGTCCTGGTTGACCCTGCAGGAGGAGGAGGAGGAGGAGGAGGAGGAGAGCCCCCCATTAGGAGTCATGCCAGGGTGCCCTCCCCCCTCAAAGCTGGACCCAAACCGGAACTCACCACCTCCAGACAGCTCAGGAATATGGTCTCTGGGGCTCTCCAGCCCACTTAGCTTCTTGCAGAGGGACCCCCTCCCTCCCTCCCCTCCTCCCCCCCAGCAACCTCCAGCCAGGAGCCCCCCACGGCGGGGTACAGGGGGCGAGGGGACCCATCCTTCCGCCAGGCGCCCGGCCAAATCATCAACCTCGGGGTCCCGGCTTACCCGTTCTCCGGGGGGCCCGGGGGGCCCTTCCCCAGCAGAGGTGCCCTGGAGGGGGGGAGAAAAGAGAGGGGGGGTCAGCCCACTGACCCCTGAGCTTCCTTCTGGCTTCTTTGCGTCGACGTAACACAGGAGGGGATTTGCACCGACACTAAGTGTTAAAATCTGTGCCCAAAGGCTGCCGGACGCTCGGCTGAGTTGTGCGAAGGCGGCCGAGTTGGGTGCGGCGCCAGGAAGAAGACGCGCCCGTCTGTGCCGGGGCAAATTCAGACCTTGCAGTTTCCGTGCGCCGAGATTTGTTTGTGTAAACACTGCCGGTTTACCACACACACACACACACACACAAGCAAAGGCACAAGCGAGATGCGTAATCGGCTTCCGTGCTCCTCCAGAGTTCCCCCCATTTTTCTTGCAGGTTTTTCTAGCTGGCCGAGCCCCAAAAATTTATCAACTTTCCCCGTCTTCCCTTGCTGAGAATGGATCCTCCAGATGCAGGAGCAGTCTACCTCTGGATTCCCAAGTGCAACCCGCCCTTGGTAGCACCCCTGCACAAAGCTGCCCAAACCACGGAGAGGGTCAGGCTCAGCCGGGGCGCTTTTGACGCCCCAGCCCCACATTTCTGGAGCTCCCTCTGCCCCACTCCCGCCCCCACCCAGCTGACCGGGCTCACCTTGGCTCCCATCTTCCCCGTGGCTCCTCGTGGCCCCCGCTGTCCTCTGGGGCCCTGGAAAAGAGAGAGAGGGTGCGTCCGCCCAGGGGCCACAGCCTGCCCCCCGGGGGTCACCCCACCACCACCCACCCCTTCAGAGCCGCCAGCAGGCGACCAGTGGCCCCCCCAGACAAAGCCCCCCCTTCGTTTGCACTTGGCACCGGAAAGGAAACGGGCGGGAAAGCGGGGGCAAATCCACTGCCAGACCCCTCCCCCCAAATGAAATCTGTTCCCTTTGACTCACGGAGGGTCCTCGTTCGCCTCGTGGTCCCATTTTCCCAGACAGGCCCTGCGGGGGGGGGAAGGAGCAAAGGCCAGTTTAGGAAGTAGCCCCCACCCCCACAAAGACCCCCCCACCCTGCCCCTCTGGGCCACCAAACATCCCGGGGGGCTATTCCAGGGGCCACGGACAGACGCCCCAAACACGTCTCCATGAACACAAGCAAAGCCTTCCTTTCTGGTGCCGCACAAGGGCCCCCTTTCCTGCCCCTAAGCACGTGCAGAGTTCCTGGGGAGGCTTTGCAGGGGCCCAACGGCTCCAAGGCCGTTTCTTTGGGTTCAAGCTTTAACACAAACAGCTGGACGTTTGTGCAACCCACAACAGGACATTGCGCAGAGTAAAAGGGACAGAAGGGAACAGGGGGGGGGATATTGAGGGATTCTGGGGTGGGGGGTATCCTCGGCATCCCATCTTTCGCCCACGGGGGCTCGGACCCTACTCTTGCCTTCCTTAAGGACCCCCCCCCCAGGCCTCTGGAGGGACCCCAGATGGGCCAGAGGAGAAGAGGTGCTCCTTACCCGAACCCCCTTTTCGCCATTCGATCCGGGAAATCCGGGGAACCCTTGCGAACCCTGCGGAGGGAAGAAGAAGGGGGGGTCACAAAGGTGGGGAGGGGAGGGGCGCCATCTTGGGCGAAGAACTGCAGGGGCTTCACTGGGGCATGTCACACGGGGACACCCCCCCCCCGTCGGCTTCTCCCCAGCCAGGCCCCCTTCGGACCCCAACCTAGATGTGCTCCGGGGACCAGCAACCCCCCCCAGCTCAGCTGCTTGAACCCCCATTGGGGAGCCCCAGCTTTCCCTCTCACCCCACAGTCCCTTCTGACCCCCAGGGCCCCACTTGCCCGGCTTCTACTCACCTTGAGGCCTTGTCGGCCGGGATATCCGGGGAGACCCGGCACCCCCAGTTTGCCCTGGCAGGAAGGAGAGAAAGAAAGAAAGAAAGAAGGGGGGTCAACGGAGGAGGGGAGGGTGGGGGGTGGTCCAACTCCAAAGCCCCTCCCCCGCCAGCCCCAATACCCACCTTCTCTCCCACCAATCCGGAAGGACCCAGATCGCCAGGGGGGCCCATCCGCCCCTTGATGCCTTCGGGCCCGTCTTCCCCACGGGACCCCGGGACCCCCATCTCGCCCTGCACAAAGAAGGCAGAGGGTCATCTCCCGCCTCTGGGAGAACGTCAATCAATCAAATCAATCAATCAATCAATCAATCAATCAGAATAGAGGTAGAAGGGACCTTGGAGGTAATAATAACAATAACAACAATAAAATAATAATAATAACAATAATAATAAAATATATAAAAATAAGAATAATAAAAATAATAAAAATAAAAAGTTGGAAGGGACCCAATCAATCAATCAATCAATCAGAATAGAGCTGGAAGGGACTTTGGAGTAATATTAACAATAATAACAATAACAAAACAATAACAAAAATAATAAAAATAACAAAAATAAAAATAATAAAAATAAAAAGTTGGAAGGGACTCAATCAATCAATCAATCAGAATAGAGCTGGAAGGGACTTTGGAGGTAATAATAACAATAATAACAATAACAAAACAATAATAAAAATAACAAAAATAATAAAAATAACAAAAATAATAAAAATAACAAAAATAAAAAATTGGAAGGGACTCAATCAATCAATCAGAATAGAGCTGGAATGGACCTTGGAGGTAATAACAACAATAATAACAATAACAATAATAAAAACAATAAAAATAAGAAACAATAAAAATAATAAAAATAAAAAGTTGGAAGGGACCCTGGAGGTCATCTAGTCCAACCCCCTGCTCAAGCAGGACTCCCTAAACCAGTCTGCGCAAATGGTTTTCCACTCTCTTCTTTAGAGCCTCCAGTGGCAGGCTGTTCCACTGGTTAATTGTTATTTGTTCTCACTTTTAGGAACTTTCCCCTTACTTCCAGGTTGCTTCTCTCTTTGGTCAGTTTCCAGCCGTTGTTTCTCGTCCTGCCCTCTGGTGCTTTGGGGAATAACGTGACCCCCCTCCTCTTCTTGGGGGCAGCCCCTCAAATACTGGAATGCTGCTATCGTGTCTCCCCTGTTTCTTCTTTTCTTTAGACTGGCCAGACCCAAGTCCCGCAGCCGTTCTTCGTATGTTTTAGTCTCCAGGCCTTTGATCATCTTAGTTGCTCTTCTCTAATTTGTTTCCAAACTCTCAACATCCTTTTTGTGATATGGTGACCAAAATTGATGAGTTCCCCTTCAATTCCCTCGTCTAAGTCATTGATGAAGACGTTGGAGAGTTTACTGGGCCTCAGACGGAGCCTCGTGGTACCCACTGCTCCCTTCCCTCCATGCGGATGTGGTGCCATTCAGGGCTACTCGCTGAGTAAGGCTTGCCAACCAGCTGAAGATCCATCTAGGGGTGATGCTGTCTATCCCAACTTTTTTCTAGCTTATCAAGAAGTAATGCCTTACTGAAGTCTAAGTAAAAAAGATGCTGAGACTCTAGAAAGAGTGCAGAGAAGAGCAACAAAGATATCAGAGGACTGGAGGCTAAAGCATATAGAGAATGGCTGCTGGAATTGGGTATGTCTAGTTTAACGAAGAGAAGGACGAGGGAGGACATGATAGCAGTGTTCCAATATCTCAGGGGCTGCCATAAAGAAGAGGCAGTCAAGCTATTTTCCAAGGCGCCTGAAGGCAGGACGAGAAGCAACGGGTGGAAACTAATCAAGGAGAGAAGCAACCTAGAACTAAGGAGAAACTTCCTGATGGTGAGAACAATTAATCAGTGGAACAGCCTGCCTCCAGAAGCAGTAAATGCTCCAACACTGGAAGTTTTTAAGAAGAGACTGGACAGCCATTTGTCTGAAATGATATAGGGTTTCCTGCCTGAGCGGGGGGTTGGACTAGATGACCTCCAAGGTCCCTTCCAACTTTACTATTATTATTGTTGTTGTTGTTGTTATTGTTGTTGTTGTTATACTACATCCACAGCATTTCACTGGTCTACTAATTTAGTCACTTTATCAACGAATGAGATAAGATTGGTTTGGCATGATCCTGTTTTTGACAAACCCATGTTGGCTGCCAGTTATGACTTTGTTTGCTTCTAGGTGTTCGCAGATCTGTTTTTTGATTATCTTTTCTAGGATCTTCCCAGGTATTGAGTTTAAACTGATTGGTCTGTAGTTTCCTGGGTCTGTTTTTTTCCCCTTTCTTGAAGATGGTGACCATATCAGCCCTTTTTCAATCCTCGGGTTCTTCCCTGGTGATCCAGGATTTGTGGAGGATGTGGTGTAATGGTTCTGAGATAACATCTGTCTGCTCCTTCAGAACTCTGGGATGTAATCTGTCAGGTTCCGGTGATTTATATTCGTCAAGGTCGGACAGGTGTTCTCTTACCATTTTCCTGCTTATTTTTTTCATTTCTAGTGTGTCTTTTGCAGTAGTTTTTTTTTATATGTTGGCCTATGGTTTCTTTTGGTGTGAAGACTGTTGTAAAGTATGAGTTAAGCAGCTCTGCTTTCTCACTACTGCCTGTTACTTCCTTGCCATCTTCCCTCTTCAGTGGGCCTACACTTTCCTTGGCTTTTTTCTTGTTTTTAACATGTTAAAAGAAACTTTTTAAAAATGATCTTTTGTTTGTTCTGAGCCTTTGCTTTCCTGACTTCGTATTTGCAGATTTGGGCTATCTGCTGATACTCTGTCTGAATTATGTGTCCCTCTTTCCATTTTTTATATATTATCCTTTTTGTGTTTGAGTTTATCAGAGAGAACTTTGTGCAGCCATGCTGGTTTCTTCTTGGATTTCTTGTTTTTCTTTTTCAGTGGTATTGGACAGTACTGGGCTTTTATAATCGCATTTTTCAGAGTTGCCCACATTTCTTGAGTTGTTTTTCCCCTTTAGGATTTTCATCCATGGGTGAACATTACGCCACTTACCCTGTCGCCTTTTGGGCCCACGTCACCCTTGATGCCCAGGGACCCTTCTTCACCCTACAAGAACAAAAGGGGGCAGGAGGGCACCATTCAGAAATAGGGAGAGGGAATGGAAAAGATGGGCCCCCAAACCAGCCACCCCATGACATATGAACCCCCAACTGCCAGCCCAGAGAAGGAAAAGGGGATCCTTAGGGGGGGCTTTGAATTGACCCTCCACACTCAGACCCCTCCTGCTGCCCCCTCTGATGGGGGGTTAGCAGAGAGGAAGGACTAAGCGCTGAGGACCTTCATGGTGATTCATACCAGTTCAGAGCAAGGGAAGGAAACGGGGCACCCCACATGAAAGCACCCGGCCCCCCAAGGATGTGCCTCCTCTGAGGACGAAGGAGTACCCCAAGAAGGAGCCGGGTTGCAAAAGAGGGGAGGCCCTGCTGGAACCCCTGAATGTCTCCCCTGCCTTCAGGGCATGAAGCCCATCGGCCACAGCTGCAGGAGGCAGGAAAACAGAATCTGAGCAAGGGAGGGTGGACTGGATGACCTCAAGCAGCCCTGGCTGTGTCACAGGGGGCCAGTTACATCCTTGGGTGGGTCCATAATTCAGCCGTCAGGGATGAGACAGGGGGGGACTCAAATTCCAATCCACCCCAGCACGAAATCACTAGGTAACGCCGGGCCTGTCTCCCCTCTATTCCTGCCCAGCCCACCTCACAGGGCTGTCGTGAGGATGCAAGTGAAGTGGGTCTGGCCCGGGGAGGGAGGGGGGGAAAACAGAGCCTTAAATAAAAAGGGGGAGCTCACCTTTTCGCCCTTTTGCCCTTTCAAGCCACGGACGCCGTCAGTACCCTGAGGGGGAAACACGGGAGTCACCGACGTGGGCCAGACTACAAGCCCCATGCTTCCCAGCAACAACCCCAGGACGAGGGAGAAAGTTCTCCCCGAGGGCACGAACAATATGATGCACCGGATGTGCAGAGAGGTGGCCCTTTTCTGGGCTGGGGGGGGGTGACCTGGTGGCCCAGGTGGGCCCCTGAGACCCCCTTCAGTCCCTCACCCCCCCTTCTCCCCCCTTCCAGCCCCCCTCCCCCATTCTGCAGAGCTCAGCTCCTCCTCATCTTCTGCCCCTCCCCCTTGGAGGCCTTTCCGTCTCGCCTCCAAGGCCCCGGGGAGGGGGAACGCAGGATGATTCCCCCCCCCCGCCCCACCCAGGAGAGCCCTCCTCCTGAGCCCCCCCCTCAAATTCCCAGGGCTCGCAGCGCAGGCTCACCTTTCCTCCGCGGGGACCCGGGTAGCCCACCGGTCCTTGGGGGCCAGACGGGCCCTATGAGGAAGGAGGCGAGAGGCAGGATCAGGCCCGCCCGGAGGCAAAGCTGTGGCCCCCACCGCCACCTCATTCGCCTGCTCCCCAGAATTAGGCCTCCCTGTTTCCTGGTAGCGCGTGCGCGCACACACATACACACACACACACAACACATACACAGTCTCCAGAGCATGAAACCTGCCCTGCCCCTGCCTGGGCTTAATGATGTAGGCCAGTGTTTCTCAACCTTGACAATTTTAAGGCACGTGGACTTCAACTCCCAGAATTCCACAGCCAGCAATTGCTGGCTGTGGAATTCTGGGAGTTGAAGTCCACGTGCCTTAAAATTGTCAAGGTTGAGAAACACTGATGTAGGCGTTCTTCAGGTCTGCCCCCTGCTGGAGAATTGAGGAAGCTGCTTCACACTTCCCCACCCCCCGGTGGCTCAAAGGGGAACTGCATGTCCCAAAGGGGCCCCATGGAAGAGGCCCAACCGAATAAGATACAGGTCTGGCTCGGGCCCCTCACCGTCCCCACCCCACCTTGGGAGGCTTTCTCAGCTTCCCCCCCCCCACCCCCGGTTATACGACGTATGCCTCCCAGGGTCCCGTATTGAGATGGGCAATCAATCGATCGATCGATCAATCAATCACAAATGAATAAATGGTAAACAGAGCAATGGGGCTCTTAAAGCTTTTACAGCAGTGGTTCTCAACCTTTTTAATGCCGCGACCCCCCCAACTGGTCGTAAGTTGAGGACTACTGGACTGGTGCAGCACCGTTTGCAGACTGGGACTTTGGGCGGGCTCAGCAGGGCAGAGACAGCCTGGACCATTCCTATTGGCTTTTGAAAGCCAATAGAATTAGACTCTATTTAAGAGAGTCTATTCTATTGGCTTTCAAAAGCCAATAGAATAAAAGGGAGTAGCACAGCTAAGGAAAAGGGGGAAAAAAATGGCGGACTGCATTGTTTGGCGACCCCCGTGAAATGGTCGTTCGACCCCAAATGGGGTCCCGACCCACAGGTGGAGAACCGCTGTTTTAAAGGGCCCCGGGAAGGGAGACCCTCTCAATCCCTTCCTCCTCCCCTCTCCTCTCTCTTCCCCCTCCCCCTCTTCTCTCCCCTCCCTCTCCCCTCCCCTCTCTCCTCCTGTTCCCCCTCCCCTCCCCTCTTCCCCTCTTCCCCTTCCCTCCCTCCTCCTCTTTGCCTGAAGCCCCTTTGCCAAGGTCTAAGACCGCCCTCCCTCCACAACCTCCCCCCCACTGCGTTCCCCCCCTCCATCAGATGCCCGGGAGGCTTCCCTTTATGGTGCCAGGATGGGGGGCCCCGGCAGCCTCGGAGCGCTCCTTTTCCTGCCCCGCCATTCGCACCCAGGCCCCAAAGCCCCCACCCCACCCCAGGGCAGCTTGGAGAGGCTGGGCCGAGGCAGGGCAGGGGCCAGGCCTGTCCACTCACCGGCTGCCCTTTGGTGCCCGGAAGTCCCTCTTTGCCCGGGTGGCCCTGCGGGGAGAAGAGAGTGGGGGGCGTCAGGGGGTCCCCACCATCTTGGGGAGCCCCCCCCCGGGGAACAGAGGCCACTCTGCCCCAGGGTGGATCTTCAGCCCCACGGCTCGTTCCCCGGATCCAGGGCAGAGGCTCGGGAGGGCCAGGTGGTGCTGGGGGGGGGGTCGGCCCCCTCCTCAAAAGACCAAGGATGGGGGAGGGGGCACTCACCGGGGGTCCATCCGAGCCGGGCATCCCAGGAAGGCCGGGTTTTCCTTGGGGTCCCTGCGAAAGAGGGGGAGACCCCGTTGGACCCAGAAGGCCAGGAGGCCCCTCCCCTCCCTGGGCTCTGGCACCAGAGAGCCCCACCCCACCCAGCCGCCCCCTCCTCACCTTTTCTCCAGAGGGCCCCATGGCGCCTTGCGGTCCCGGCAAGCCCTGGCCGCAGGGAAGGGAAGGTGGGGTGAGAGGCGGTCCTGGAGGCCAAACCCCCACCCAGACCCCCCCCCAGCTCTCCCCCCTCACTCCCCCAGAGGCCTGTGTTTTTGGGGGAGTCCAAGAGGTTTCGGATCAGCCCCAGAGCCGAACCAGAACCAAAGAGGGATTCAAGAGTTTGCATCGACTGCAGAACAGCTGCAGCTAGCATCCTCCCCCCCCCAACCTGCCTCCCCCACAGGGCTGTTGTTAGGGAGGCAGACTGGAGGAGGGGAGGGGAATCTAAGCCCAGCCAGCCACCCCAGAGAGCCCTGCAGCTGGGAAGCAATGGAGGGCAGGCCAGGGTGATCTTCCTCCACCCAGGTGGGACTTACCTGAGTGCCTGGGATCCCCTGCAGGCCGGGGGGGCCCGGCTCCCCTTGCGGACCCTGGAGATAGACAAATGGGAGGAGGGGGTTAGATCAAGACAATTAATCAGTGGAACAGCCTGCCTCCAGAAGCAGTAAATGCTCCAACACTGGAAGTCTTTAAGAAGAGACTGGACAGCCATTTGTCCGAAATGGTGTAGGGTTTCCTGCCCGAGCAGGGGGTTGGACTAGATGACCTCCAAGGTCCCTTCCAACTTTACTACTACTATTATTATTATTATTATAAGACAGACCCTCGGACGTGCCCTAGACGTTTCCCCAGCAGGCTCTAAAAGGAAGGCCTGTTTTGGGGACGTTTCGGATGTCCTGGTGGCCTCCCTTCCGGGAGCCATTTCAGCTTCTAAAATCGGTCCAGGTAACTGGAGATCATCCAGCCCGACCCCTACCCTGGCTAGGGATCCATTCTTGCGCCACCCTCTCTAACCTCCGTCTAATCCCTGTCCGCAAACTTGCAAAGGGCTGCCCCGCCTTCCGCAGAGTCCTGGACGGCAGCTCCCATCACCCTGGGCAACCGTTACAGAACTACAACTGCCCATGGGCCACCAACCTGCCACCAAGGGGCCCCAGGCCGAGCGTCGCCGGCTGCAGCTTTGGGAAGGGGCCGCCTCCTCCCTAGAGGGTCCGTTTCGGGATCCCAAGGCCTCTGTCCGAGGCTGCCGGGAAGGCACTTTGCGCACGCTCAGAAGCCCCTTAACATGCCAGCCCTCCAAAAACCACCGGTCCAGGGAAGGCCTCCGTCCACTTACCAGACTCCCCTTCGGTCCGTGGGGGCCGTCCACGCCACGCGCGCCCTGTCGAGAGAAAGGCAGGCCGGAGTCGGTGGTCAGCGGCCTGGCCAACGGAAGCCCCGAGGGTGGGGGGTGGGGGGTGTCCCTCCCCAGCACTTACCTGTGGCCCCGGGATGCCTGGGGGCCCTTTGGGGCCAAGCAAGCCTCTTGGTCCCTGCGAAGAGAAGGCGGGATGGGCGGGAGAAGGCCAAAGCGGAGCCTCGGGGGCTGAGCGCGACCCTCTTGCCCGATTTTCGCCTCTGGAGACCCCCAAGGTGGGGGGCATGGGGCAAGGGGGTCTTTAAAATGCCCTTCCCCATGCAGGCCTGATTTTCCACCCCCACCCCACCCCCAGGCTGGGGATGCTACGTACCGAGTCTCCGGGGAGGCCCCGAGGCCCGATCTCACCATCGTCTCCCTGCAGTGCGGGAAAGAGAAAAACGTTCGCGAGGGGGCAAACCGGCATGCGTTTTTATGCCCCCCCTCCTGTTTCTGTTTATATAGGCAGATGGAAACCCCCTGGCAGAAACCCCTCCCCCGGCCCTTGAGGACCTCCCTGGAGGGGTCTGTATTCAAGCTCAAGTTGCTAGTCCTCAAGAAGCTTCATGTCTTCTCAGACATCCACTCTTCCCTTCCTGTCCGGGCAGGCCTTACCCTCTCGCCGTCTTCGCCCGGGGGTCCAGCCACGCCCTGCGCACCGGGGTCCCCCTGCCAAGGACGGAAGCAGCAGAATTGGGGGGGCTCCAAGAAAGCAGGGGACCCCCCATCCAGGACAAGCCTGGTGTGTACCCCCCCAGGGACCCCCTCCCTCTCCCCCGTCCCACTTACCCGGTATCCTTTGTCTCCCGGAAGGCCGGGCAACCCGTCAAAACCCCGGTCCCCCTGCAGGAGAAACACATGAGAGATTGGGGGGCAACAGTGGGAGGGGGCTCAGAGGCCCCTAGGGACCCCTACAGGGGCCACAAAGTGATCTGCCCCTGTTTGCAAGGGGGAAGTACGAGTATCAGAGAAGCTGGGCGTGGGGCACGGGGGGTGTTCCCCACAATCCCGCAGCAGGGCGGGGCAACTGAGAAAGTGGGGATCCCCCCCAGGAAAGGGGGTCCCCCAGAGGCAGCAGTGAGGAGGTGGGAGTAGAGAGCCAGAGCCGTCGTTGGGACTGGAAGAGCTGAGTTCGAGTCCTCCTCCCTTGAGGAAACGGGGCTCTTACCTTGAGGCCGGGCACGCCAGGCATCCCCCGTGCGCCGTCAGCGCCAGCCCTGCCCTGGGGACACACACAGAGGGGGTCACGAGGAGGAGCCCACCCCCCACTTTCCACTCAAGGCTCCCGGCCGCCCCCTCCTCCTCGCCCAATTATCAAACCAGCTTTTTCTCCCGTCACGTAAGAAAACGGGACTTACTCGGCGGCCGGGCTTCCCTGGGGCGCCGGTCAGTCCCTGTTGGCCCCGGGGCCCCTGGGAGGAGAGAGAGAGAGACCAGAAATTTAGTGCGGCAAAGAGGGGGGACCCTCTAGAGCAGGGGGTCTTCGAACTCGGCCCTTTGATGACTGGTGGACTTCAACTCCCAGAATTCCTCAGCCAGCGTGTACACGCTGGCTGAGGAATTCTGGGAGTTGAAGTCCACCAGTCATCAAAGGGCCGTTCGAAGACCCCTGTTCTGGACCGCCGAGGGGCCCCCACTTCCAAAAGGGCCCCTGAAGCTGACCCAGAACAGGGGACCCCAATTCCCAGCTGCAGCTCACCCTCCCCGCACGAATGGGGAGCAGGAAATGGTCAATCGCCTTGGAGACCAAGGCAGTGGGGGGGGGGAAAGACGCCCAACGCTCCGTCCACCTTACCTGGAGGCCAAAATCTCCGGGCTCGCCCTTCACACCGGGACTTCCAGCTTGACCCTGCGGGAGAGGAAGCAGGAGGGGGATGTAGCAGTCGGGCCCCTGGGCAGCGAGGGCCAAGCGCAGCAGCACCCGGCTGTCCCCAGCCAGGGGACCCTCCCGAGGCCGAAGTCTCTGGACCCCCAGCCTAGCCCATATCCAAGCACACACACACACACACACACACACAAACACACACACTCACCATGGGCCCAGGCCGGCCGGTGTACCCCATCGGTCCCGGAGGGCCACGCAAGGCCAGCTGTGGAAAGGAAGGGAAGGACTCAGAACTAAGCAGAGACCCCCACCCCGGAGAGCCTGGGGCATCAGACTTTAGGCTTGTGGGGGGTGAGGAGTCTTCTGTCACCCCATTCTGGAGGGCTCCAGAGAGCTGCCTTCTCCCCCCCCCCGTTCACACAACGCCCTTAACTAGGGCAAGTTGCACCACCAATCCAGGATAGTTTGAACTCTGGAGGGTTGCGGGTTTCCCCCTCCCCCCCAGGGACCTTCTCAGCTGCACACCCAGCTTTGGAGGCCTCTGAAAAGGGACCCACCCAGTTGAGTATCGGGGGCACCCAGAGGCTCAAAAGCCGGGCCCCGGACTGGAGGCAGAGATGGCTCCCGAATTGGGGGGTGGTGCTTATTTTGCTCCTCTGAATTCTTCCGGTTCTTCCCCCCTCCCCAGCCCTACCCCGTAAAGTTGGGAAGGGGGCTGGCTGGACTCACGCGGGCCTGCTGGAGGTAGGCCTGGGCCTGGGCCTCCTGAGCCATGGCGACGGGCCCCTTCTGGCCCCCAGGAACCCCGAAACGGAACTGCAATCGGGAGGGGAGAATCCAGAGAGTCACAAAAACATCGACAAGCCGCTTCCTCACAGATTCGGGGACAGATCTGCTTCCCCCCCCAGCCAGACGCCCCCTCCCTTCCTGCAGCCCCCCCAGGACGATCCCAACTCCGGTTCCTTGTACCCCCTTTTTCCTGACTCACCGGAAGCATCATGGAGGTGCCTGGGGGACCCGGGCGTCCATCTGAGCCCGCGAATCCGGGCCGTCCGGGGGGACCCTGCAAAGGAGGCAGAGACGCTGCGGGAACACACAGACGCACAATGGCTCCCCCACCACACACACACACACACACACACACACACACACACACACACACATGCCCCTCTGGGCCCAACTGCGCTCGAATCACCGGCCGTGACCCATGGGCGAAGGAGTCCTTGAGCAAGGCTGTCAGGTCGAGGCTTCTCCCTCCAGATTCACCAGACTACATTCCCCATCGTTCCCTCCCCTCCCCCGAAGCCTGCAATGGCAAGTTCACAGAGTGGGAAATGGCCCCCTACTCCGAGGAAGCCCCGTTGGCACCGGACCCCCCCCCAACCTGCTTCTGGACAGCCAACAGAGAGAGGGCACCTTGGTCCATGCGCAGAGTGCCTTGCAATAATTTGCTGCACAGAGACCCCTGGCGAGTTGAAAGGAGCTCTACACATGCTCAGGAGCTGCAGATAGGCCTGCCCTGCAGACAGGAATGGACAGGCACTTGCCCTCCCCCACTCTCCCAGTGGGGCTACCCCACTCACCCGCTCTCCGGGGTCACCAGGGGGTCCGGGAGTCCCCGGGACACCAGGGGGTCCACTCATGCCCTGCAGACGAGAAGGTCATTTCAGCCATTTCTGCCCCACCTGCCCACCCCCACATCCCCACCACCCACCCCCACCCACCCCGGCACCCGACGCCTGGCGCAGCTCTTACCTGGGGTCCTTCGGGGCCGGGACGTCCCGCCACAATCATCCCCTGCGGAAAAATAATGGGGGTCAGGGGGGCGAAGAGGAACCCCCCCCACCTCCCCTTGTCGTCCAGGAAGGTAGGCACAGTCGTGGCGGTGTCCCTGGGAAGGAGTCCGAGCGGGGCCTGATCCTAGCGGGAAGAGGGGTGCCGCTCCTGGGAGACCCAGGGGGGAGGGGGGGCGGGAGTGGACGCTGATCCTGACCTCTGACCCCTAAAGTGACGGGGAGGGATTGGGCACTCACCTTCCCCCCCCTCCCCAGTGGATTGGCATTGATTAAATGCTCTATTTCTCAAGCTGGGCCCCTGGAAGATGGGTGGACTTCAACTCCCACAATTCCCTAGCAAAGCTGGCTGGGGAATTCTGGGAGTTGAAGTCCACCCATCTTCCAGTGGCCCAGCTAAACAAACATTGATTTTTAGGGCCTGGTAGCCAAACTACTCAGCATCTCCCGAGCACAATCACAACTGTCCAGCCCCCAAGGGTCCTTCCCGCCCCCCAGCCATGCTCTGACCCCGTCCGCCCCTTTCCTTCCTGCCATGGGATCACTTCATGGCCTCCCATCCCTGCCCTCAAGCTCCTGCTTGCCAATCTCCTTTCCCATCGGCCAGATGTGGCCCCAGCTGGCTGCAGGGAGGGGCTTCGTCTTTGGCCCAGATGGGGAGGGAACCAAGACCCACCCCTCCCACACACAAACACACAAACACACCAACAACCACGGCAACTTACAGATTCGAAGACAGCCGGTTCGCCTTTGTCCCCCTTCAGTCCTCGGGCTCCGAGCATTGCCTGTGGGTCGCACACATGTAGCCACAAGGAGAGTGTCAGCATTGTGGCGCGTGTAGCACACACACACACACACACACACAACGTACACACTCACACTGAGAGGGGAGAAGGCCTGAAGGAGCCTCCCTCAGCACAGGCAAAGCCATGTCCGTGGCGGAAAAAAGAATTCTACTTCTACACACACACACATACACACACACACACACACACACACACACACAAACACATTTTGCACAGCCGTCACAATCCCTGCAAAAAGTCACCACTAAAAATGGGTTTTGGTCAAGAGAAGCCTCAGTTGTTGCTGGGCTGTCTTTCGACCCGGGCAGGGGGGTGGACTAGATGGCCTTCAGGGACCCTGCTAGCCCTTATGGGTTCTTTGTAAGGACCGAGATGCACCGTCTGAATGTGTGTTGGCGGTGCGGTGGCGGGGGTGGGGTGAGGTTATTATTTTTATTATTTTTTCTCCTTGTTTTTTCTTTATTTTGTATTCATTTTAAGACGAGGGGATCAACTTATTCTCCAAAGCTCCAGACGGAAGGACGAGAAACAATGGCTGGAATCTGATCAAGGAGAGAAGCAACCTGGAATTAAGGAGAAACTTCCTGACAGGGAGGACAATTAACCAGTGGAACACCTGGCCACCAGAAATCGTGGGCGCTCCATCACTGGAAGTTTTTTTAAGAGGAGACTGGACAGTCACTTGTCTGAGATGGTGTAGGGTCTCCTGCTTGAGCAGGGGGCTGGACTACAAGACCTCCAAGGTCCCTTCCAGATTCTATTCTATTCTTTTTATAGGGCATTTTTATATCTGCGTCAGCTGCTTTTGGTCGCCGTGTGCGAGAAGGCGGCCATATATAATAAATTAAATAAATAAATCTGTGTCTTATTTAAGTTTCCATTTAGGCTTTTCATTTTAATCCCAGTTAGCTTTGGGGAATAGAATAGAATAGAATTACAGAACAGAATAGAATAGAATAGAACAAAATAGAATAGAATAGAAAATAGAATAGAATAGAATTACAGAATAGAACAGAATAGAATAGAATTACAGAATAGAATAGAATAGAATAGAAAATAGAATATAATGGAATTACAGAATAGAATAGAAAATAGAATAGAATTACAGAATAGAATAGAATAGAAAATAGAATAGAATAGAATTACAGAATAGAATAGAAAATAGAATAGAATTACAGAATAGAATAGAATAGAATAGAATAGAAAATAGAATAGAATTACAGAATAGAATAGAATAGAATAGAATTACAGAACAGAACGGAACAGAACAGAATAGAATTACAGAACAGAACAGAATAGAATAGAATTACAGAACGGAACAGAACAGAATAGAATAGAATAGAATAGAATAGAAAATAGAATAGAATAGAATTACAGAACAGAACAGAATTACAGAACAGAACGGAACAGAACAGAATAGAATTACAGAACAGAACAGAATAGAATTACAGAACAGAATAGAATAGAATAGAATTACAGAACAGAACGGAACGGAACAGAACAGAACAGAACAGAATAGAAAATAGAATAGAATAGAATAGAATAGAATAGAATAGAATAGAATAGAATAGAATAGAATAAAGTTGGAAGGGACCTTGGAGGTCACCTAGTCCAACCCCCTGCTCAGGCAGGAAACTCTATACAGACAAAGGGCTGTCCTCGCCAAGAAACCCTGGCCCATTCCCTGCTCCTGGCAGATTCTGAGAACCAAACCCCGTTGAAGGGGAGGAGGGGAAGGGTCTTCTGGCTGGGGAATTCTGGGAGTTGAAGTCCAATTCCAAGCCCATACACAAAACATCTTAAAAGTTGTCACGTCCGAACTGCCCTGGGCTTTCATTTGCCTTCAGGCTCTGGGTAGTTCCTATTTCAAGCTCCAAGGGCACCTCGTGAAATTTCCTGCCTGCTTATTTTGTGCGCCTTGAATCTATCGATCTACTACTAAAATCCTTGGTGCTGTAACTTTTAAATTTCGCGCAGCAACCATTTTTGAATCAAGGTGCTTCCAGCGGGCTCGCTTACACCGGGTGCATCCAGCATTAAAGTTCGGCCAATTTTATAAAATTTGGCCTGGCGTAAAAATGACCATAAAATTCAGTTTACGACCTAATACAAAAGGTCATCCAACATTTCCTGATGTTTGACTTGTGATGGACAGTGCAGCGAGGGCCACTTTTGGAGGCAGACCCGTCCCGGAACGTCGTCACGGTTTTTCCAGCGAAGGCGGGATGTGACAAGGTCTGAATGTCTAACAATGGCTGAGAACTTTTCAAAGCGCATAGAAGCTCTGTCATTGCTGAAGGCAGAGGAATCCGCTAAGGAAGAATCTCTGAAACGAGGACCTGACGGGCAGCAGGCGGTCAACTTTTGAATTTTAAAAAAATCCGCCAAGATACACTGAATTTCTCAAGATTTTAAGGAAAAAAAAATGCTCTGAAAATGTTCTTAATAATAATAATTAGTAACAAAGTTGGAAGGGACCTTGGAGGTCATCTAGTCCAACCCCCTGCTCAGGCAGGAAACCCTATACCAGCGGTTCTCAACCTATGGGTCGCGACCCCATTTGGGGTCGAACGACCATTTTACGGGGGTCGCCAAACAACGCGATCCGCCATTTTCCCCCCTCAGGGGGCGCCGCCGCGCATGCGAGCCGCACGTGGGGGCGCGTTTGTGTGACGGGGGTCGCCATCACACAAACGTTGAGAAACGCTGCCCTATACCATTTCAGACAAATGGCTGTCCATTGAATTGCTCTGGATTGCAGGGGGGACAGGAAGGAATGGGTGGGGCTTCCTAAATGGCAACTGGAGCAGTAATTACTGTCTGCTAATTGGGGGGAAGGAAATGCCTTTTCCAGTATAGCGGGAACTGGGACCAGTGGTGTTGCCATACTGGGAAAAAATGGCCTGTCTGCATTTCCAGGGTAAATCAGCTTCGTGGTTAGAAAGATCAAGGCGTTAAGGACGGGCAGGCCACATCCTGGCAGGAAATGATGTCATCAACGGCACGATATGACAGATGGCGCGGGTCATAATTCATAGGAAATGACATCATCAAACGATGTGATCGGATGTAACTTGATAGGAAATGACGTCATCGGGGAGGTGACATCACAGGGCACCCCGACACAGGGAGTGACATCGTCAGTGGGGAGTGATGTCACCGGATGCAACTTCCTGGGAATTGACATCATCAAAAGGGGGACCCCAACAGGAAGGAGAGACACGTGACAAAGCAGCTGGAAGCCATGGAAAGGAGGGACCAGAGAGTCAGCGCAGCCCAGACCTCCAGAGCCAGGCAAACCATAGATGGTGGAGCCTAGAGAGGGGCTCAGAACGTGGGAAAAAAAATGGGACAAGGGGCTGCTGCCACCCAGTGGTGGGTAATGGGAAAGGCAGGAGGGACCCAAAACCACCTGGGAATCAGAAGCCCGAAGGACATCCACATCCATTATCCAGGACAGGACAGGAACACACGCAGCAAACACAAAAAGGGCCCACAGCAACACAGGGCTCAGCGAAAGACCCACAAAAAAACGGCCTTTGGAAACTGCCCCCCCCAAAGCACTAGGAGAGGCGGTCAGCAATGGGCAACGGGTAGACGGCCAGGAGGACACAGAAGTGGCGACACAGAGGAGGCGACACAGGACACAACAGGGGGCGCTCACTTACGACAGCATCATAGGGGACCTGGGCTGAGCGCTGGGGGCCCAAGTCGCTGGGGTTCGGATCGCCGTCTCTGTGATCCAGGGCCACGCCGGGCAGGAGCCCCCCCTGCACCTCCTCGGCCACGTCCTCCTGGCCCAGGCAGGGGACGTTAACCCAGGAAAGAGACGGGGTCTGCAGCAAGCGCCCCCTGGCACCCGAGCCCTTGCCCAGGCCCCGGCAGCTCTCCTGGCCCCACCAGCCGCGGGACAGCCTGGCCCAGCACCAAGGGAGGCCCTGCGCCCCACGACTCCTGCCCACTGGGCCCAGTCCCCTGCGCCAGCCTGCCAAGGCCGTGGGAGGGGGTGTCATTTACCTGCACCCATGGCGACGAGGGGGTGGGAGGCGAGGCCTCCCCGGTGGGGACCCTCTTCTGGGGAGTAGCCTCAGGAGGCGGGGGGTGGCTGGGGTGCCGGGGAGCCCCCGGGGTGGGAAGGGGCCCTGCGTCCTTGGCAGAGGCACCCCCCCGAACGGAGGTAAAGTCAGGGTAGACACGGAGGGCGGGCGGCGGATTCAGGGAAGAAAGAAGCAAAAAAGGGAGACAGATGGAGGGGGGTTAGTTGGTTAGTGCAAATGTCCCCGTCGGGGTCTGGGGAGGCCAATTCCCGGAATCCAGATCCTTGAAGCCCAGAGGACTAAATGGATATTGGGGGGGGGACCAACCGTCTCGTGCCCAGCTGGGCCAGGAAAACGGGGCTGACCGAGGCCCAGCGTAGAATAGCAGAGCTGCAGCTGACAGGGGGGCCTGGAGCAGCCCCCAGGCCCTGCAGACCAACCCAAGGGGGGGCTTCTCTTGCTCGGGGCCCCTGGGGGGGGACAGGTCTTCTCCCTCCCCCCTCACGCCGACCCCAGCCCCTCCCTCTGTCTCTACCTGCTGGTAGCTGCTTCGTGGCCCCCGGGCTGCCTGGGCCCTCGTGGCCCCCGGGCTGGCTGCCTTCTTCGCTGCAGAGGCCTTGCCGGCCGTGGTCGCCTTGGGGGTGGGGCTGCTGGCCTTGGGGGTCTTTCCGCCGGCCGAGGGCTTCCCGTTGCCGCTGGGCCCCTTGCGGGTTCCTTGGGGTTCCTTCCTCTCCGGTGCGTCGGTCTTGAGGGCGGCGGGCGGGAGGCTGGGCAGCTGCCGCTTCTGGGGCTGTCTGGCCTTGGTGCTGGTGGGGGGCTTCGTCTTGGCCGGCGTCTGGCAGGGAGGGGGACACAAAGGCAGCGATGGAGGGAGAGTGCCGGAGCAAGTCCCAGTGGGGCAGAAAGCAGAGCCAAAGGGGGGGGGAGTGTTTGGCCAGACGGAGCCCTCTCTGCAGAGACCCTCCCCTCCCCTTCCCCAGGACAGAACCCCACTTGGGCCCAGGCTCCCCCTCTGAGGAGCTTCCCCCCACCCCCCATTGCTTCTCGCCCTGCCTTCTGGGGCTTTGGGGAAGAGATTCACACACACACACACACACACACACACACACACACCCTCTTCTCTCCGGCAGCCCCTCAAATACTGGAACACTGCTATCATGTCTCCCTGATCCTTCTCTTCGTGAGACATGCCACATGCTACATTCTTCGTATGTAGAATAGAATAGAACAGGACAGGACAGGACAAGACAGCACAGGATAGGATAGAACAGAACAGAATACAATAGAATATAGAATATAGAATATAGAATATAGAAAATAGAATAGAATAGAAAATAGAATATAGAATATAGAATATAGAATAGAATATAGAATAGAATAGAATATAGAATATAGAATAGAATAGAAATAATAGGAATAGAATAGAATAGAATAGAATAGAATAGAAATAATAGAATAGAGTAGAATAGAATAGAATATAGAATAGAATATAGAATAGAATAAAATCTAGAATCTAGAATAGAATAGAATAATAGAATAGAATAGAATAGAATAGAGAATAGAATAGAATAGAGAATAGAATATAGAATAGAATAGACTATAGAATATACAATAGAATAGAATAGAATTTAGAATAGAATAGAAATAATAAGATAGAATAGAATAAAATACAATAGAATAGAATAGAATAGAATAGAATAGAATAGAATACAATATAGAATATAGAATAGAATAGAAATAATAGGATAGAATAGAATAGAATAGAATAGAATAGAATAGAATAGAATAGAATAGAATAGAATAGAATAGAATAGAATATAGAATATAGAATAGAATAGAAATAATGGAATAATATAGAATAGAATAGAATAGAATAGAATAGAATAGAATAGAATAGAATATAGAATATAGAATAGAATAGAATATACAATAGAATAGAATACAATAGAATAGAATACAATACAATAGAATACAATACAATAGAATACAATACAATATAGAATATAGAATAGAATAGAAATAATAGGATAGGATAGAATAGAATAGAATAGAATAGAATAGAATAGAATAGAATAGAATAGAATAGAATATAGAATATAGAATATAGAATAGAATATAGAATAGAATAGAATAGAATAGAATAGAATAGAATAGAATAGAATAGAATAGAATAGTTGGAAGGAACCTTGGAGATCTTCTAGTCCAGCCCCCTGCACAGGCAGGAGAACCTATAGACCATCTCAGACAAGGGACTGTCCAGTCGTCTCTTCTTAAGAACCTCCAGTGACGGACTCCCTTAATCCTTTTTTGTCGCTGTTTCTCTGCACACTTTCTAGACTCTCGGCCTCTTTCCTTTGTGTTCCTGGGGACCAAATGCCCAACCGTTTCCCTTGATCTGATCTGAGTCGCTTGGCAGGCTGAGTCCTCGCCCGGACTTCAAAGGGCTCCGGCTCGCTCGGCGGTCAGCCCCAAAGAGGGGAACAATTCACAATGGACTCTGGTTGGGAGGGGGAGACTGAAACACACACACACACACACCCTGGGGAGAAGATCCGTTACAGCCTCTCAGGAAACTTTGAGGGACGAAAAACGAGATATTATTTTGCAGAGCAGAGTTCCCTTCTCCAGGACCAGCAACTAATGTGGGCGTTAAATCCCAGTTTAAATGCAGGAGCTTCCCTTTGAAGGCCAGGGGGACGCAGGGGGACCAGGAAGCAAAAGCCCCAAGAAGGGGGGGGCTGACGTTGGTGGGGACAGTTTGACCCCCAGCTGAGAGAGAGGAGACTTCGCTGTTCCCACGACGAGACCCAGAAGACGCGACCCAGGAAGCAGACGCAGACCGAGGCCTCTTCGGCAGGGGGTCCAGTGGCCTGGACAGGCGAGGGGGGGGTCTCCTTCCCACACCACCATCTGCCTGAGATGCCTGTGGGAGTCTGGCACTCGGGGGAGGGGGCAGGGGGTCAGACTAGATGGCCTTTAAAAGCCCTAGCTAAAATCCTACGAATCCTGCGGCCGTTCCCACCTCGAAACTCCCTTTCTTTTGCCCTCCAACCGACAAAAAAAAAATGCATATATTCAACTCGTTGAATTTTAAAATCACTCGGCACCTTCTCTCTGTGCTGCGGGGGCTCCCGCTGGCATTCAAATGCGCCACAGAGTCCAGTTGTGTGTTCAGACAAGCCCATCCTGCTCCCCCCTTTCCACCCCCCCTTACAAAAATTGGGGTTCCAAGCACAAAACCTAAGGAGAAATTTCCTGACAGTGAGAACAATTAACCAGTGGAACCACCTGACTCCAGAAGCGGTGAATGTTCCAACACTGGAAGTGTTTAAGAAGAGACTGGACAGCCATTTCTCTGGAATGGTATAGGGTTTCCTGCCTGAGCAGAGGGTTGGACTAGATGACCTCCAAGGTCCCTTCCAACATTATTATTATTATTATGGATCATCGCACAGTCAGCCAGATGTTCAGACTAGATTTGGCATTTTGTCTACCTATCGAGTCCTTACCCAGGACCTGGGATAGGCAGATGTGGATGTTTGATGGTATTACAGATATCGTCGCAGGATGGAAGCAGTTCCTAATAAGGCCGTCTTTTGCAATTGACTAATAGCGAATTTGTCAATGCCAATGGTGTTCAAGTGGTGCTCCAATTGTTTTGGGATTGCACCGAAGGCGCCTATGACTATTGGTACTACCCTTGCTTGCTTTTGCCACAGTCTTTCTATTTCTATTTGTAGGTCTTTGTATTTTGTTATCTTCTCCAGTTCTTTCTCTTCTATTCTGCTGTCCCCAGGCACTGCCACGTCCACTATCCAGACTTTTTTGTCTTTCTTATCGACAATTGTTTATTATTATTGTTGTTGTTGCTGTTGTTGTTTTGTTGCTGTTGTTGTTATTGTAATTATCTATTACTATTATTATTATTATTATTATTATTATTACTATTATTATTATACTGGGAGTTTTTAAGAAGAGACTGGACAGCCATTTGTTCAAAACGGTATAGGATTTCCTGCCTGAGCAGGGGGTTGGACTAGATGACCTCCAAGGTCCCTTCCAACTTTACTACTACTACTACTACTACTACTACTACTACTACTACTACTATTATTATTATTATCATTCATCGCACAGTCAGCCAGATGTTCAGACTGGATTTGGCATTTTGTCTACCTATCGAATCCTTACCCAGGACCTGGGATAGGCAGATGTGGATGTTTGATGGTATTACAGATATCGTCGCAGGATGGAAGCAGTTCCTAGTAAGGCCGCCTTTTGCAATTGACTAATAGCGAATTTGTCAATGCCAATGGTGTTCAAGTGGTGCTCCAGTTGTTTTGGGATTGCATCCAAGGAGCCTATCACTATTGGTACTACCCTTGATTGCTTTTGCCACAGTCTTTCTATTTCTATTTGTAGGTCTTTGTATTTTGTTATCTTCTCCAGTTCTTTCTCTTCTATTCTGCTATCTCCAGGCACTGCCACATCCACTCTCCAGACTTTTTTGTCTTTCTTCTCGACAATTGTTAAGTCTGGGGTGTTATGTTGCAGGTGCTTGTCTGTTTGAATTCTGAAGTCCCAGAGCAGTTTAATTTTATCATTTTCTATGACTTTCTCTATTTTATGATCCCACCAGTTTTTGCTTACAGGCAAATGATATTTTTTGCAGATCTTCCAATGCACCATTGTTGCTACTTTGTCATGCCGCTGCTTGTAATCAGTCTGTGCAATCTTCTTGCAACAGCTTACCAAGTGGTCCACTGTTTCTTCAGCTTCTTTGCATAGGCGGCACTTACTGTCTGTTGCTGTCTTCTCAATTTTGACTTTGTATGCATTTGTCCTTAAGGCTTGGTCTTGTGCAGCCAGAATTAGTCCCTCGGTCTCTTTCTTCAATTTTCCTGCTCTTAGCCATTGCCAGGTTTTTATTATTATCTGCTTTCCCAGCTATTTTTTTCATGTATTGGCCATGTAGTGCTTTGTCTTCCCATGCCTCTATTCTGTTCTTCATTTGGTCTTTCTTGTAGGCCAGTTTGGTCTCTCCAGTAGTTAGTAAGCCTTCCTGATATACTAATTTCAGTGCATCTTCATCATTGTTCTTCAGATATTCTTCCAAAGCCATTTTTTCTTCTTCAACCATCTGATGTACTTGTAGCATTCCACGCCCCCCTATTTGCCTTGGTAGATAAAGTCTATCAATGTCACTGCGTGGATGAAGGGCATGATTCATTGTCGTTATTTTTCTGGTCTGCCTATCCATTGCTTTTAGTTCTGCTTGAGTCCAGTCCACTATTCCAGCTGTGTACCTAATGACTGGGATTGCCCAGGTGTTGATTGCCTTTATGGTATTTCCTCCATTGAGTTTGGGATTTTAAGATCTTCTTCACTCTCTTGATGTATTCACCTCTAATCTTTTTCTTGACTTCAGTGTGCTTGATGTTGTCAGCTTGAAGGATACCCAAGTATTTGTAGTACTCTTCCTCATCCAGACTCTTAATGTTATTTTCGTGGGGCATCTTGATTCCTTCAGTTTTCATTATTTTTCCTTGTTTGATAGTAAGTGTGGCACATTTGTCCAAGCCAAACTCCATACAATATCTTGGCTATATATACGGACAGTGTTGAGCAGCGATTCTATTTCAGATGATGTTTTTCCATACAGCTTCAGATCATCCATGTAAAGGAGGTGGGATAGTCTGCAGATGTTTTTGATGTTTGATAGCCATGTCCTGAGTTATTCAGTATTGTTGACAGAGGAAATAGTGCAATAACAAATAGTAATGGTGATAATGAATCTCCTTGAAATATTCCTCTCTTGATATTAACCTCTCCCAGCTTCTCACCATTGATCTGCAACTGTGTCTTCCATTGTGCCATCGATCTTTGCACAAATTTTCTGATGTTTCTACTGACTCCTGTTATTTCTAGGCACTTTATTATCCAATCATGTGGCAGAGAGTCAAATGCCTTTTTGTAGTCAATCCATGCCACATTCAGGTTGGTCTTCCTTCTCTTGCAGTTTTCCAAGATCATTTTGTCTATTAGGAGTTGATCTTTTGTTCCTCTGCTATTGGGGCGGTTTCCTTTCTGCTCAGGTGGAAAGAGATTGTTTTCAACTAGATGCTGTTGTACTGCATCAGCTACCACACCAGTTAGTAATTTGAAAGTTGTTGGTAAGCAGGTAATTGGCCTGTAGTTACCTGGTGTTGCCCCTTTTGCTGGATTTTTCATTATTAGGTAGGTTTTCCCAGTTGTTAGCCACTTTTCAATTTCTCCTCCTTGTAGTATATTGTTGAACTGCTTGGCAATGAGTGGGTGTATAACAGTTAGATGTTTCAACCAAAACCCATGCAGTTCATCTTCACCTGGTGCTGACCAATTTTTGATTTTCTTTGCTCTTTTTTCTACCATTTTTGTTGTTATTACTAGTTCTTTCATTTCAACTTCTGTTTTATTTGCATCCACCTCTTTTAACCAAGCTGCATCCTTGGTGTATTTCTTTGGGTTATCCCATTCTGCTTCCAGAATATGTTCTTTGGGTTGATGATTCCCATATCTGGATTGGCACTGTTTCTTCCTTGTTTCTGATTGGATTGCAGTTTCTCCAATGGATTGGTAGGTTTCTGATTGGATTGAAATTGGAGGTTCTGCCTATAGTTTGCAATTCGAGCTTCATATCTACTGATTTTCCTGGCTATAGCTGTTATTTGTTGCTTTATTATTTCCAGTGCTTCCTTGATCTTCCTTGTTTCTAAGTGGTATTTCTTGATTAGGTATTCTTTGGTCTTCTTGTTCTTCAGCTTCTTTTCTTTCATCTGTTCTAGCTTGCTTGCATGTGATCTTAACTTGCTGATCTTATTTTCTAGTCTAACCTTCCATTTTTGTGGTGCACTGTTTGTTTGTTTTTCTTTTTTGTTGATTTTACATCCCAGGTATTCTGTTATAACTGCAGCTGTGCTGTACATTAATTGGTTTGTTTCTTGCAGTGAATTGGTGCTTATACTTGCTATTGCAGTATTTGCATCTTTTAATGCTTGTGCTAGCTGTTTCTTTGGAACAAGCTTCAATGCAGGCAGCCTTATTCTGTTGTTTTTGTGCTGTTCTAGATGCTCAGTTATTCTTTGTTTCAATTCTTTTATTTCTTTAGTTAGAGGGTTTTGTTCTTCCTGAGGAAGAGGTGCCTGGTTTCCAAATGAGAACAGTTGTATATCTCTACTGGATTCTTTCACTGCCAACTCCCCCTGGTTTGCCTCTACATTCTGAATTACTTCTTGTAAGGCTTTGATTTCTTTGCCCTGGGTAAACCTTTGCAGTTCGTCCAATTCTGTTTCTGTAAATACTTTATTTCGTATTATAAATCGGCGTTGATCTGCTAGTCTCTGTTCTGTTATTTCTGATTCTGGATGTTGTTCTTTCCAGAACTGGTGCATTCGTTTTAGATATCCTCGTCTTGTTGGACTTGATCTGTAGTAACAGATCATTATTTCTTTGTTTTCCATCACTGTGTATCTGCGACGGGTAAACACCTTTTCTTCCAGTAGTTCTGCAGCTGCTGGCCCTGGTTGCTCAGCCAACAGTCCTGAGTCCTGTAACCCATTTTTCACCAGATATCCAGGAACTCCAATATCTAGCGGACGGTATCCGGCATTCTGCAATTTACGTCTCACCATATTTTTTATGGGAGAGACACTCTTTGTCTGACTCCTCTGATGAGACCTGTCCAGTATGGTTGAACCTCTGGCATAGCTCTCATCTTCCTCAGAGTACACAAGCCCCACAACCACGTCAAGGTAGTATTATTATTATTATTTTGACTTTGGGGGCCAAACACCAGCAAATAAAATACACCAACCGCCCCCCCCCCCCGCAGCTTGTTTCCCCGCCCTCACCTCAGGCCTGGGGGGCCTCTGCCGAGCTTCCAGGGCTTGTGGCTTCTGGGGGGGCCCCCCGCAGTCCGGGCTGTAGCGCTGGCAGTAGTCCTGGGCATCCCGGGGGCTGGGGCTGATCAGCAGCTGTTGGATCTCTCCCTGAAAAGATGGGGCAGGGGCACAGGGCAGGTGAGGTGGGGCTCGGAGCCTCGGCGGGGGGGGGGGAGGGCGGTGAAAAGAGTGGGGGGGGCTGCTACCTCAAAGACCCCCTCGTCCAGGATCCGGGCCCCGAAGATGGTGATGCCCTTGGTGTCCAGCACGGGGCGGTTCCCCCGCGGGAGGGGCAGGCTGGCTCTCTTCTCGCAGTCCAGGAAGAGGGTCACCTGCTGCTTCTTCACGCTGAAGGCCAGCCGATGCCACCTGCGGGGACAAGGTGGACCCCCCCTGCTCAGCCCCTGCAGCCACACGGGCACCGGAAGGCTGGGGAAGGACTTTCGGAGGGAGGGAGGAGAACTGGCAGAAGAGTGCCCGGTGCGTGCCAGGTGCCAACTTATCTACCCGTCTGCGGTCCCAGGTAAAGAGCTGGGAGGGGCTTCTGGGCACCTGTTCTAGGTGCCTCCCCTGCCCCCCTCCCTGTTGGTCTCTTAGCCAGCTCAGCTTTTGCTCGTCTCTCTTCCTCTTCCTGCCCCCCCTCTGACACCCCCTCCCCAGATTTTAAGCCCCCCAAAGAGCTAAAAGCGCCTTGAAGCAAGGACAAGAAGGGAGCCAAAGGGCCTAGGGACCAGGCCTCCTTCGGCAAAAGGGACACAAGGGGAGGGGGCCCAAGACCAAATGCTCCCCGGCAGCCCCCCCCCCAAGCCCTGGTCTCTTGCGGCCTCAAGGCCCAGGAGCGTGAGCTGGGGAGTGCCAAAGAAGCCGCAGGGGTTCGTGAGGTCACGCAGTCCACCTCCTGGTTCCAAGCGTGAACTGGAGGTCAAGCAGCAAAGAGGGGAGGGTCTCCGGCTTCTGCTTGGGCCAACTAAGGAAAGTGTGGGGGGGTCACCCCCAACTCCACCACTACACCGACACTGGGACCCTCCGGAGCCAAGTGGGGGATCCAGGATGCCGGTGGGCGAGAAACACGCCACCCCCAGGAGACCCTGGAACCTTCCTCCACCTGCCCCCTGCCCTCTTTCCCCTTCTGGGGTCCCCCAGGCTGTTCTGCTCCCCAAAGCAGACCCCCCACTTCTCCCCCCCCTCCTGGGAGAGGTGGGCTTAGCTGCCACGGCCACGGCTGTCACTCACAGGCTCCGCCGGGGGTTCCGACCCCAGAGCCTGCGCAACGGGGCTGACCAGCGTCCCCCGTGGGCGGCGGGGACTCACCTGCCGTCGGTCAGGTTGGCCCCTCGGAAGACCGGCAGCTCCTCGGGGTCCGGCCGGCCGCCCTGGTCGCGGTAGAGGAAGCGCAAGGAGCGGCCCAGCTCGACGCCTAGCTGCTGCACGCCGTGCCGGTCGTAGACGGAGAGCAGGACGGCCGGGTGGCCCGGCTCGGCCTTCAGTAGCGCCATCAGGGAGAAGTCCTCGGGGAACTCACCTGGACGGGGGGCAGGGAGGGGGGGCAGAGCTGCCGGTGGGATCCCTGGCTGGGCAGGGGGTGGGTGGGGGGATCCACCGCCCCTTCCCCTCCTCCGGACCCCCAAGGGCAGGGGTCGGCAACCTTGGCTCTTTTATGACGCGTGGACTTCAACTTCCAGAATTCCTGAGCCAGCTGTGCTGGCTCAGGAATTCTGGAAGTTGAAGTCCACGCGTCATAAAAGAGCCAAGGTTGCCGACCCCTGCCCAAGGGCAAAAGCCACCCCCCCCCTCGGGAAGGCCTGCAGGCGGGAGCTCACCTGGTGAAGCCTTTCCTCCCATGTGGATGCCGCGGACGAAGGCAACCGACGGGGGCTTCGCCGTGTCCCGGTTGGCCTGGTTCGCCGTCTTTTCTGGGCGACCCCCGGGAGACGCCCTCCCCTACCACCAACTCCCCCCTCCCCACCTGTGGGGTACCTGGGAAGAGCTGCCGCGTCGGGGCGCTGATCTGGGCCCGTCTGGATATCCGGAAGGCCGCCTCCGGGCCGGACCCCGTTGCTGCACGCTTCCCGGGGCAGAAGCCCGTCGTCCGGCGGACCCCCTCGGGCTCCGTCTGCAGCTGCATGGCCTTCAGGACGTCGACCACCGGGTCGGCTGCGGGAAGAGGGGGGTTGGGGAGAGGCCGGCTGGGTGAGGATGGTGCCCCCTCCTCAAATTCCCTCTCCTCGGTGCTGATCCCCCCCAGCGCCTCTCTCCAACCCCTCAACAGATGCCGGCTTCCCCTCGGATTGCGTCTGCCCAGGAGCCCCCCTGCGCAGACCCTGAGCCCTGGCCGAAGGGTTGGGGTCCTCCATTCCCCCCCCCCAGGCCCCCTGAGACCCTCCCAATCCTTCCTTCCGCTGTCTGTGTTTGGGCCCTTTGCAGATCCGCCTGGCCCAGCCGTAAGGCAGAAAGGGGGAGTCCCTTTGCCTGGATCCCCAGATCCCAAACTCCAAACTTTCCCAGAATCTCCAAAGCCCCCAAAGGTAAAAGACAAGAAGCCACGGAGGGAAACTAATCAAGGAGAGAAGCAACCTGGAACTAAGGAGAAACTTCCTGACAGTGAGAGCAATTAGCCAGTGGAACTACCTGCCTCCAGAAGCGGTGAGTGCTCCAACACTGGAGGTTTTTAAGACGAGACTGGACAGCCATTGGTCTGAAGTGGTATAGGGTTTCCTGCCTGAGCAGGAGGTTGAGCTAGATGACCTCCAAGGTCCCTTCCAACATTATTAGTATTATTATTATTATTATTATTATTAGTAGTAGTAGTAGTAGTAGTAGTGGTGGTAGTAGTAGTAGTAGTATACTGGGAGTTTTTAAGAAGAGACTGGACAGTCACTTGTCTGAAATGGTATAGGGTTTCCTGCCTGAGCAGGGGGTTGGACTAGATGACCTCTAAGGTCCCTTCCAACTTTATTATTATTGTTGTTGTTGTTTTGTTGTTGTTTTGTTGTTGTTATTGTTATTATTATTATACTGGAAGTTTTTAAGAAGAGACTGGGCAGCCCTTTGTCTGAAATGGTATATAGGGTTTCCTGCCTGAGCAGGAGGTTGTACTAGATGACCTCCAAGGTCCCTACCAACTTTATTATTATTATTATTATTATTATTATTATTAGTAGTAGTAGTAGTAGTAGTAGTAGTAGTAGTATATCACACCAGCCACATCTGGGGGGGGGACCGTTTTCACCATTTCTTTTTTGCAAGAACTGGCCGCAAGAAGTGGCCGCAGAGCTGTGTGTGTGTGTGTGTGTCCCGCTTGGCCACGGGTCCAGCTAGATCAGTGGTTCTCAACCTTTTTAATGCCGCGACCCCTCCCAACCGGTCGTAAGTCGAGGACTACTCAACCGGTCGTAAGTCGAGGACTACTCAACTGGTGCAGCACCGTTTGCAGAATGGGACTTTTGGCGGGCTCAGCAGGGCAGAGACAGCCTGGACAATTCCTATTGGCTTTGGAAAGCCAATAGAATTAGACTCTATTCAAGAGAGTCTATTCTATTGGCTTTCAAAAGCCAATAGTATAAAAGAGAGGAGCACAGCTAAGGAAAAGGGGGGAAAAATGGCGGACTGCGTTGTTTGGCGACCCCCGTGAAATGGTCGTTCGACCCCAAATGGGGTCCTGACCCACAGGTGGAGAACCACTGGTCTAGATGTCCTCACTGGCCTCTCTTTCGGCCGGCACCCAGGGACTTAAGGAGGAACTGAAGGGAGAGCTGGGACAGCCCCGGCTGCAAAGGATTCCTCAAGCGTGTGTATGCAAAGCCATGCCAGGTTGCGGGGTCACACGGGACTCTTTGCCAGAGAGGCCAAAGGGTCTCCCCTCCACCAGCAGCGCCCCCCTCCCCCCTTGGCAGGGCAGCTGCTGGCTCAGGGGGCTGCCTTTCCCCCTCGGAAGTGGGGGGGACATTCCCCTGGCCTGGCCCCACCCCAGCCGACAAAGAGCTCTGTGTGGACGCCAAAGGCAGCGGCTTCATTGCTGAGGGAGCCTCTGCTATCTTTAGAGTCTTCGCTGCAGCCCCGGGACCCCCCCCCCGGCCGAGCAGACCCTGGCCGGGATGGCAGGGAAGATTCCCCCCCACCAAAGCTGGGAGGGTGGCCCCTCAGGACCCCCCCAAATCAGAGTTCTCTCCCTCCTGTCCGAGGGGGGCGGCCGGCCTTCCAAAGAGACAGAAAGGGGAGATCAAAGCGCTCCTGGCAACCTGCCCGGAGGGGTCTCCTGGGGCTGAGCCCCCCCCCGTCCCTCCCTGCTAAAAGGGGATGATATTTCCTCCCCCCCCCCAACCGTGTGTTGGGCCTGGCTGAGTCTGTCCGCCCTCCGTTTGCACAAGGTGTAGGGCAGAAAGGGAGTTAGGGGAGGGCGGGAGGGAGAAGATGGGGAATGAGAAGAGAGGGAGTGAGGGAGGGAGGGATGAAAGAAGGAAGGAAGGAGATGGGGAATGAGAAGGAAGGAAGGAAGGAGATGGGGAATGAGAAGGGAGGGAGGGAGGGAGGAAGGAAGGAAGGAGATGGGGAATGAGAAGGGAGGGAGGGATGAAAGAAGGAAGGAAGGAGATGGGGAATGAGAAGGGAGGGAGGGATGAAAGAAGGAAGGAAGGAGATGGGGAATGAGATGGAGATGGGGAATCAGAAGGAAGGAAAGAAGGAGACAGGGAATGAGAAGGGAGGGAGGGAGGGGAGGGAGGGAGGGAGGGAGAAAGGAAGGAAAGAAGGAAAGGAGGGAGGGAAGAAGGAAGGAAGGAAGAAGAGAGAGAGAGAGATCGGGAAGAAAGAAAAGAGCCATCCACACTTCAACCAGAGACTTTCCAGAGGGCCAAACAGGCAGAAGCCCAACAGGGAAGGTTTCCCCTAAACCTCAGCAAGAGAGAAACTTTCCTTGCTCACTTTTTGCCCGAATTTTGGCAGGGAGACCACCAGGTCAGACAACCATCTTGTGAGGTAGGCTGAGCTGGCAGAAGCGGGCCGGATCCAAAACGTCACCCCGTGAACTCGAAGCCCAGCGGTGGGATCACCACAGTGCACACAGGCAGAAGTTCAACAGGCGCAATGGGGGTCATCTTTCCTCTCACTGCCGAAGAGACTGGGAGGCTAAGATAACAGCTCCCATCATCCCCCCGTTGGACTAATAGTAGGCATTGCAATCCTAGAATTCTACGGCTAGAATGGACCTCAAGAGGTCATGTAGTCCAGCCCCGTGCTCAAGCAGGAGGTCCTATATATCCTTTCAGATAGGTGACTGTCCAGTCTTTTAAAAAAAAAAAAAAAAAAAATCTCTGGTGATGGAGCACCCACAATTTCTGGAGGCCGGTTGTTCCACGGGTTAATTGTTCTCCCTGTCAGGAAATTCTTCCTTAATTCCAGGTTGCTTCTCTCCTTAATTAGCCGCCCTCTGGTGCTCTGGAGAATAATTTGAACCCGCTCCCCTTTGGGGCAACCCCTCAAACACTGGAATACTGGGATCGTGTATAGATATTCCCAGTTCCAGAAACGGTTCCTTGTATGTGTTAGCCTCCGGTCTCCTCATCCTCTGGGTTGCTCTTCTCTGCTCCCTCTTTCTACAGTCTCAACCTCTTTTTCAGCTCTTGGCAACCAAAACGGCGTGCGGTGGTCCACGGGTGTAAAGCCCCATTGTCGCTTTCAACGACTTTGATGCTATGATCCCTGGGTTGTCAATTCTTGGGGTTTTTCCCTGTCATGATGTCACACACACACACACACACACACACAAAGACACACACCAACGTGATCCCTCTCAGGTCATCAGAAGATGGACTAGAGCAGGGGTCTTCCAACGCATGTGCCTGGCTGAGGAATTCTGGGAGTTGAAGTCCACCAGTCATCAAAGGGTCAAGTTGGAAGACCCCTGGACTAGATGACCTCTCTAGATCCCCCCCAAAAGGATCCACCTGTTTTTGAGCCCCCCCGATCCAAGTGGGTTCCCACCAGGGCAGGCCAACTTCAGGAAAGGACCCCCCCTACCTGGCTGACCCACCCCATGGGGGGGGGAAGCACGGGGCATGGGAACATCAAGTGGCAATGAGTGCCAGAGGCATCCGGGCAGTGCCAGAAAGCCAGGAAGACGCTTATCTTTTCTTTCTTTCTTTCTTTCTTTCTTTCTTTTTCTTTCTTTCTTTCTTTTTCTTTCTTCCTTCCTTCCTTCTTTCCTTCCTCCCTACCTTCTTTCCTTTCTTTCTTTCATTCTTTCTTTCTTTCTTTCCTTCCTTTCTTTTTCTTTTTTCTTTTTCTTTCCTTCCTTCGTTCCTTTTTCTCTTTCTCTTTTTTCTTTCTTCCTTCCTTCCTTCCTCCCTTTTTTCTTTCTTCCTTCTTTCTTTTTCTTTCTTTCCTTCCTTTCTTTTTCTTTCTTTCTTTCATTCATTCATTCATTCTTTCTTTCTTTCTTTCTTTCCTTCTTTCCTTCCTTTCTCTTCCTTTCCTTAGTTCCTTTCTTTTTCTTTCTTTCTTTCTTTTTTCTTTCTTTCTTCCTTCCTTTCTCTTTCTTTCCTTTTTCTTTCTTTCTTCCTTCCTTTTTCTTTCTTTCTTTCCTTCCTTCCTTCCCTCCTTTCTTTTTCTTTCTTTTTTCCTTCTTTCCTTCCTTTTTCTTTCTTCCTTCCTTCCTTTCTTATTAATTTATTCAATTTATCTCTCATCCATCTCGCTCTCCCGGCAGCCCCTCCTCCTCCTCCTCACGAACCCCCCTCGACGGCCAGGGATACTTGAGGAGGCCACCCAATTGAGGGGGGGCTTCTCCGAGCCGGGGTGGGAGGTGCAGGTCGAGGGGAGGGATCCCCAAAAGGCCCAGGAGCGAAGGCGGGCAAAGCAGAGTCCCGGAGGAAGGGGCACGTCGGGGAGGGGGGGGCGCTGCTCGCCTGGCATGGGTGGGGGGGGCCGCCAAAGGGTTTTTTCGGGCCGCCGCCCAAAGGCAAACAAGCCCCGCCCGGGAGGCAGCGCGGCGGACACTCGCTCACTGTTCCCGACGCACAAAGGCCGCCCTGTCTGGGCAGACGCCGCGCCGCCGCGGGGAGGGCAGCGGGGAAGGCGAGGCGGCCGCTCCGGAGCCGCTGCCGCCCCCTCCCCTCCCTTCCCTTCCCCGGCAGCTTCGGGAGACCCCCCCCCACCCGCGCCCCCCACCCGGAGAATCGCTGCCTGGTCGGAGCTGGGGGGCGCTCGACCCTCCCCCTCCCCTTCTAAACCTATAGGAAAACATATAAAAAAAGGTTGCTGGAATTGGGTCGGTCTCGTTTAAGGAAGAGAAGGACGAGGGGGGACAGGATAGCAGTCTTCCAGTCTCTCAGGGGCTGCCCCAAAGAAAAGGCAGTCAAGCTCTTCTCCAAAGCACCAGAAAGGAAGGAGAAGCAACGGATGGAAACTGATCAAGGAAAAAAGCAACCTAGAACTAAGGAGAAACTTCCTGACAGTGACAACAATTAACCAGTGGAACTGCCTGCCTCCAGAAGCAGTAAATTCTCCAATACTAGAAGTTTTTAAGAAGAGACTGGACAGCTGTTGAAATGGTGTAGGGTGTCCTGCCTGAGCAGGGGGGTCGGACTAGAGGACCTCCGAGGTCCCTCCCAACTATTATTATTATTATTATTATTATTATTATTATTATTATTATTATTATTATTATTATTATTATTATTATTATGGATCATCGCACAGTCAGCCAGATGTTCAGACTGGATTTGGCATATTGTTTATTTTTAATATATTATTATTATTATTATTATTATTATTATTATTAACTATCCTCTGCCTGCCCGTCGAGGGAGCGCGCCCGCGGGGCTGGGGAGGGGGGGGTCGAGCAAACGACCCGCGGGAGGCAGCTCACCACGTGGCGGCGCCCCGTCGGACCCGCGCCCGCCACCTGCCGGTGCTTGAGGCTCAGAGACTGGACCTGGCGGCGGTGGCACCTCGGCGGGCAGTGGACACCGAAGAGGCTGCCCCTTCCTCCTCCTCGCCCCCCCCCGCGGGACCGAGACAGGTCCCGTCCGGGCTTCTCCGCGCAAATTACCCCCCTGCCCCCCCTGCAGCGCCCACCTCCCGTCAGGTTCCCGGCCCGAGAGGACTGGGTGGGGGGACCCCCGACCCTCCCCCCGGGCAGCTCCCGACGACCCCCGGCCGCCCCCAGGCGGGCGACCCCCGGGCGCCTCGTCCGGGCTTACCTGCTTGAGCGGCCAGGCAGGCGGGGAGCAGGAGCAGCAGGAGCAGCCGTCGGGCGAGCTCCATAGCCCCGGAGCCTACGGAACGGGCGACCGGGACCGTCTTGCCGTCGGGCCTGGGGCAGCGGCGCCGTCCGGGCAGGAGCGCAAGGAGCGGCGGCGGCGGCGGTGCGTCTCCGGCGGTGCCCCAGACAGCCTGGCTCGCCGTCCGGTCCTCCTGCCTCTCGTCCGGCCTGGACGGCCCCCGCCCCGCCCTGGCCTGACCGCCCCCTCGCCGCCCCCGCCCCGCCGGCCTCCCTCCGTCCCTGTCCGCCTCTCCTTTCCCTTTGCGCGGCGCTGCACCGGTTGGATGTCCGCCCAGGAGCCCGCTAGATCTCCTCTAGGGGGCCCTCGACGCGGCGAAGACCCCCCCCCTCCTTTCCTCTCTCTCGCCCGCCGTCCTGCCCCCCCCAAAAGCTGAAAAGCTCTTTCTTCTTTGCTGTTCTGTTCCCTTTCTTGACCCCCCCCCTTGTGGGAAGGGAGCTGCTTGGCACCTACTGAAGCCCCCCCCCGCACATACCACGGAGACCCCCCCCAAAGGAACCAGTGGATGAGCCCAGGTTGCAGGGATAGGAAGGAGCAGAGACCCCCGTTTCAGGGTGAGGTGGTCGTCCAGCCTCACCCCCCCTCCTCCCTCTTATTTCTGACTTCCTTGAGTGACACCCCATCTTTTCCGCCCTGGGGGGGGGTGCCCAAGAATGGAAGGGATAAAAACAGGCTCCAAACTCTCAGCATTTAAAAGCCCACCAAAGAGACGCCTCTTCACTGTGGGGGGAGGGGGCTGGGAGCAGAGACCCTCCTCCAGGCTGCGCCTAGCTCAAGGAAGTGAGCCCAGCCACAGCAGCTCCAGAGGTGAACACAAAGAGCCCCCCCTCAACCTGGGGGGGCATCTCCCAGGATCCGTAGAAGGCTTTCCTCCCCCACCAGCCAGCAGCATCCTGAGTTTGCTAGTCTGAGGGGCCACAGGGCAGGGAATTAGGAATATTGTAGTCCGAGCCAGCTAAAGTCCCTGGGGTCTGGCAGGAAGATACACACGCGCACACACACACACAGACACACACCGCAAAGAAAAGGGGGGGGTTCCCATTTGCCCAGATCAAATGGTCTCACAAGAAGCAACTGATGGAAACTCATCCAGGAGAGAAGCAACCTGGAACTAAGGAGATACTTCCTGACAGTGAGAACAATTAACCAGTGGAACCACCTGCCTCCAGAAGCGGTGAATGCTCCAACATTGGAAGTTTTTAAGAAGAGACTGGGCAGCCATTTGTCTGAAATGGTGTAGGGCAGTGGTTCTCAACCTGTGGGTCGGGACCCCATTTGGGGTCGAACGACCATTTCATGGGGGTCGCCAAACAAGGCTGTCCGCCATTTTTTTCCCCTTTTCTTTGGCCACACCCCTGGCACCTAGTGATGTATAAGTGGTTGGGGATCACCACAACATGGGGAACTGTATTCTGGGGTCGCGGCATTAGAAAGGTTGAGAACCACTGGTGTAGGGTTTCCTGCCTGATCAGGGGGTTGGACTGGATGACCTCTGAGGTCCCTTCCAACTTTATTATTATTACAAGATTGAACATGTAGATTTTAAACCTTTTTTTATTAGGTATAATGCCAGAAAAGACTAACAAACAAAGCTTACGTTTGATTTTGCGTGTCACAACAACAGCGGCAAGAATTATATTTGCGCAATACTGGAAAAATAAAGGAATACCATCAGATGAAGAGATAATCAGAAAAAATACTAGAGTGCGCAGAGAAAGGAAAACAAGAAATGGAATATTATCAAACTTGGGACTTACTTCATCGACAGCTAGAAGAAAGAATAAAGGATTGGGAATGAAATAGATATTAGCGAATGTAAACTCAGACAGCACGTTGGTTGAAAAATTATTACTGAATGTATGGGGGGGGGAAACTAGTAAAAACTTTTACAAAGAAAATAAAGAAGCAACGGGTGGAAACTCATCAAGGAGAGAAGCAACCTAGAACTAAGGAGAAACTTCCTGACAGTTAGAACAATTAACCAGTGGAACAGCCTGCCTCCAGAAGCAGTAAATGCTCCAACACTGGAAGTTTTTAAGAAGAGACTGGACAGCCATTTGTCTGAAATGATGTAGGGTTTCCTGCCTGAGCAGGGGGTTGGACTAGATGACCTCCAAGGTGCCTTCCAACTTTATTATTATTGTTGTTGTGTTGTTGTTGTTGTATTGCCTCTGATGTCCCTTCTAACTGTGTTATTCTGTTATCGTTACAGAAAGGGAATCCCACAGAAAGAGTAGAGGGAAGAGAGGCATGGTGTGTGTGTGTGTGTGTGTGTGTGTGTGTGTGTGTGTGGTGGGGGGCAGGGCTGAGATTTTCCAGGTAGGCAAGATCAAAAGGCAGCCTCCTGGCTTGGGAGGGAGGGGTGAACCTCACATTGGCAAGGGAGGCTCCCATTGGGGGACCCCCCAGCCAGTTTGGGGGGGACCCACAAGCATGAGTACTTACACAGATGCAAGGGTCCGGAGCTCGCTCCCCCCCCTTTAAACCCCATAGAGCTTTGTCTAGCTCAGGGGTCTTCAAGGTTGGCCCTTTGACGACTTGTGGACTTCAACTCCCAGAATCGCGTGCCTTGGCTAAGGAATTCTGGGAATGAAGTCCACAAGTTGTCAAAAGGCCAAGCTAGAAGACACCCTGGTCTATCTGGTTTCCCAGGCTGGGGCTGGGAGGTTCCTGTACCACAGGCAGAATGCAATCCAGTAGTCAGCTTGAAAACTCTTCACACGTGTGGATCCGCTTCCTTGCGCCTCACTCTGCCCCAGAGATCCTGGCTTGGCTGCCCCTGGCATTGGGGTCTGGCCGTTTCAAAGGAACACCCCTCCCCCACGGGCCACGGAGAGCTTCCGAACGGCCAACGCAATTCCAGGACACAAATTGGGGGGGGGGACTATCCCGTTTGGAGTCCTGAGCAGGGGGTTGGACTAGATGACCTCCTATGTCCCTTCCAACTTTTTATTATTGTTGTTGTTTTGTTGTTGTTTCTGTTGCTGTTATTGATGATGATGATGAAAGGGGATTGGAGGGACCCCTCAGCTGAGAGCGAAATAGCCTGACGGCCCTGTCCACCCTGGCATGGGGGTCCCCCCATTATTTATTTATTTATGAGACTTATATACCGCTTTAAGTGCAAGCACTCTCTAAGCGGTGTACATCAGTAAGCAATGTATATATATATATATATATATATATATATATACATTGCCCCCAACAATCTGGGTCCTCATTTTACCTACCCCGGAAGGATGGAAGGCTGAGTCAACCTTGAGCCGGTGAGATTTGAACCGCTGACCTGCTGAACACAGTCAGCTAAAGTGGCCTGCAGTACTGCACCCTAACTGCTGCGCCACCTCGGCTCCTAGCCCCCCACCGATGACCCTTGGGCATGGGAGGGGTCCCCCCTCCCTTCTTCCTCCAGATCCCCCTCCATGGCCCGGCTGCCCCCCAAGCAGGAATGGGCCTTGACCCCAGCAGTTTTCGGTCCCTTTTAAACCCGCCCTCTTTCTAGCCGTGAGTTCCACAGGCCGCAGCTGGGCCAGCTTGCTCAGAGGGCTTGTGCTTGTGCCTGTGTGTGTGTTTGCAGAGATGCCTTTGGGGCTGTCCCACAAGAGGGTCTCCCCATCACCAGCAGGGCCCCATTTTCAGCTGGGACTCTCCGTCCATTCGCCCCCCCCCCCAGCACGACAGCCGCCTGTTCAGCCAGGCAGCGGCTTCCCACAGCTGGGCCCCTCGGCCCTGCGTGACCACAGCTGTTCTGCCTGAAAAGTCCTCTCTGGCCACAGCTGGACAGAGGTGCCTTGGCCTGTCCTGGACAGGGCCTCCCTCCCCCCCCCTCTCCCCCTGCAGCTGAGCCCGGAGCCTAGAAGAGACACTGTAATTAGGAGGCCAAAATTAGCTGGGCTGCCTTCCTGTCCTTTGCCCTGGGGGGGGGCCGGGTGGCAGGGTGGGTGCTGGGCAGAAGATCATCCAAGCTCAGAGGGAGCTCAGTTTGGGGGGGGGAGGAGCAAGGAGCCTGGGCAAGCCAGCATGAGGCTTCTCGCACGAGACAATTTTGCACAAACACACTATTTGGAAAACTAAGGTTTGCCTGCCTCAGGAGGGGAAAGATCCTACGTGGGGGGGGAGGTGTTTGTGCAGGTGTGACAGCAAGAAACAAGCTAGCATAGGGGTCCCCACATTTGTCCCCCTTTAAGACTTGTGGACTTCAACTCCCAGAATTCCCCAGCCAGCAAAGCTGGCTGGGGAATTCTGGGAGTTGAAGTCCACAAGTCTTAAAGGGGGCAGGTTTATGGACCCCTGGGATCACAGGTGCACAACGGCCACCACTTCCATCACAGGCAGGGGATGTTACACACACATAGACACACACACACACACCTGTAAACCTCCACTGCATTTCCCAGCTAGATCCTGACCCAGCCGGAGGAGACAAAGGCTGGCGTCACGTAACGTAGCTGCTTAAACCATGGTTTCCTGCACAAACCATCTCCTCTCTGGATCCCGAGGAGACATCAAGCCACAAAAGTGGGCTGCCCGGCTGAGGGTGATGTGGGGCTGGCGGGGAGGGGCAGCCCTTCCCTCCCGACGCAGGCAATTCTCCCTCCACTTTGCAACGTGGAGCTTCCCCCCCCCCTCACCTGTGCAGGTTCCCCACCTGGGGGGGTCTCTGGACCCTTCCGGAGTCTTCCAGAAGAAAAGCCATGGGGGGGGTGAGTGGCTGCAGACTCAGCCCGAGGCCCCACCGTCTTCACCCCTGCCGTCGAGCTAAGCCCGGATTCTCCAAACTTTGCCCCTTTTCAAACTTGTGGACTTCAACTCCCAGAATGCCCTGGCCAGCCCAGCCTGCAGGAATTCTGGGAGTTGAAGTCCACCAGTCTCCAAAGTGGGCAGGTTTTGGAGGCCCTTGAGCTAAGGCAAAGGTGCTTCATGATTTTGCATGTTGTGTATCGTATGTTTAGGTATGGGTCATGTACGTGTTTCACTTTGAGAGCGGGCAACTAAATTTCATTGTTGGTGTGTGCCGTTGTGCCCACAGTAAAATAATAATAATAATAATAATAATAATAATAATAATAATAATAATAATAATAAGAAGAAGAAGAAGAAGAAGTAGTAGTAGTAGTAGTAGTAGTAGTAGTAGTAGTAGTAGTAGTAGTAGTTGGTAGGGACCTTGGAGGTCTAGTCCAACACCCCCCTTTATGACAACAAAGCTTATCTTATCTTATCTTCATAATTTTTCCAGCTGCTCCTGTCCCCAGCGAAGTTTGCTGCATTCACACAACATTTTTTAAGCCCCGTGGAAAGCAAAGGCAAAAGGGGGCGGGGGGGGCGAGCAGCATAAGGGACCCCCAGGAAATGATCCCGAATTCTTGTTCTTTTAAAGGGAACCAAGGCAGGATATAGATGTGAGTCACAGATGTGACCCAGCAGTAGAAAAGGCCGATGCCGTTGCTGCTTCAGCAATCCACAGCAGCCAGTCCCCCCCCCATTTCTGAGCCCCCCCTCCCAGCCTGAGCAAAGGGAGCCCCCCCCCCAAGCTGTCTGGGCCTCGACTCACCTGTTGTGCAACCTGGCCCAGACCAGCCCTAGCCAGACACACCCACACCCACACACCCTGCACCTTCCCAGCTAGGCCGTTCCAGCTCCCGGAGAGAGACCCGTGGAGCACACTGGGGGTTGTGGGAAAGGAGTTACGGAGATGAGAGTCAGGCCTATTCACACAAATGAGTGCAGAGGCTTCATCCAGGCGAGACCCGGGCCAGTCCAGATGAGGGGCAGGAGGCCAGCAAAAGGCAGGTGGGGGGCGCAGAGAGGGCAGCCCTGGCTCTGGGGACCGGACTTGGGGTGGGTGGGGTCCTGCGGCCGTCCCACTCCACCCTGTCTAATTGTAGCCTTCATCCTGGGATCCATCGGGAGCGCCCTGCCCACCCCTCCCCTCTGGGGCTCGGGCTGCAGCAGAGGGGAAGAGCTGCAGCTGTTTTGGGGGGGGGGCTTCTTTCTCACCAAGTGGGGGAGGGATGGGAGGACATGCCCCCCCCCAGGAAAGACTTGTTCCTTTGCCCCTTCTTGGGAACAGAGGCGTGGTGAGAGCCCCCCCTTAATCATCTCTTTGCTAAAACCCCACAGCCCCCCTCTGCCAGCTCACGGGAGGGGGGTGTAAAGGGGAGGGTCCCATCCTGGCTCCACACATGCCACCTGCCACGGGGGGGGGGAAGCTCAGAAAATGGGCCCCAGAGACGACTCCCCCCCCGGCCGGCAAGGCCAGGAGCCCAGGGATGGTGAAACCGTCTGGGGCACCGCGGGAGGGGGCTGAGGTCGGGCGGCAAGCCCCACGGGAGACGTGGGGGGATCAGTCTCCGGGACACGGGGTCGCTCCGAGGCGTACAGTCGTGCCTTCCGCTTCAGCAACGGCGCCTCTGAGCGCGAGCAGAGCGCCTTCGCTTCCCCCAACCCCACCCCGAAAAGCGCACCCGGTTCCCCGGCGCGCGTGGGGAGAGGGCGCTCTGCGCACCCCAGCAGGGATCCCCGGGAGCGATCCAGAGGCGGTGGGGGGGGGAGAGGGAAGACCCTGGGGGAGGCTGGGCAAGGTGGGGAGGGGGGAATGGCCAGACCCCTCCCTTCCTCGGCTCCTCCCTCCGCTGGAGCGCTGGGTGGGATCCCGGCCGGACGGCGAGGAATGCGCGGCCGGCTATTCTGGGCTGCGGGCGTGGCGGGGCCGGCCGCAGAGCTGCGACCCGCCCTGCCGGCAACGGACGGGCGGAGAAGCAGCAGCCGCAGCCGGTCCCCGCGCTCTGCACGCGCTCAGGAGGCCCTCAGCTCAGCCCAGGGCGGGGAGCCCCCTTCCTCCTCCTCTGCAAGCTCTCGCACTCTGCACGCGCTCAGGAGGCCCTCAGCTCAGCCCAAGGCAGGGGGACCCCTTCCTCCCCGCGTCCCTCCCGCTCTGCAAGCTCTCGCATTCTGCACGCGTTTTGGAAGCCCTTAGCTCAGCCCAGAGCAGGGAGCCCCCTTCCTCCTCTGCAAGCTCTCGCACTCTGTACGCGCTCAGGAGGCCCGCAGCTCGGCCCAGGGTAGGGAGCCCCGTTCCTCCTCCTCCTCTGCAAGCTCTCGCACTCTGCACGCGCTCAGGAAGCCCTTAGCTCAGCCCTGGGCAGGGAGGCCCCTTCCTCCTCCTCCTCTGCAAGCTCTCGCACTCTGCACGCGCTCAGGAGGCCCGCAGCTCGGCCCAGGACAAGGATCCCCCTTCCTCCTTCTCTTGGCGGGCCGGCTGAGTCACCGCCGGCGCAGGGAGGTTTCCCACCGGATCGAGGGGGGGGGGAGGTGAGAACGGACAAGGCCCTTCTGTGCGTCTCCAGGCGGCAGAGACGACCGCAGCCCCGCCGGCTTGGGGGTCAGCCCAGGCCACGGGCGGGGGGGGAGACCGGCCCGCCCTTCCCAGCCGACGGTATGCGGGGACTTTCCTGAAAAGGGGGGGCGGAGGCTCTTTTGCAAAAGACACCCCGCCTGTCTTGTGCCGGGCTGAAAGAGCGCACCGAAATCCTGAGCCCCCCCCAACGAGGACCCCCCCCCCAGAACTGGCTGGTGGGATGCGGAGGGCTGGAGGAGACACCCACCCCAATCCAAGCAATGGGAGACCAGGAGGCCAAGGGGCGGTCTGCCAAGTAGTAGTCCAGCTTGTTGAAGGGGGCAGAGGGGGGCAGAGGGGACCCTCCCCTCCGCTGGCGAGAGGGTGCGGCTGCTGCCCCCAGCAGGCAAGGAAAGAACTGCAGCCTCCTTTCCCCCCCCAGGGCAAAGAACTGGGGTCTTCCAACTTGGCCCTTGGATGACTTGTGGACTTCAACTCCCAGAATTCCTCAGCCAGGCCCCTGCCCTTTGACCGGGAACCCCTTTGCGACTTTAAGATGCCAGGACTTCAATTCCCAGAAGCCCTCAGCCAGGCAGTCTTCCAACTTGGCCCTTGGATGACTTGTGGACTTCAACTCCCAGAATTCCTCAGCCAGGCACGCCTTAGGCGTGCCTGGCTGAGGCATTCTGGGAGTTGAAGTCCACAAGTCATCCAAGGGCCAAGTTGGAAGACCCCCTGGCAAAGAATGAGCCGGTGCAGTGTTGTGTGTGGGATGGGGGGGGGACGGTCCTTTGCACCCAGCGAGAAACCAGACTGCCAGCTTAAACCACAATCCATGGTTTATTTGCGTGGTACGTAATGCAAACACAACAGCTGTGTTTTTTTATCAACCCGGCTGAGCAGAAGCCACAGAGAAACCTAACTAGGATTTCAAAACTATGGAAACGTAGTAGTCCATCGGGCAGAGGCCCCGGCTTCGCAGGCCGTGGAAAGGCCGCCCTCGCGCGTGGGCCGGGGGGGGGATACACGTCGCCCACTCCCGACCGGATATGGCCACCCTCAGAGAGGGGGGGGGCTGATGCTCAGGGAGGCATGGCGACATCACCCAAATCCCCCCCCCAAACAGGCGGAGGGTCCATCTCTTCCATAAGGAAGCCTCTGACAACATCCCGGCCTGGCACTCTGCACATGCTCAAAAGTTCTGCATTCCTGATTCAGGGTAAGGGAGGGGGGGGGCAAAGAGACTGCCCCAGACACCCAATTAAAATGGGGGAAGAGAAACAGAAAGCAGGAGGGGGGGACAGCTGAAGGGGGGGGTTGATTAAAACAACGTATTCCCCAAAAGGGATTATTTGGGGAAGGTCACATAAATGGGAAGGGGGGGGGACAGAGGAAACAGCAAGACGCGTATGGGCCGGGGGTGGGGGGAGACTGGGGGAGCCCCCCCATCAGGCCTTACATAGTCAGTGGTTAGAGCCGCAAGGGAAGGGCATTGGCAAAGGGGGGGGCAGGGAGGGGCTTCCAATCCAGCTGCAGGGAGGGCAGCCCCCTATCCACTTGGTGGGGGTGGGGGGAGCCCAGCCCCTGGGGCACCCCAAGGATGGGGGGGCAGTGAGGCTCCTCTGCACCTGGAGGGGGGGGCGAGTGGGTAGTCTGGCCTGAGGGCGTGGCCTGTGGCCCCCCCAGGCCGCGCCCCTTGCATAGATGAGGGCCGATACAGTCAAAAGTGCTAAGCCAGAAGAGGGTGGGGGGGCAGAGGAGCCCCCCCAAGAAACAGGAACCAATGGAGAACCGTGAACCCACTGCCAAAAAGCCGGCTTGGGGTGGGGTGGGGGGCAAGGCAGCAGGAAAGGGGCGCTTCCTGAGCTGCAATGGGGGGAGGGGTCCTTGCTCTCTCCCCCCCCCAGAGGAGCCCTGGCACGTCCCTCCCCCAACCCAGGGGCTTCTCAGGCAAACCGATTGGGGGGAGAAGTGTTACGGGGAGCCCCTTCCCCAACTGAGGACCCCCTAATTTAGGCCAGACATGTCAAACTCGCGACGTCGCGCGACACCGTTCGACGTATCGGCAGAGTTCTGCCATTCCCGGCGATGGGGCGGGCCCAGCAGTTTGACCCCCCCTGGTTTAGGCGAAGCCCGGGAGGGGGCTAGGCCCCCCCCACCCCACTGTGGCTGGGGAGTACAGCCCCCTGCCTCAACGCAGAGCACCCGGGCGGGGTGGGCCTCCCCCCGGCCTTCTTGGCAGCAGTCCTCCGGTCCTGGGAGGGGACGGTGGTGGCAGTTGGGGGGCCTGTCAGGACATCTGGTGGGGGGCTTCCAGCATCTCCATCAGGAAGGTGTCGATGGGGGTGTCCCCGATCAGCTTGAAGAAGAAGAGGTGCTCCAGGCACTTCAGGCCGATCGACCGCAGGGCGGGCAGGCGCAGCAGCAGCTTGGCAAACCTGGGGTGGGGGGGGAGCAAGGGGGGGGGAGTCAGGCCATCAGGCAGGTCAGGGTCTTCCCCCCCCCCAAAGATGGCTTTGAAGGGCCCAAAGGCTGAATGGGGGAGGTGACCCTCTGCCAGACAGGAATGCAACAGGAAGGATATTATTATTAACAAATGGCTGTCCATTTCCCCCTCCCCCCCGAGAGAGCCTAGGAAGAGGTGGGGGTACAGCCTCTCCCCTCCCCCCCCAAATCCCAAAGGGGACCGGCACCCCCCTTCCCCCCGTGGCCGTTACCTCCCCTGCTGATCCGGATACTTCTGCTTGCAGTAGGACTCTAGCGAGGCGTAGACTTTCTCCCGCAGCAGCTCCACCTCCCCGGGGTTGGAGAGCCCCTTGGCATCTGGGGAGAAAAGGGCAGAAGAAAGTAAGATGGAGGGGGCTTGTGCCCAGGAGGGGGGAGGCAACACTCCTGGGGGGGGGTGGGAAGATAAAGGAAAGCCCACCTGGGTTGAAGAGGATGATGGCGCGGAGGCAGCCCAGCTCCGTCTTGTCCATCCGCATGTCTCGCATTTTGGACACCAGCTCGGTCAGCACCCTGGCGGGGCAGAAGAACCAAGCTTGGCGGGGGCACCTCAGGTGGGAGGGGGAGCCAGGGGGGATCACTGGTTGGCCGGCCCCCGGTCTTTTCCCCTTCTGCAAAAATGGGGTCTCTCCGGCCCGGATGGGCAGCACCCCAAACTGCCCTCCCCTGCCCCCACCTGTCGAAGATGGCCCCCACGCCGGCGCTGTGGGCGCTGTTGCGGTGGACGTGCAGCCCCGTGGCCAGCAGAATCCCGTCCTTCACCGAAATGGACCGGTGGGAGAAAGAGGCGATCAGCAGCTCATTCCAGCCTACCAAAGAGGAAGAGAGAGAAAGAGAGAAGCTGCCATGAATGGGGGACGGTCCGGGAGTCAATATCTGGAAGGCTGATGCCCAAGCCGGCCGCCACACTCACCGGCCCGGAGCAGGATGACCTGGTCGTCGAGGGGCAGCTCCGAGAAGTGGGGGATGCGCTTGGCCCACTCCACCAGCGTGAAGAGCTGCTTGTCTGCAGCCTGGCAGATGTTGGTCACTGGGTCGTTGGGCTGCAGGAGAGGGAGGGAGGGCGGGAGGGGGGGCGACAGGCAGACGGAGGGTGGGTGGGACGGGGCATGCTTGCGCCAGCACCGTCTGCCCCCAAGCAGGACGGAGCCACTCCCCAGCAGCCTCCTCATCCTCTTCCCCCCGCCTGGATCCCTCCTCCGCCCTGCCCGTCCCCCTTACCTCGTCTGTGTCGATGGGGTGGAGGGACCGCTCTGATCCCGCTGCTCCCCTTCCCCAACTCACCGAGCTGCCCCCCATGCCGGCTCCGTCGACGCCTTGGTCCGACTTCTGTTCCACGGCCAGCTCGGCCTCCAGGATCTTCTCCACGGGCATGTCCTCGTTGGCCCCCGAGCCGGCCAGCTCGCAGTCCCCGTCCTTCTCCTTGCCCCGCTGGCGCTCCTCCTGCACGGCTGCCAGCGCACAAGGCAGGGAGGGGGTTGGTCCATCGTCCCCCCCCCCACCGGAGCAAAGCCAGGGAGGGCTGCCCCCCCTTGTACCCGGCCCTGCCCTGGGAGGGTCCCCGGGTCCTCCCCTGCCCCTACCTTCGCGTTTCATGCCCGTGGCCAGGCATTTCTGGTAGCGGCAGTACTGGCAGCGATTCCGCTGGCGCTTGTCCACGATGCAGTCCTTGTTGTCGCGGCACGTGTAGGTCAGGTCCTTCCGGATGGTGCGCTTGAAGAAGCCCTTGCAGCCCTCACAGCTGTAGACCCCGTAGTGCTTCCCTGGGGGGAGGGGGGCACAGGGAGGCTCACCCCGGGGACGGTGCTCCCCCCTCCCAGCCGATCCGAAGACAGCCCCCCTCCCCAAAAGATCTTTTCCCCACCCCCACCCCCATGAGAGGGCAGCTCCGCCCTGCCTACCCGAGGACCGGTCCCCGCAGATGGCGCACAGCCGCTTCCCGGGCATCAGCCCGCTGTGGGGGTGTCCCGGCAGGACCCTCATGCCCACGGGGGGCTTCACGTCTTCCGAGCTGCTGACCGAGTGGAGGCCGGACAGGTTCACCGTGGAGTTGATCTGGGGGGGGAGGGCGGAGGAGGAAGGGCTATCAGAGGCAGGGCCACTGGGAGTCTTTCCACCCCCACCCACCGCACTCCCTTCCGCCTGCTTACTTGGGGGCTGCTGACGGGCCCGTAGCCGATGGAGGGGGTGGCCGGCAGTCCCGGGGAGCCCATGGAGGAGCTGATGACCGGGAAGGGAGAGCCCAGCCCGCCGATGGAGCTGGTCATGGCCGAGCCGATCATGGAGGGGGGCAGAGGGGGGGCAGCCTCAGGCGGCGGGGAGGACCCCGGGCCCCGCAGGGGGGGAGAGCTGCTGAGCGAAGAGCTGTCGGGACTCCTGCAGTCTTCGGAGGGTGGGGAGGAGGAGAGAGAAAAGGGGGGGCGGCAGCGTTAATGCAGCGGTCCGAGCCCCCACCCTCCTCCCCAGATGCCGGCTGGCAGAGTCTCGCCCTGAAGACTTCCTCCTCAGCCCCCACTCAGGCTCCCACAGCTTCCTCCCTCTCCGGATATTTTGCAAGGGGGCCGGCGGTCGCGTGACCGGATGGTGCTCGGCCGCTGCTGCTTCCTGGGAAGGCAGAGGGGGGGGTCCTTGGGGCCTCAGAGCTGAAGCCTTGCCTGGCCCCTTTTGAGGACCCCCCACTTCCCCTGGGGAGGGCTGGGGTGGTCCTTCCTCTCCACTCTTCTCCAGGCTCCCTGGACGGGAAGGACGGAGGCTCTAGGCGCCCCCTCCAAAGCCCGGTGGGCACAAGGGGCGAATTCTGCCTCTGGCCATCTCCCTCCCCAGATAATTGGGGGGGGTGTCCGTCGGCACTCAGAGCCCTTCCCTTCCTTTTGGGGCGGTGGGACCTGGACCCTGCGCAGAAAGAGCCGGGAACAGGCCCGCCCCCAAAGTCCGGCACGAGAAAGCAGACAAGAGGGACCGGGGACCGGTCAAAGGCGGCTTGCTCTGTCCAAAGCAGTCGCGGCCCCCTCCGAGGGGACAGGGCAGGTCAGGGAAAGGGGGGGCCAAAGGGGTTCGGGGGGTCATCTTTTAAAAATAAACTCTGCCTCATCTCGCACTGCATTTGAGGAAGAGGAAGGAGCTTCTCTTCCATTGGTCAGAAGTTGGCACCGCCTGCCAGGTGAGCTCAGCAGCAAACACACACACACACACACACAGGCGTTCCTTCCGCCCAGCAAGCCAAGAGTTTATGTTGGGTCAGAGGGAGGGAGGGAGGGAAGGGGGAGATGAGGCTGGTGGGGCACGGAGAAAGAACGGCAAAAGGGGGGGAGAAGGGAGCTGATGGCCGGGCTCTTTCCTGGAGCCTGGCCTGTCTTCCTGCTCACGGCCGGCCACGAGGCCTGAATAATTATGGAATGGAAGAGAAGAGAATAATGGAATGGAATGGAATAAAAAATATGGGATGGAATACAATAGAATGGAATACAATATTAATAGAATACAAAATGTGGAATGGAATGGAATAAGAATAGAGTAGAGTAGAGTAGAGTAGAGTAGAGTAGAGTAGAATTACAGAATAGAATATAGAATAGAGTAGAATTACAGAATAGAATAGAATAGAATAGAATTACAGAATAGAATACAATAAATTACAGAATAGAACAGAAAATATGGAATGGAATGGAATAGAATAGAAAGAAATAGAATAGAAAATATGCAATGCAATGCAATGCAATGGAAAGAAATATAATATAAAATATGGAATGGAGTAGAATGGAATAGAATAGACTAATAAAATACAGTATAAGATAGAACAGAACAGAACAGAATAGAATAATGAATGGAATGGAATAGGAAATACGGAATGGAATGGAATGGAATGGAAAATAGAATAGAGTTATAGAATAGAATAATAAAATACAGAATGGGATAGAACAGAATAGAATAGTAAATGGAATGGAATAGAATGGAATAGAGTAGAATAAAGAAAATATGGAATGCAATGGAAAGGAAAATAGAATAGAACTATAAAATAGAATAGAATTGTAGAATAATACAGAATTATAGAATAGAATAAGGAATAGAATGGAGTAGAATAAGAGTAGAATAAGAGTAGAATAAGAGTAGAGTAGAATAGAATAGAAATAACAGTTGGAAGAGACCTTGGAGGTCTTCTAGTCCACCCCCCCCCCCCCGCTCATGCTGGAATCCCCTGCCCAAAGGTCTCTGGAAATTATCTGTCCTCCAAGTCGGGGCTGTCCCCAAAGGTGCTTCTCACACACACACACACACACGCACCCCGCAAAAAAGCAACTGAACTTTCTTGGTTTTATTTCTTTGAAAACGTTTCACTATTCATAGAAAAAAGCTCTTTTTTTTGGTTCACTGAACTGGGGAAGCTTTTTGGACGAGAAGCAAAACGTTTTCAAAGGAGAGAAGAAGAAAAAAACCAGAAAGGGGGGGGGAACGGAAGAAGGGGGGAGGAAAGGAAGCCAATTTTGGACGCAGGACGGAGCCCTTCACCTCCACCGACTCGCCCCCCCCCCCAGGAGGAGAAAATGGGTGCCGGAGCCCGTCCCTGAGAGACTCCCCTGCTTTAAGCCCCGCCCCACCGCTCCCTCCCCCCATGAAAGAGGCCCCAGGGCAGGGGTAGGCCACCTCGGCTCTTTTAGGACTCGTGGACTTCAACTCCCAGAATTCCTGAGCCAGCTGTGCTGGCTCAGGAATTCTGGGAGTTGAAGTCCACGAGTCCTAAAAGAGCCGAGGTGGCCTACCCCTGCCCTGGGGGGGAAGGGGGCAGGGGAGGTCAGAGGTCACTTGCAGGTTCGCCTCTGGCTGGGGGGAAAAGAGGGCACTGCAGGGAACTAAGTCAGGAGAGAGACCCCCATTCCCCCCCCCCAAAAAAAAGATCTCCAGGGGGGCTGAAAGACCCTCCGGGGAACCCTTGGAGCAGCCGCGTCCTCCCTCCTCGGCTCCCCCCCCCACCCTGCGGGGAAGGGCCAGGCAGGGACCGGGGTCAAGGAGGCCGGGAGGGCCGTGCTGGCGAGTCAGCGGGGGAGGTGAGTGGGGGGCTTGCTAGGACCTTCCCCGGTCCGAGGCGTCGGAAGGGCCGGTGGGAGCGCCCGAAAGGAAGGTCAGGAGAAGGCAGGTCAGCAGCGCAGCCGCCGCCGCTGCCACCGCCGCCGAAAGCCAGACGGGGCGAGCCCGGGCGGAGGCTGGAGCGGCGGCTGGGGGGTGGCTGCGAAAACTCTCCCCCTCCCCTAAAGGGGAAAGCCAAAGAAAATGGGGGGGGGTCCGCAGCTCTTGGGCAATGGAGGCGGGCCGGCAGAGGGGATCCGACGGGAGAAGGAAGCAGGGAAGGGAAGGGGAGGAGAGAGGAAGGACGGAAGGAAAGGAAAAAAGGAAGGAAACGGAAGGGAAGGGATGAAGGAAGGAAGAAAAGGAAGGAAGGGAGAAGAGAAGGAAGGAAGAAAAGTAATGAGGGAGGGAAGGAAGGAAGGAAGGAAGGAAGGAAGGAAGGAAGGAAGGAAGGAAGGAAGGAAAAGTTAGGAAGAAAAGGAAGTAGGGAAGGAAGGAATAGAAGGAAGGAGAGAAGGAAGGAAGAAAAGGAATGAGAGAAGGAAGGAAGGAAGGAAGGAAGGAAGGAAAGAAGGAAAAGGAAGGAAGGAAGGAAGGAAGGAAGGAAGGAAAGAAGGAAAGAAGGAAGGAAGGAAGGAAGGAAGGAAGGAAGGAAGGAAGGAAGATAGAAAAATAGGAAGGAAGGAGAGCCTCTTTCGCCTTCTATGCGCCAATCCCGGGGAAGCCGACGAGGCCCGGCTGGCCCTTCCCGGGACCCGGCCGAGGAGGCAGCGGCTTTTCCCCGGGCACGGGCGGGTGGAGACGCCCCAGGACACCCCCTCCCTCCCCCCTCCCCGACTCTCCCCGTCCGCGGCAAGGCGGCCCCGGGGCTGCCCTGGGAGAGCCCGGCCAGGCCCAGGAGGGAGAGGCAGGCAGGGAGGGAGGGTGGCCGCCCGCCAGGCCTCCTCCCCCTCCCCTCCCCTCCCTCTTCCGGGCGGGGCGAGCAGGGACCCCCCTCCCTCCCTCCCTCCAGAAGACCCCGCCGCCCCTCCGATCCCCCGCAGGGAGGCCTCCCCTCCCCCTCCCTCCCCCGGGGGGTACCTGCGCCGCCGCCTCCCCGCCGCGCGTCCCCCATGTCTGCCGGGCGCCCCTCGGACTCCGCTCCCGCCGCCGCCGCCGCCGCCGCCGCCTCCCGCCGCCCCCGCCGACGGGCGCCCCGCCGCCGCCGCCGCCGCGCTACCCACCATGCACCGCGTGCCGCCTCTCGGCGCGGCCTCGGCCTTGGCCAGACTCCCGGCATGCCCCGCGCCCGCGGACGGCGATTGGCCCGGGCGGGGCTCCCGGCGTGCTCCGCGGCGGGCCTGAGTGGGCCTCCTCTGCCGATGGGAAGCTCGGTTCTCTTGCTCTCTCCCGTCGGGCCTGGGAGGAAGGGCGGTCCGTCCCCCGACGGGTCTTCCGGCCCCGCCGCGAACGACGAAGCCGGAACCGGGGAGGCCCCGCCGGGGGGAAAAAGGTTCCCTCGGCCTGGTAGTCCGGGCGGCGGCGGCCATTTTTGTTGAGGGCGGCCGCCTCGTTCAGTCCATCTACGGGACGGCCGAGCCTCGGCGCCATGATTGTGCCGGGCGGCGACGGCGACTCCGCGGCAGCCATGTCGGAGCCGGGCGGGGGAGTTCTCGCGAGAGCTGGCGCGGCGGGCGGGTCGGTGGGCGGGGCCTGGATGCCACGTCTGGTCTGAGACCGGCGAGTCTCTCGCAGCCCGGTGAGCCTCGCAGCGGGGGAGGGGTGGGGGGAGTCCTCCCGCGGGGGCCATAGAGCGCGGGCGCAGAGGGGCCCCTCGGGGGCGCCCGACCATAGAGGAGTCCGGGCAGAGCGGGGGGGACGGGAGGGGCTGCCCGGAGCCGGACTGAGCCGCCCTTTCGCGCCTTCCTTCCCCCCTGCAGGGCGATGGCGATGAGCGGCGGCGGCGGCGGGGGTCTCCGGGGGGCGAGGGCGGCCCTGGCGGTCTGCGCGGCCTTGCTATGCGTCGCCTCCGCCCAGCACGGGCACGCGCACGGGGACCACGGGCACGCGCACGGGCCCGGGGGCCACGGGCACACCCACGAGCACATCTGGCACGGGCCCGGCACGGGAGACCCGGCCCACGAGGAAGGGCACAGCCACGCCCACGAAGGACACGGACACGCCCATGGACACGCCCACGAAGGTCGTCACAGCCACGCCCACGAGGACCACCACCACCCTCACCCCCTGTACAGCCAGGAGGGTCCCGCGGGATCCCCGCCCAGGAGGGAGAAGCTGGAGCCCCTCTGGCTGTGGAGCTACGTGAGTGGGGGGCCGGGGGGGGCTCCGGTCTGGCCACCATCCCCCCCTCGTCCCACTCTGCAATGGGAGTGGGGCGAGCCTGGAGGGGACCCCTGAGGACAAGCAGGAAGTGGGGGCGTCCTGGGGAATGGGGAGCTCTGTGGGCTGCAAGGCCCTGGGGTGGGGTGGGGGGCTTCCCCTCTGCTTGCAGCCCCAGGTTGGTGGGACCCCTGCCCTCCGGGGAGGAGGGCTGCTCTCTGTGGCTGATGTCTGCCCCCTTTCCCCCCCCCTGCAGGCTCTGGGGGCGACCCTCCTGATCAGCGCCGCCCCCTACCTCATCCTCTTCCTGATCCCCGTGGAGTCCAACAGCCCCCAGCACCAGGCCCTGCTCAAGCTGCTGCTCAGCTTCGCCTCGGGGGGCCTGCTGGGGGACGCCTTCCTGCACCTCATCCCCCACGCCCTGGGTGAGTCCCCTAACCCTGCCCCACGGGGCCCTTTCCCCCCCCTCGGGGGCTGCCCAAGCGGCCCCCTCCCCTGGGCCAAGAGGTCTCCCTCCCACACCCTGTGCTTCTCCCCCCCCCTGCAGAGCCACACGGCCCTCACGGAGAAGCTGGCGGCCACGACCATTCCCACGCCAAGCGCTCCGGCCACGGTCATTCCCACCAAGGTAAGGGGAGATGCGAATCCTGGGGACCGACGGGGGGAGCTCCAGCCCCCTTTCCTAAAGTGGGCAGCCTGGACGCCTTCCTCCCAGGCAGCCTAACTGGGGGACGAACGGAGCCGAGCTTTTTGGGGGGGGGGAAGCGGTCCTTAAAGAGAAGCTCCCCCTCCTCCTCCTCCCTTCTGCAAAGCAGGCGCACGGCGTGACCCAGCTGTTCTTCCTGGAGGGCTGGGCTGGCGTACGGCTCCTGGGTCATGTCTGCCAGCCCCCTGGGAGGGGGGGGGTCCCTTCCCAGCCAGGCTCCCCTGTGCCACCTCTGCCTCTCCTGCCCCCCGCCAGGCCCCGACCACCAGCACACGATGGCCGTCGGCCTCTGGGTCCTGAGCGGCGTCGTGGCCTTCCTCGTGGTGGAGAAGTTTGTCCGACACGTCAAAGGGGGACACGGGCACAGCCACGGACACACTCATGGTATGGCTGCCCCGGCCAGCTCCCAGCTGCTCCCTCTGGTGACCCGTTTGGCGCTAAGGACTCGGAGATACGGAGGGGCCTCCGGGACGGGGGATCCCTCTGGAACATGTACCTCCCCCTATAGCAGCTCCGGGCTCTCTCTGCAGGCGGGAGGAGCCCCTGGGCTGTTTCTCTACCAGGAGGTTTGGGGCACGGAGGCAGGACCCTCCGGGCAGCCCCCCACTCTTCCTCCGTCTCTCCTGCAGGGGTCAAGGCCAAGGGCAGCGATGACGAAGGAGAGAAGGAGGGGGTCCCAGGGCCGGCCAGGAAAGCGGCAGCCCCCGCCAGGAAGACAGAGGCGCCTCCAGAGTCCAGTAAGGGGCTCCGGGGATCAGGAAAGGGAGGAGGGGGGTGGGCTGGACCTCTCTGGCGGGATCACCCCGACTGACTTCTGCTTCCTTCCGCCTCCCAGCCATGCGTGTGGCCGGCTACCTCAACCTGGCCGCCGACTTTGCCCACAATTTCACAGACGGGCTGGCCTTGGGCGCCTCCTTTGTGGCAGGCACCGGCGTGGGCGCCGTCACCACCCTGACCGTCCTGCTCCACGAGGTCCCCCACGAAGTGGGCGACTTCGCCATCCTGGTCCAGTCCGGCTGCACGAAGCGCAAGGTGGGCAGGGATGGGGGGCTCCCCTCGCGGGTCCGGCTTGACTTCCATCTCCCGGCCCAGAGACCGACCAGCCGTTCCGTACTTGGGGGGTGGGGGGTGGCTGAGGGTCAAAGGAGAGGGGGGGTCCCCCCGGCCTCTGCTGAGATGTCTCCCTCTCCCGCCCAGGCCATGAAGCTGCAGCTGGTGACGGCTGTGGGGGCGCTGGCGGGCACTGTCTGCTCCCTGCTGGCGGAGGGCGTGGGTGAGGCCGCCACCGCCTGGATCCTGCCCTTCACGGCCGGCGGCTTCATCTACGTGGCCACCGTCTCCGTCATCCCCGAGCTCCTGCAGGAGGCGCGGCCGGCCCAGTCCTTGCTGGAGGTGCTCAGCCTGCTGGGCGGCATAGTCATGATGGTCTTCATCGCCCAATATGAGTAGAGAGAGCAGGCGGAGCTGCTGGCGCCGGCGGAGGAGGGGGAACAAAGGCCGCTGGAAGGAGCCACCCGTCTGAGTGGGGGCCCCCTCTCCCCCCCCCACGTTGCTCCAAAAGCCCGGCCCTTCCCGTCCTCCTGAGCAGGAAACGGGTCTGGCCGTCCAGGGGACCAACTTGTCTGTTCTGAATGTCTCCAGGTTTCCCACGGGGCACCCTGGGAATCGGTGCACACCTGCACTGCACCTGTGTGTTTGTGTGTGTGTGTGTGTGTGTGAGAGAGAGAGAGAGGCAGTGTGTGTGTGTGTAAGAGGCGGTTGGGCACTTCTTGCAATTCCAGGGAGAGGATTTGCACAGCCTGCCTCCCTCCCTCCTTTCTGCCGCATGGTGCCGGCCTGTCGTGGCAGAGGGGCCGAGGCAAGGCTGGTGGCGTGGGACACACACACACACACACACACGAGAATCATGCTTTCAGGGGAGCCGGCTGACGTGCGGGCGTGTGCGTGCGAGTGTCAGCTGAATGGGAAGAGAGACTCCCGGCGTACATTTCTTTGATAATCTGTCCTTTTTTTATACGACGGTGGGGTGGAATCGGGGCGAGACTCGTGACCGGAAGGGAAGGTGGTGGGTGCCAGCTGGAAAGCAGCCAAGGGGCTTCCGGCCTCTTATCTAAGGAGACGTGGCTTTTCCGTTGCTGGTCACTTTGGAGGAGGAGGACCTGGTTGCGTTTCCGGGAGGGAGGGAGGGAGAGGGAAGGGAATCTGCAATAAACGCGTCCAAACTCCAAAGAGGTGGTCCTGTCCTCCTTGCGCTCCGGATGCGGGCAGCCCTCCGCTCTGCCCCCAATTCAGCTCCAGGTGGGGGTGCTGGGCGCTCGCTTCTTGCACCTTCCCTCGCCCATCCTTCTGCGGGTGCGTTCCCACCACGCCCGAGAGCGGGGTTGGACTAGAAGGCCTCCAGGGTCCCAGGGTTGCAGAAGGAACCTGAACTCTGTCCGTGCCTTGCCTTGCCAGGCTTTGAGTTGCCCCACGAGGGCCATCTCCCCTCTGCTCGGCCGGTCCGGTTGGGGAAGGAGCCATTGGGCCTCGGAAGGGAATAACTTCCGCTATACAGGCGGTCCCCTACTTTACGACAGTTCATTTAGCGACCCTTTGAAGTTACAGCAGCGCTGAAAAAACAAGTGACTCGTGACTGTTTTTCACACTTGCGACCTTCAGTCACATGATCAAAGTTCAGGCGCTTGGCAACCGGTTTGTATTTATGACAGTCACAGCGTTTCGGGGTGGGGGGGGGGTGTCACACGATCCCCGTTTGCAACTTTCTGATGAGCACAATTTGATGGGGAAGCAATTATGCTACTCACTTAACTGCGGTGAGAGAAGTTGTAAAACGGTAGCCCGTAGGAAACATCCCACCAAAAGACAAGCTTTGGGCTCGATGATGGTCGTAAGCCTGAGGACTTCCCGGGAAGCCACCCGGCCTAGGAAGGGGGGGGAAACTGGTGCGGCTTCTCTCCTGCATCTCCCTCCAGGTGCATTCCCGCGACACTTCCTGGAGTTAATGCAAATTCCCTGCTCTGTGTTGCGTTGGGCAGCCTCACGGAAGGTCAAGTCTTGTGTGCCCCAGAGGTGCTGCCGTTGCCCTCTTCTCAGCTGGGTTGCCCTCTTCTCAGCTGGGCCAGCCGAGCCTCTGCAGCCTTTGGGGGGGGGGTTGGTCTTTCCAAAGTGCCCCTGGGGGACCCCCTTTGCCTGCTCCGGGCAGGGGACCCCGTTTGTGTGTAGTGATTATAGTGTGTCTGCCTGCTCCAGGTGTCTGCTCCAGGTACTATGTGGTGTAGTGTGTGTGTGTCTCTGCCTGCCCCAGGTGTCTGCTCCAGGGACTCTGTGTGTGTGCTCCAGGGACTGTGTGGTGTAGTGTGTGTGTGTCTCTGCCTGCCCCAGGTGCCCAGGCAGCAGCTGTGCCAGCTGTTCTTCCCCTCACTTCCCCCCGCAAGAAAGTGGGCACCCACGCACCAAAGGGGAAGGGAGGGGGAGAATCCGGGAGGGGGAAACGGCCTCGATCTGCGCCTGCGCGGCTTTAGCGACCGCGGCCCCTCCGGCGGACCGAGGCCACCGAGAGCGCCGCCTAGAGGGCCCGCCGCTTCCGGGCGGGAAGGGGCTTCCGGCCATGGCGGCGCAGCTCAGGCTCCGCGGGGCGCTGGCGCTGGTCACCGGTGCGGGGGGGGCTGGGGGGAGTCGGGGGGCGTGGCCTGGCCCGGTGGTGGGCGGGGCCTGACGGCTGTGTCCCCCGCAGGCGCCGGCAGCGGCATCGGGCGGGCGGTGAGCCTCCGCTTGGCCCGGGAGGGCGCCTCGGTGGCCGTGGCGGACGTGGACGAGGCCGGCGCGGAGGAGACGCTGCGGGCGCTGCCGGCGGGGGAGCACCGGGCGGCGCGGGTGGACGTGGGCTGCGCCCGGAGCGTGGAGGAGCTGATGCGGGGGCTGCAGGTGGGGACGGAGTGGGTGGGGTGAAAGGGGGAGGGGCCCGGGTGGCTCCTCCCCCACTCCTAACCCCCCCTCCTTCCACGCAGGCGCACTTCTCCCGGCCCCCCACGGTCTGCGTGAACTGCGCGGGGATCACGCGCGACGAGTTCCTGCTGCGGCTGAGCGAGGCCGCCTTCGAGGCCGTCCTGAGGGTCAACCTGAAGGTGCCCCGCCCCTCGCCCCGCCCCTCCCGCGGGGGGAGGGGGCAAGGAGGGGTCTGGGTCCTCTGGGGGGGTCCCCTCTGAGGCTGGGAGGGGGGAGCCTTGGCTGTCCTTTCATGACCCGGCTGGGCAGTGCTAGTCCTCATGAGGTTGTTCCCTCTCTTTCTCTTTCACTCTATCTTTCTTTATCTCTCTGTCTTTATCTCTTTCACTCTCTCTCCATCTCACTCTGTCTCTCTCTTTATCTCTCCATCTCTATCTCACTTTCACTCGTCTCTATCTCTATCTCTCTCCATCTTTTTCTCTTTCACTCTATCTCCATCTTTCTTTATCTCTTTCACTCTCTTTATCTCTCTCTTTCACTGTCTCCATCTCTCTCTCGCTCTCTCCGTCTTTTTATCTGTCTCTCTCTTTCACTCTGTCTATCTCTCACTCTGTCTTTATATCTCTATCTCTCCATCTCTCTCACTTTCTATCTATCCCTATCTCTCTTTATCTCTTTCTCTCCATCTCTCTCTTTTTATCTTTCTCTCTTTATCCTTTATATCGCTATCTCTCCCTTTCCATCTTTCTCTCTATCTTTCTTTATCTCTGTCTTTATCTTTCTATTTCTTTCTCTCTCAATCTCTATCTCTTTCTCTCTCTATATCTCTTCATCTTTGTCTCTCTCTTTTTCTCTCTATCTCTTTATCTTCCTATCTCCCCACCCCCATGCAGGGTGCCTTCCTGGTGACGCAGGCCGTGGCCCGGGCGCTGGTGGAGAGTGGGACCGGTGAGGGCTCCATCATCCACCTGGGCAGCGTGGTGGGGAAGGTGCGTGGGCCGTCACACCCTGCGGGGGCCCCCCAGCAGAGCTGGGGGCGGAAGGAGGCTGGCCCCCTGACCCCCTCCCCTCTACCAGGCGAGCCCCCTCCTCACCTTCCCTCTTTCTCTCTCCGCCCCGGCCAGGTGGGGAATCTGGGCCAGGCCAACTACACGGCTTCCAAGGCAGGGGTAGAGGCCCTGGCCAAGACAGCAGCCAAGGAGCTGGCCAGGTGAGCCTCCCTCCTGGAGGGGGGGGGGTTGGGAGGGATCAGGCCCTAGCACGGTCGTTCAACAAGTCCTGGGTCCCCCGCTGACTTTTGCTCACCAGGGGGGTCGCAAAAGAGGATAACCTGACTACTGGACATAAGTATGAGTCAGTGCTCAAGCATCCAAAGGTAAATCACGTGACCCAGGGGAGGCTGCGACGGTTGTAAGTATGAAAAACGGTCACACGTCCCTTTTCCCAGTGCCGTTGTAAGCTGAACGCCAGGGGTCTTCCAGCTGGGCCCTTGGATGACTTGTGGACCAACTCCCAGAATTCCTCAGCCAGGCACATGCGTGCCTGGCTGAGGAATTCTGGGAGTTGAAGTCCACAAGTCATCCAAGGGCCAAGTTGGAAGACCCCTGGCGTACGCCACGGGGCCTGCTTTAAGAAGGATCCACCTTCTTGGTGGGAGAGATGAGGACATTAAATCAGGGCCGGGCGTTGGATGAACTGGGCAAACGGGGGGGGGGGCCTTGAGAGAAGCTGCTGCACCCAAGTGCTCCATTTCGTCCCCCCCCCCCAGGTACGGCATCCGCTGCAACACGGTTCTGCCGGGATTTATCCGGACTCCCATGACGGACAAGGTCCCCACCAAAGTCCTGGATAAGGTCAGCGTCTCCTGCAGGAACCAATTGGGGTGGGAAGGGGGGACCAGACACATCTGGGGGGGAGGGAGGGAATGGTGGCTGATTTCCTTTCCTTTCCTCCCCCAGTTTGCTGCCATGGTGCCCTTGGGACGTCTGGGGGAGCCTGAAGGTGAGGCGTTCACACATACACACAACACACACACACACACACCCTGCTGGAGGGAAAGGGTGCCTCTGCTCATCTGCAGAGTGTTTCTTGTGTCATCTTGGGGCAAAGCTTCTCTCTGCCTCGGATGCGGCCATGAAAAGAGGGCCAGAGGAGGTTAAGGGGGAGAGTTGGCCCTGGGGGGGGTTGAAATGGGGGGGAGAAGGGGCATCCCTGGTTGGAGGTGTGGAGGGAAGGGCCTAGACCCCGCTCTGGGTCCACACGGGGTGCATCCAGCACCGCGACGGAGCGCGCAAGGAGCCGGACCTCAAGAGGATGAAAAAAGCCCCTTTTCCAGCTCGTGTGTTTTTCCGGAGTTTCTGCCCAGGAATCAAATTCAGAGCTGGAAAAGCAGCTTTACGGCCCCTTCCCGGATCCGGCAGGCGGGTGCGATAGCCGGGACGACAGTCCGGTACCCGGGAGCCCACTTGGGCCTTCTTCAGTGTGACACACATACACACCTCGTTTCCATCCATCCTCCCCCCCCCCTCCAGATGTTGCCGACGTCTGCGCCTTCCTGGCTTCGGACGAGAGCAGGTACATCACTGGGGCCAGCCTGGAAGTGACAGGTAAGACGGGGGGGGGGGCTGTGGATGGGGGGGGCAGTCCAGTTTTTAATCTTCCCTGCTCTGACAGTCTCCTCTTCCTCCACCAGGGGGCCTCTTCATCTGAGCCACTGCCGCCCCCTGCTGGGGGAAAGGCCCACGAACACACTTCCAGGAAGGACTTGGACGGAGGATGGACCTGGAACGTGGGCAATGATGGGGGGGGATAGAGGGGGGGCTCTGGACTTGTGTGGGAGGGAGGGGCCTTTTCCTGCCAAGGCTGCCCCTCCCACCCCTCCCAGCCAAGGGGTACGACGGCTGTTCCAGGCTGCTGACAGGAAGAGGAATTTTACATTTCACCTGGGGTCGATCGAGCAATTAATTGTAATTAAATAAAGCTGCTTTTCCACTCCAGTAAAGGCTAAGCTGAAGAAGGGGCCCAGCCTGCGCAGGTTCCTTCACCGGTCTGGGGGGAGCCGGAGAGTTTACAAGCCACGAACGGGCCACCCGTGGGGAGCAATTTGCACACGGAGAGGGCGGTGGACGTCACAAGGGGGGGGGGCGCTCTGCCCCAACTGGGAGCAGAGCCGGGAAGCAGCTTTTCCCAAGGGGTCTCTGGGGAGGGGGGGGTCAGAGTGGGGTGGGCTGACCCAGGTCTAGTGCCAGTGCAAACGCCGTTCACCCCCATTGACTGAGGGAACGGGGGTCATCCACCAAAGGCCTTTCCAGGCTCTGGGGGTGGGGCTCCCACAGGGATGGACGGAGGGACGCCCCCTGACCCACCCACCCCTCTTTAACGTTGCTCCCAATCGCTGCTCAAAACGACGCTGGAGGGAGCTGCCCCCCTTCCAGAGTTGGAAGGGACCTTGGAGGTCATCTAGTCCATCCCCCTGCTCAAGCAGGAGACCCTACACCAATTCGGACAAAACCTCAAAGCCTCCAGGGACGGAACGCCCACCGCTTTCCACCGGTTGAGGGTTCAAAACCCCGTTTGATGGCTAACGAGCCTCTTCCCCCCCCTCTCTCTCCCCCACCAAGTCATATTTCCAGAATCATCTGGGGGGGGGGACGGCACAGCTAGCTGGCCTGTTGGAGGACAGGCAGGTGTGGGGAGGGCTGGCAAAGGGGCAGGATAGCCTGCCTCACTGTGGCGGCGTTCTCGGACCAGGCTCTGCAATTCGGCCTTCCTTGGGGGGGGGCTCCAGAAGGCCCCCCTGGATCCTGGGAAAAATGGGGGCACTTTTCCTGGCTCCCATCTCTGGGGTTCTCCCGGGGATCCCCCTCTGGGATCTACATTGGAAGGGTTGGTGGTACTGGGGGCTCATCCCCCCACCCAGAGGATCCACTGGCAATTTCTTTTTAAATATATTTTATTGGTTTTTTTTAATTTTAACAAAGAGTACTTTAGACACACCGTGGTGTTTGGGTAAACAAACAATTCAAGGTAAAAAACATACATAAACGGCTCAACTTAATACATTTCACTATCATCTCTCAATTTCTCACAAATAATAGATTTAATATATTCCATTTCTAGCTTAAATTTCTGTTACTACTCTGCCTGCTTTAAAGCTTTATCCATTTAAAATTACCATAATCAAATATTGTTTTACATCAGTGTTTCTCAACCTTGACAACTTTAAGGTATGTGGACTTCAACTCCCAGAATTCCACAGCCAGCAATGCTGGCTGTGGAATTCTGGGAGTTGAAGTCCACATGCCTTAAAATTGTCAAGGTTGAGAAACACTGTTTTACATCAACAAATTATCACTTCAAGTATCTCTACCATGTATATTGAAGTTTTTAATCTCTCTCAGCCCTCTTCTTATCCCCAATCTCATTCATTTCTTCTTCCAGGTCCACTGGCAATTTCTGATTTCACACGCACACACACACACACACACACACACACACACACACACACGAGGGGCTTTGCTGCACCCCTTCCTCTCCCCTTCTGGCTTGGGGGGGGGGGCTCTGGCCAGCCCATCATCAGAGGCTTCTGTGGGCATCCTTGCCGTATATGCACCCCAGTGGCCTTGCCCTCCATGGCTGCCTGGGCCTCTTGCGGACCCCCCCCCCGTCCGAGTCCTAATGGCGCTTCTTTTCCCCAAACGCTTCTGGGTCAGAGGGGGCAGGTGCCATCTGCAAGCTGGGGGTCAGCCAGCCCCCTCCCCTCTCCTCCGCCCGGGGATTACCCAGAGCTGGGACGGGGATGCAGGCACACTAACCGGTGTTTGCGGAAAGGATTACTGGGGTAGAGGATTAGCTGGGGGCTCACAGGCCCCTTCAGGCCATTCGGGACTCTTGCAAAGATTAACGGGGGGGGGCGGCCTCTCTGGTCCCTTGGACAGGACCCCCCCCTCCGTCCCCAGCCTGACAGATGAAGCAGAAGCCATCAGTGGGGGGGGGACGGGACAGAAATGATCCCCATCCATTAGCTCACACAGGTTGACTAGCCCGGTGGCTGCCTTCATAGAATACAGGGACCCTAACTATGCTTCCCCCCCCCCCAGGAAGCCAGAACAAAACACACAACTTCCCACAATATGCCGACCCATTTCTGGAGTCCGAACAGCCTTCCTGTGCTGGACTCCAGTTTCCATCGTGCCCAGCCGATGGGGACTGGCAGGAATGGGCTTCCATGGGGCAGACCCGTGGGTCTGCCAGGCAGTGTCGTGGGACCTAGACCCCCTAACCCTGGCTTCACCCAGTTTCTTAACCTGCATTTAGCTGGGGGAGGGGGGAGGATCTGGGGGTGTGCGAGGCAGCTGTGCCCCCCCCCCAGCCCTGTCTAAAGCGGAGAAGGGGTGTGTGTCATTTGGTTGAAGTAATAGCAACTTTTACTAAGAATAGAATAGAACAGAAGAGAATTAGAATAGAATAGAAATGTAGAATAGAATAGAAAATGAAATAGAATATAGAATAGAATAGAATAGAATAGAACGGAAAATGGAATAGAATAGAATAGAAAAGAAATACAGAATAGAACAGAATATGGAATAGAATATAGAATAGAATAGAATAGAATAGAATAGAATAGAATAGAATAGAATAGAATAGAATAGAAAAGAAAATGGAATGGAATGGAATAGAATAGAATAGAATATGGAATGGAATGGAATGGAAAATGGAATAGAATAGAATAGAATAGAATAGAATAGAATAGAATAGAATAGAATAGAATAGAATAGAATAGAATAGAATAGAATAGAATAGAAAATGGAATAGAATAGAAAATGGAATAGAATAGAATATAGAATAGAAAATGGAATTGAATAGAATAGAAAAGTAATATAGAATAGAAAATGGAATAGATTATACAATGGAATAGAAATGTAGAATAGAATAGAAAAGAAATATAGAATAGAATAGAAAATGGAATAAAATGGAATAGAATAGAATATGGAGGAATAGAATAGAAAATGGAATAGAATAGAATAGAAATATAGAATAGAATAGAAAATGGAGGAATAGAATAGAATAGAATAGAAATATAGAATAGAATAGAATAGAATAGAATAGAATAGAATAGAATAGAATAGAATAGAATAGAATATCTTTATTGTCATTGTGTTACTCACAACAAAACTAAGTGCTGTCCACAGTGCACACTACACAGAAGTAAAAACCCCAAATGAAAATATACATTATTTACACACATTCTTTACACTCTATTCACCCTTGCGCTGCCCCTGATATTGCACTTCAAAGTTGCACTACTATACAGTAGTATTTATTATGGTTACAGTTCTGGGATAAAATCCATTTTCCAGCCTATTTGTCTTTGTTTTCCTTATCCTGGACCCTCTGCCAGCCGTTGCAGAGGGAGGTTAGTCCCAACCACAAGCACTACTAAGGCAGGGGAGGGTGGGGTCTTCCCTGGGAGCACTCAGGCTCCGGCCTGGCATTGGGGAAGGGTCCCCCAGGGGCTCGAGGCCGGACCCCTGAGCTCAGCCCTAGCCCCGGACCCTCCGTCGCCTCTGAAAGCAGAATGGGTCACGGGAGAGCAGCCCCACAGGGCAATCTCCTGCAAGAAGGCTCCTGGGAAATGGCTTGAGAAACCATAAGGCTGGGCAGTCTGGAGGATGGGTAGGAGGATGGTAATGCTCCGGGGGTCTTTAGTGGCCCCCACAGCAGCAATTCCGGGACCAGGACCGCAGCCTGGGGGGGCTTCTTCCCGCTCAAAGAGGGCCAGGCAAGGCTGGGGGGAGGGTGTGGGAGGGAGACCCCTTTCTCTTGCCAGCATCAGATCCCGGGGGGGGGGGAATGACCCGGATCCTTTCTCTAAATCTGTTGGGGACCCCCTGCCCCCCCCCACAGTTGCTCCAGGAAAGCCACCAGGATGCCAGGCCGAGGCTGGACCCTCCCTGTTTGAGTCAAGTTTTGCAAAAGCCGCAATGGGGGCAAAAGGACCCTTTTGGTTGAAATCTTAATCATCATCATCATCATCATCAAACATCCACATCTGCCTATCCCAGGTCCTTGGTAAGGACTCGATAGGTAGACAAAATGCCAAACCCAGTCTGAACATCTGGCTGACTGTGCGATGATCCATAATAATAATAATAATAAATAAATAAATAAATAAATAAATAAATAAATAAATAAATAAATAAATAAAGTTGGAAGGGACTTCTAGTCCCGCTCAGGCAGGAAACCCTATACCATTTCGGACAAATGGCTGTCCAGTCTCTTCCTAAAAATTTCCAGTGTTGGAGCATTCACCTCTTCTGGAGGCAGGCAGTTCCACTGGTTAATTGTTCTCACTGTCAGGAAGTTTCTCCTTAGTTCTAGGTTGCTTCTCTCCTTGGTGAGTTTCCACCCGTTGCTCCTTGTCCTGCCTTCAGGCGCCTTTGATGAATAGCTTGACTGCCTCTTCTTTGGGGCAGCCCCTGAGATATTGGAATACTGCTATCATGTCCCCCCTCGTCCTTCTCTTCATTAAACTAGACATACCCAATTCTAGCAACCGTTCCTTATGTGCTTTAGCCTCCAGTCCCCTGATCATATTTGTTGCTCTTCTCTGTACTCTTTCCAGAGTCTCAACATCTTTTTTACATCATGATGACCAAAACTGGATGCCGGATTCCAAGTGTGGCCTTACCAAGGCCTTGTATAGTGGTATTAACCCTTCACGTGATCTGGATTCTATCCCTCTGTCCTTCTTCCCCTGCCTGGTGGTCTCTTAGGTGGGGGAGGGGGAAGCAGTCACCATCATCCCCAGCGGTCATGGATCTCCCCGTGGCTAATGGGCGTGCTAGTTCCAAACATTTTTGCAGAGCTATTTCCTGCGGGAGGGGGGATTTCTGCCCTAAAAATGGTTCCGCTGGAATTGTTAAGGAATTCTTTAAAAATGACCCAGAATGGCTGAGGAAAGCTTCACGGGGGGGGGGGCTGCTTCCGTCTGGCA